ATATTGTTTACTTATTCTAACTTTTTTTATTGTATTATTACAGTCAAGATTTGTACTTGAAATACCAACTTCATTTATGCTTAAGTCATTAGAAAAGAAATGGAAAGATTATAAGCATAGTTTGAAAAATAAGTATTTCGATCGAAATATTACTGTAGAGGCAATGATGGAAAATCTACCTCGTAATGTGATTAGGTGGCAATATGAACAACTGGTTAGATTTTGGTTCTCAAGAAAATGAGAAGTACTAGCTTATAACTTTGTATAGTAGAATAAAATGATGAAAATGTTTTATGGTTTAAGTTCGTAATATTTGTATTTCTATCATATACGTAATTATTTTTTATGACAGGAAAAAGAACATATTAGGATTGGTAGCAGAAAGCAACAGAAATATAGCCACACGAGTGGATCAAAAAGTTTTGCAAGAAAGCAAAAAGAAATCGTAAGTTTATGATAATAAATATATTCCAATGAATGAACTTTTCAGCCATTAAAAGGTAAATATGCAAATTAACAGTTATTTTTCTATTTTAATGGTTTTGATAGTTTCAATACATGATATTAAATTTATCGAAAGTTTTGAAACTTAGTTGACACAGATGATATGTATGAAAAGTTATTATTTATGTATATTTACGCCTTTAATACAGATTTATTGTGATTGTTGTATTTTAACAGTTTAGATAGCTTCAATACTTGATAATAAACTTGTCTGATTAATTGAACTTGATTTCTACTGTTGATATGAGAAAAAAAGTTATCTTTTATGTTTGTTTTGGAGTATTTTTGCATATAAAAGGCAAATATACAAATTAAACTTTTTGATGGCTTTCAACATATTGAATGTCTTCAATCCTTGATATTAAACCAGGAAAAAATAATTGAATTTAGTTTCTATGATCGATAGGTGTGAAAGCCCAATATGATTTTATTGTTTGCGTATACTTAAAACTATTGTGCTGTTACGGGGCCAAAATATAAATACATGAGATTAAAATTATTTGAAATTTTAATACTTGATTGACAGGCTTGATATGCATGAATAAATTACGGTTGATATATATCATATCAAATAACATATATTTTTGTATAGGAGAATGAGATGGACGGTACAATTAGATGTGTGAAACTTTTTTGCATAACACACAAAAAAATACGGATCTTACATGAATGTCGAAACACAAGAAATTATGGTAATTTGTATCATCTATTTTCATAGAAAGTAAATATTTACTCTTTTTAAAGTATAATCAATTAATCATTAAACTTGATAGTTGTATATGACAAATTCATAAGAGAAAACGAAAGAGAAAATGGCTGTTAAAATTGAAGTAGCATCTGATGGTTCATTCAACATGCAAGAAATGAAAAATTGGATATTCATAAAAGTTACTAGAAAAGAAAGGCATGGACGGATCCAAGGCCTTGGATTGGGTCTAACACTATCTGCCTACTATGGACATAGCTCTCCGTAATTTACATTATCAGCAAGTCAGTCTTCGTGAGACATTTCAATATTGAGAAGGGAGTTGCAAACTATGCAATAACGTTTTTAGCAAATGGAAGCAGAAAAAGAACAGAAGCGTACCAAAATTGAGGAAGAACGTGCTAGAATTGAGCAAGAGCATGCTAAATTTCAGCAGTTGCATGATCGATTCGATCATTTTATGAATTTTGTGCAATAATAATTTTTAAGAAATGATCTTGGTGCTCCACCAACTCAAGTATTATATTTAGTAAATATTTAAATTTTTAAATATATAAAAAGCTTATAATAAAGTGTTAAAAATTGTATGCTATTATTCAGTAGGTTTTTGAGCATGCTAGTGACAAAGGTGAAAATTTTTCTTCATCAATTGGCAGCTAGCAAAATGTATGCAGTCATCCATTTCATACATTTTAATTTTGTATTTTGTTAATGTATATAAAATATTTGAATGTTATTATACTAATTATTAAACTTTGTATTAATTAGATGTATATTTAAACGTGAATGAAATTAATATAAATTTCAGTTTCTGAATTTAAACTCTTTAATGAAAATAAAATTTATTAAAAATATTTTTAAAAAAATACGTTTTTACATAATGACGGCATTTACATCTGTCGTGATTCACTAAATGAATAATTTAGTGGCATTTGTAGCATAAAATGCCACTATAAGTAACGGCGTTCTTACTAGCAAACACCGCTTGTTAAGTGGCATTTTTCTCATAAAAATGCTACTGAATTAACGACGACTAAAAGATACAAACACTACTAATATAAAGGCATTTTCAAATTCAAACACCTTTAAAATAGCGATGTTTTCAGTTACAAATGCCATCAAAGCAACGGCGTTTTTTCTCATAAAAATGTCACTAATTTAACGGTGTCTCAAAGATAGAAACGTCGCTAAAATGACGGCATTTTAGATATAAACACCGTTAATATTAAGATATTTTTTTGAAAATGCTACTATTTACCACGATGCGTGAATAGTCAACACTTTGCGTGATATTTTTCGCAAACGCCATAAATCTTTTTATGGCGTTTATAAACATTGCTAAACGTTAAAAAAAAAAAAGCCACTAAAAACTAAAATCCTTGTAGTTGACATTAACATGAAACATGGTAAAAATGGTGGTGAAAAACTAAATGCTATTCATTTTAATAAAATGCACAGTTTTGCTATTTTAATTTAAGATGGGTGATGTGGATTATTATTAATCTTAGATTAATTTTAATATTTATAATTTTTTATTATTTTCTGATTACAAATTTCTTTATAAAAAAATTTTTTATCTGATTTCATGTAAATGTATCTCATCCTTTAATTTGGTTTCCAAAGAAAACAATTAGATAGACAAATTTTTTTTTCATTTTTTGACAAATAAGAAAACTAACTTTAATTATTTGTTATAAATAACGTAATTTATCTTTCTCATTTTTCTAACAATTTCGATCTTTTTTTTTTATTTAGTAAACAAGTTATATATTGACTAATTAATATTAGGTCTTAAATTTTTTTTTCCTTTGTATGCACACAATTTTGTTGATTTTTTTATGAATTAAGCAAACGAAAGAATTGATAAATTTTCTTATCCAATCCTATATAATATATTCACTTAAATTTGAATTTGAAATTGCATAAAAATATAAGAGTAAACTATATGTTTAGTCACTTAAGTTTTCAATAATTTTATTGTGATAAATCGGTTGATTTGTATATTCACATTATAATTTCATTTTATTTTAAATAGTTGAGTAATAAAAATTTTAATATTTTTATTGTAGGTGAATAAATAATTCTTTTTCATAATTTGGTAATCAAAATAAAAAAAATTCAAAAAAAAGATGTGACAAAATATATAATTTACTCTAAATTAAACTATAGGAAATCACAATACAAAGATAAAAAAAGGGGTAACAGGTGTTAGAATATAAACCTTAAAATGATAAGATTTTATGTTTTAAAAATGATTGAATAAATCAATTAATTAAATTAAAATTTGAATTTTACAAATATTTTAATTGAATTAAAATTTGAATTTTACAAATATGTTTTAAAAAGTATTATATTTGTTGAGATTCAAAAAACCAAGCCATAACATCGGCACATTGATTTCCCTCCCGAAACACATCCGTAATCTGCTGGCAGCTGAGCTCTTGCAGTAGTTAATATCGGTGAAAAGCTGACCCCAGGGAATGCCATGATATTGAGATCATTTCTTTTCCAAGGTATCACTCCTTATCCAGTCCTCCATGGTATCGCTGGAACCTAGGTTCAGCACATCCTTTTGGCTTGACCATATATCATGTGTCCAGGGACAGCCTTTAAGAAGGTGATGAATGTCCACACCACCTTGATCACAGAAAACACAGCTGGTTTGAATGTTGAAACAAGTTAAAACAAAGCATATTAAAGTATATCTCCCAAGTCCCATATTCTCTATACAAACTTTTACAATAAAAGAGGCACAGGCAGACCATCTTTGTACAGAATTCCCACCAGAGAAAGATGGAATAATGAAACACGCCTGGTCGAGTCAGATTGGCACATCACCCTTCTAATCTGGGTAGCTATTAATCTGCCACTGGCATCATTTCTTCTTAGCAATTCAACCTTTTTATATTTATAAAAAAAAACAAACCAGATTGGTCTAATTCTTCAATTCATCACTTTTTTTTTTATTTGAAAGGATAGAAATGTGGTTTAATAGTGGAAGAATTTGTCCAATCTGTTGAAATGACAGCCAATGGCAAATCTGATTATGGCAAATGTTCTGTCGAATCTACAATTACAAGTTGAGCGATTATGTATAGAAAGAAGCATTAATAAATTAAAGCTTGCTAAATTAAGCTTGAAATAAGAACCATGGTTATATATTTGCTCCAACTTTTTTCTTACTCCAACTATTTTAGTTTGGTTAATGTGACAAATGTCATGATTAGTGACATTAATTCCTTCATAAGGTAAAAGCACATGAAATTAACCAATAGATTGCTATGTAATGCAAATAAAATGAGGGAATCAATAGTTTTTTTTTTTATTAATAGATTTATTGTTGAAAGGATAAATGTATTTCAATCTTGGTTGTTTAGGTTTTAATTCATTAAAAGATTATATGAAAATAATTTTTTATGAATTTATTTAAATTTAATATAAATAAATTTGTTTTGATCAATTTAAAAAAATAAACTGAACAAAATTTAAAAATTTTTTACCATTACATTTGCATTCAAATCATATTCTCATCATTAATCTTAATTTTATTATTACAATAACCAATTTCACTTATATTATTATTTTTAATTTCATCAAAATTAATCTTATTGTCCCTTCAAATGAATCATTTATCCATCCCTATTTTCCTCCTTTGTGAAAACGAGAAGAACATCATTAATTGATTAGTGGGATTTTTTCCTTTGATTAAATTAGTATGCAACAGTTCGTAAACGAGGGAATCAGATAAATGATCACCTAAGGCCTCAGCAACGGGTCCTTCAATGAGAAGATGAGCCCAAACCTCGTAGCCTCTAATCCGTTCCATTATTTTTGTATCATTGTCTTTCCTTTCCTCGTGTTGGTAATTTTCCTTGTCAAATGGCTCCTCGCTTCGCCCCCAACTGCAAACAAAAGCCCACCACCTTCACCACCAAAGCTCCCAATCCTCGGAAACCTCCACCAACTGGGCTGCCACCTACACCGTTCTTTAAGGTCAATAGCTCAACTCTATGGTCATGATTTCATGCTTCTGCATTTTGGTAGCGTCTCTGTAATAATCGTCTCCTCTACAGATGCAGCCACTGAGATCAAGAAAGCACATGATGTTATCTCCTCTGATAGACCCCAAATAGGCGCTGCTAAGAAACTTCTTTATAATGATATGTCGACTTCTTATGGGGAGTATTGGAAGCATCTGAGAAGCATTTGTTTTTAAATTTTTTATTTTTGAAAAACTAAAAAGGAAACAATTTTAAGATCAAAAAAGAAAAGAAACGGAGAAGGGGGTTAAAATTTTTCTGTTAAAATTTTATTTTTAAAAAAATAAACAAATATTTTTTAAAACAATTTTTATTTTTGAAATTAAAAAAATAAAAATGAAAAAAATTTGTACTGTAAAATTCAAAATATTTTGTGATTTTTTTAAAACTAAAATTTTAACATAAAAATAAAATTTTTAATATATTAATAATTTATTTTTATGGTAAAATTTTATTTTATAAAAAATAAAAAATATTTTCTGTGAATTTTTATTTTTGAAATTAAAAAATATTAAATTTGAGAATTATATATAAACCATAAACTTGAAATTTAGATTTTTTTAATTTTACGAAAAAAATTTAATCTCTCCCCCAATTTTCTTTCTTTTCTTTTCTTTTTTTACTTTCTGATTTTTTTAATTCAAAAATTTTAAAATGCAATAAAAGGTTGATGACTTTGATCCTTTTTGTACAAAAGACCGATGGCATAATTTCATATTAAGTTTTTTGGGTCAAAATAACATATAATTAATTCATGTCATCTTCCGAATAGGATGTTAATTGTGCAAAATAAACGACAGTTAGTCTTATTTAACAGAATTAGACTTAATTACTTAATTTTGAAAGTTTGAGGTTTTAGTTATAGTAAAATAAAATATTATAAATCTATTTGAATGTAATAAAAAACCGAAAACTTATATCCATTTTATACAAAAAATTGAAAGTGTATTTGAGAATTAAGCCTATAAAATAATAATTTAATTTCGAATTAGAGTCAAGAGGAGTATAAATTTACTTATATTTGACTCATTATTATTTTTAAATAAAAGTATTCATTTGTCATACTCAATTGTATTTTTTTTTGATTAAATGTTTAATTTAGAATTAAATATTAAAATTAATTGTTTAATTTAAATTTAAATATTTAATTTTATATAAATAAAAATTAAACGTTATCGATTTATAATAAATAAAATTTTTATTAATAAAAATAAGATTATAAAAAACACATTTCATGATAATGCATAAAAGGAATATATTTATGCTAACCTAATATTTTTATGTTGAGATATCACCCAAAACACAAGAAAAAAGTTAAAATAATAATTAAAAAAGTTAATTTCATAAAAAGACAAACTTTTGACTTTTCAATTTTTTTAAAACTCTTTATTTCTTTATTGTAGCTTCATATTTTTCTTTTCAGTCCGTTCCACCATTTCATAGATCCGCAGAAGATAGCTCCACTTTTTTTTTCCTTTCAAATTTTTTCTTCTTCTCTCTGTTCAACTCATCTTTTTTAGTATCTATTTTCTTTCTTTAATTGTAACTTTCCTTTCCTTTTAGTAACTTTATCCATAATATAAAATTTGTGTTTTAATTAAAAAGTTTTTTTTCTTAAAAAAAATTCATTTAAATCTCTCTTAATCTTATCCTAATCAAAATTTTCAAATGTTCAATCTACATTAAAATAACTCAAATTCATGAAATTAATCAAAATCCAAACAAATAATCCAACAAAAACATCCAAAACCAAAAAAATCAACCAATAAACATAAACCCAATTTCAGCATTGAAATCTTATTTTTCGGACTACTAAAATAGCTCCTCCTCGAGATTCTATTCTGATTGGACAACACTCATACAATCAGCTTAGGCAACGAGAATCATGCCCATGAAATACTTGTGCTGTTGGAGTAGTGGGTACCCACACACTTCAGAGCCCGACATAGCACAGACACATTCTTGCAATGGCTCAACAGCAAGCCTCCGAAATCATTCTTGACAGTGCCTCATGGCACGCAGGCGAAGCAGAAGAGGGTTTTATAGTTACTTTTACAAATAAAGCCTTGCCAATGGCAAAGTCTGATATGGGGTGGAATTCGGTGGGATAAGGCACATCGACGTCGAAATAGTTCCAGGGGTTTCGTTCAATCAAAAAAACGCGTGATGGCTCTCATACCTGGCCTGTAGATACATCTAGGCCCCAGTCTTTGTTTTTGGACGGCTAAGAATCTCATATGATGATTCCAATCATCATGAAATGATCCCAGCTGTCGGAACGGCTCCAATGTGGTTAATCCTGCATCCATTTCAATATTATCGCAGTAACTATCACAATCTTTAGAACTATAATTAAACTACAAGTATTTTTCAACTGTAAAATTGGCTCCTTATTTTATCGTTTTTTTTTTAAGATATGTTTTGTCTAGGATTGAAAAGGTGGACAATAAGATAATAATAGATTGACCTATGACTTTTTTTTTATTGGTTAAAAAATTAATTGAAAATCATGTAAGACATGAGTTCTACCTCATCATCTCTTTCCTCTATTGTAAGGGCATTAACCCTCTATTACAATAAAAAAAAAAAAAGATAAATTGACTTATGGTGGAGGAAATTGGTGATTACATGGGTGTTCAGGGAGAAAATTAAAAATTAGAGAGAAAGTATAAAGCAAGAGAGTAAAGTTTTAGAAAGAGAAAATAAAAAAATAAAAGTAGTATTAAAAAATTTTATTTATTTTTTTAATGAATCAGATTATTTATCAATTTTTAATTTTTTTATTATATTTTTTTACACCTATTAGCATTAAGAGAATTAATGGCGTGTGTATAATACTTATGTTAAAACATCTTAAAATGAGTAAATTCATAAACATTTGATTTCTATTGGTATAAAATAAAACGTTTAATTTTAAAAATTTTCAAACGCTTAGTTTTAAATTGAGTATTTAATTTTTTTTTTGTTTGGATTTTTTCATTTTTTTAGCTTTTTGCTTTTAATTATCTATTCAAATTTTTTATTATATTTGAAAAGATAAATTTAAAAGAGTGAATTTGTATTTGATTTGTTATATAAGTTATGAGAATGAAATGCATATATTATTTATAAATTAATTGATAATTTTTTGTTAATCATTGCTTTTATAAAATATTAAAAATAAAATTATACTCACTAATTTATTAAATTAATTATAAATATTATTAACTATAAATAAGAAATTTTATACATAAATATTATTAACTATAAATAAAAATTTTGAACCCGTCGAAAAGCAAAGGCATAATGCTAGTTTCTATAAAGAATAGTAAATAATAGGATGCAAAATGGAAAATTAGACAACTGACACATTCATTAATTTATCAATTTTAACTTAAAAAAAAAAAAAACCTTTAGATTCATTAACTTGAGTAAAAAATGCAAATTCTAACAAATAATAATAAATTAATTAAATTTAAATAACTGAAAATCAGACAAATGATTTGAATTTTAGCTGCACTGATTTTTTTTCAAAATCTGCACAAAATCTCATCTACAAAAAAATATATATAATAATAATAAATAATGTAAGATGGTTTAGAAACTTAGCTACAAAAAGAATGATAAATTAATAAAAGATTCCTACCATAGCAATTGAGCAAGAAGAAAGAATCAAGCCAATCACACGTAGCAAACAAAGCAGAGAAGAAAACTGAAAAAATTAAAATTAAAAATTAAAAAAAAAAAAAGAAAACGACGACCTAGATAAAATTATCCTAGTTTCTTTAAACAATTATGGACCGAATCTTACCTATTTAATCGTCAGCCACCATCAAATACCATCTTCTGTCCTTCAAAGCTCGTTTTTAACATCAAATCTCTAAAAGATTTTGGCAAGTATTTTTTAAACATTTTTTCACTCTTTGTTATTTTTAAGAAAAAATTTTAAATCTTTCTCGACAATAACGTTCACGTGACATAAATTTTAATTTAAAAAATATATATACATATATATATACGGATTCTCGTTAATAAATTTGAAATATATATATATATATATTTGAGATTGGTTGAGACCAAGTAAGAGTGTTAATTGATGATCGAGCAAGATTACTCAAACTTGTTTGAAATTGATTTTGAATGTTTGGAATTGAATTGTTAATTGATTGTTTGCGTATTAATTTGATTATAATTATTTATAATTAATAAATAATTTATCATTTATAAATTAAAAAAATATTTAATCATATTAAATTATTATTGTATATATAATTTATTATTTAATTTTGTTTTCTATCGCTGATATTTATTGGCTCTCTAACAACATGATCTAAAACTTTTAATATTTGTCAAAATCAATCTTTATATATATATATATATATATTTTCAAAGAATAGAATTCTATAACAAGAGAAGAGGCTGGTCAAATCTCAACCTTATGTCCTCTTAAATCTTTTTATATTTTCGAGGATACTAAAATGTACTCTGTTGATTTTCCTTCGGCCACGCAAACCTCAATAGTGATCTTGCGTCGCCATGCAAAGGAGCCAAAGAACATGGTCCCCAGATACGACTTTCCTGCAACAAGACAGAAGGACCACTCAACTCGAGGAAAGCAGTAAATTACGAGATGTTTTGATTTTCCTTGATGCATGTTTAGGTGCGCTGAGATATTTTTTGGTGGGAGAACATGGGACCCCTTGGAACTTTATTGATGGACCTGTCGAATCTATCAAAGGGAAGAAGAAAGTTGGTCCCGAAGTCAGGATTCCGAATACGTTTCAAACGAGGAAAGTTTAAGACATGTTAACATGATATTTTTTGTAGCAGTATTCTCTTGTGGGCCTCATATGAGGACCTGATGTAATAGTGATTATTTGGGTGAGGTTGATTTGGAAGTTTGCCAATGCCTTGTCTGCTTGTTAGTCAACCAAGTAACCAATCTAAGCTTGAGTGTCCCGATCCTAGGGTGAAAACTTGTCAAGGGAAAAAAAATAAAAAGTCTTGCAGCAGAACATTATGGCTAAATGACAAAATATTGTCAGAGAAAGGGGACGAAAAAAGGAAAGAACCCATAGACCGATGAGCTCTTGAAATACTGTTTTGCAAAGTTTTCAGAATAGATAAGATTAAACTGGCGGTGGGGGAACGATGACCGGTAGTACGTCTTTCACTTGGAAATTTGATAAAAATTAAGTTTATTGGTTAAATAAATGTTTTTGTTAACAAAAATTAGATAAAAAGTGGCAAATGTTAAAGTGAAACCAAATATTTCAAGCAAGGAGTAGAAAAAGTACTTTAAACTGTAATTAAAAATGGTCAGATCACGCTTCTGAATATAAATGAAAGGGTAATCCATAAACAAGTTTGTGTGTCATACATTCAATTCGTCAGAAAGAACTCCAATGGCTTCCCTTCAATGGCTGCGAGACAGCTTCCATCCCTCCTTGCTATTTGCATCCATCTTCCTTCTAGTCCTACTGAAATTTCTATTGAACGGAAAGTCGAGCAAAAGAAAACCCAATCTTCCGCCAAGCCCTCCACAGTTACCAATCATTGGCAACCTACACCAGCTAGGTAGCATGCCACACCTGTCTCTCCAACTCCTAGCTCAGAAGTTTGGTCCAATTCTTTACTTACAACTAGGTGAGGTCCCAACTGTGGTGGTTTCATCAGCCAGAATGGCAAAGGAAGTGATGAAAACTCACGACCTTGCACTTTCAAGCCGCCCCCATATCTTTTCAGCGAAACATCTGTTCTATGATTGCACTGATATTGTCTTCTCCCCTTATGGTGCTTACTGGAGGCATATTCGGAAAATATGTATTCTTGAACTACTAAGTGCTAAACGGGTTCAATCATTTAGCTTTGTCAGAGATGAAGAGGCTGCCCGTTTGATACGTAGAATTGCAGAGTCTTATCCAAGCACCACAAATCTAAGCAAGATGCTAGGCTTATATGCAAATGATGTTCTCTGTCGAGTTGCATTTGGAAGAGATTTCTCACAAGGAGGAGAATACGATCGGCATGGATTCCAAAAGATGCTTGAAGAGTATCAAGAGTTACTTGGAGGGTTTAGCACAGGAGATTTCTTCCCTTCCATGGAGTTCATACACAACATAACGGGTATGAAATCAAGACTCGAGCACACATTCCGACGATTTGATCAGTTTTTCGATGAGGTAATCAATGAACATCTTAATCCTGAGATACAGAAAGAGGAGCGCAGCAAGGACCTTGTGGATGTTTTGCTCGAGATACAGAAAAGTGGATCTAACGAAATTCCTCTCACCATGGACAACGTTAAAGCCATCATCTTGGTCAGTGAAGAGATTGAACCTTTTGTTTATTGAACTTCACCAATGTCATGAAGTCTATAGTTGCAGATAGATGGTCACTGACAAAAACTATTGATTTTGCAGGACATGTTTGCTGCAGGAACTGACACGACATTCATAACTCTTGATTGGGGAATGACAGAGCTTATTATGAATCCAAAGGTCTTGGAAAGAGCTCAAGCTGAAGTCCGAAAAGTTGTAGGAGAGAGAAGAGTGGTCTTAGAAAGTGATCTGCCTCAGCTTGATTACATGAAAGCTGTCCTCAAAGAGATCTTCCGCTTGCATCCTCCAGCTCCGGTCTTAGTCCCCAGAGAATCCATGGAAGATATTATAATCAATGGGTTTGATATTCCGGCCAAAACACGGGTTTTTGTCAATGCCTGGGCAATAGGGAGAGATCCAGAGTCATGGGAAAATCCTGAGTCATTTGAACCAGAAAGGTTTCTAGATAGTCCAATCGACTTCAAAGGGCAAGATTTTGAATTGATACCATTTGGAGCTGGTAGAAGAAGTTGTCCAGCAATAACATTTAGCACAGCAAGTGTGGAGCTTGCACTGGCTCAGCTTCTCTATAGTTTTGATTGGGAACTTCCCCCAGGTACTGAAGCTAAAGATTTGGATCTGACAGAAACTTTTGGCATCACAATGCACAGGATAGCTGATCTGATGGTTATTGCTAAACCGCATTTTCCTTAAGGCAGGGCATCATTGAGAAAGATAGTAAAATAACTAGATAATAGCCCAAGCTTGAAGGGAAGGGTGGAATAAGCTGTTATCTGATTCTAAAATATCATGCTTGACTGTTCTGCAAAATACATTAAAGCAATATGCCAATGTAATACTTCCAACATGGTATTTCATAGGAAACAAAGACCACAGATAAAAATATATACGTAACATATTATGTTCATGAGATTGAAGTTAAAAAGCAGTGATTAGAAAAAAACGCTCACTAGACAGACGAACGTCAAGTAGAGGCTTGTTAGAAAGTTGAATTGCGTAATCTGCCTCTCTGGGTATAAGAATCGTAACTTTTCCTTCCCTAATCTGTACAAACAACACAGCTAAAACATTACTGCTAAAAGCGCAAGCACCCACATGAAAGCTCAATTTGATGGATTTTGCAGAATCATCACAATCATCATCCTCATTATACTTGTTAAGCAAAAAAATATTAAATCATATTAAATTATTATTGTATATATAATTTAGTATTTAATTTTGTTTTCTATCGCTGATATTTATTGGCTCTTCTAGCAACACGATCTAAAACTTTTAATATTTGTCAAAATCAATCTTTTTATACTTTTTTTTTTAATTTTTTGTATCAAGGTTAAAATCCTATGAGAGGGAGAGGCTGGGTTGAACCCCAATCTTATATCTTCTTAAATCTTTTTATACTTTCAAGGATACTAAAATGTACTCTGTTGATTTTCCTTCGGCCACGCAATCCTCAATAGTGATCTGGCGTCGCCATGCATAGGAGCCAAAGAACATGGTCCCCAGATACGACTTTCCTGCAACAAGACAGAAGGACCACTCAACTCGAGGAAAGCAGTAAATTACGATTTCCTTGCAGGAATGGTAGGTAAATGCAAACAATTACCACATTTCCTTGGCATATGTTTGCCAAACACAAGTAAAACTTCCAACTAAAATGATTACGAGATGTTTTGATTTTCCTTGATGCATGTTTAGGTGTGCTGAGATATTTTTTGGTGGGAGAACATGGGACCCCTTGGAACTTTATTGATGGACCTGTCAAATCTATCAAAGGGAAGAAGAAAGTTGGTCCCGAAGTCAGGATTCCGAATACGTTTCAAACGAGGAAAGTTTAAGACATGTTAACATGATATTTTTGTAGCATTATTCTCTTGTGGGCCTCATATGAGGACCTGATGTAACAGTGATTATTTGAGTGAGGTTGATTTGGAAGTTTGCCAATGCCTTGTCTTGTTATTCAACCAAGTAACCAATCTAAGCTTGAGTGTCCCGATCCTAGGGTGAAAACTTGTCAAGGGAAAAAAAATAAAAAGTCTTGCAGCAGAACATCATGGCTAAATGACAAAATATTTTGTCAGAGAAAGGGGAGGAAAAAAGGAAAGCACCCATAGACCGATGGAGCTCTTGAAGTATTGTTTTGCAAAGTTTTCAAAATAGATAAGATTAAACTGGCGGTGGGGGAACGATGACCGGTAGTACGTCTTTCACTTGGTGATTTGATAAAAATTAAGTTGAATGGTTAAATAAATGTTTTTGTTAACAAAAATTAGATAAAAAGTGGCAAATGTCAAAGTGAAACCAAATATTTCAAGCAAGGAGTAGAAAAAGTACTTTATATTAGAAAAATAGGGTCTAATTTCATGTAAGTGATTTTAGATTAAGTAAAGATTATGGATCTTGATCTTTAATTTTACATAGACCTCTAGTTACTTAATAAAAAAGAGGTGGAATTATTTTAAGGGGGTGTCAAAAACCAAGTAAAAAAAAAAGAAAAGTAAAAAAAAGCAAAGAGAAAAAAAAAAGAGAGTTAATTAAACGAAAATCGATCCGTGATTCGATTGAGTTGGAACCTTGTCAGGAAGTTTATGATTTAGAGTTTTACATTCTGAACGGTGAAGATCAAGTTTGAAGCTCTCTATAAACAAATTCATGGTGTATTTGTTGAGTCACTTATTTGGTGAGATTTTTTCAATTGTTTTTTTAGTTGTTGATTAGCTCTAGTTTTAGTTAGAGAAGAACTTTGTATACCTATTATTTGATAGTGAAGATTTTTTTGGTGGTCCGTGATTTTTTCTCTCTATACTGGAGGGTTTTTTATGTAAATCTTGGTGTGCTTTATTTTTCCTGTTTTCTTTGATTATTGATTGTTGTCTATTACTTCTGAATTATTGTGATTATTGCTTCAGGTGCAACAAGTGGTATCAGAGCGAAGGTTATTTTGAGACATCGATATAGAAGCAACCTAGGATAGAAGTAAATTATGTTTGAGATTATGGAGGGTGATACAAGTTCCATAATAAAATTGACAGCATCGAATTATTCAATTTGGAAGCTTATGATGGAGGATCATCTATACTGCAAAGATTTATATGAGCTAATATTGGGTGATTCGGCTAAACCAGTAATATCAAAAATGAAAGCTAAAAGAAGCTAAGTAGAAAGATGCTAGCTACAATAAAAAAATGAGTTGATATCAGTGTGTTTTATCATGTAGCACAGGAGTCAGATGCTCACATTGTTTGAAAAAAATTGACAGCATTGTATGAGAGAAAAATAAGTATGAATAAAGTTATACTTGTTAAAAAACTTGCAACTTTACAATACATGGATGGACAATCTGTTACAAAGCACTTGAGTGATTTTCAAGATATATTTAATCAGATGACTACTATAGAGCTTAAGATGGATGATAAAATGAATGCGTTATTTCTTTTGGGTTAATTGTCAGACAGCTGGAATACTCTAGTTATGATTGTTCTTAATTCAGCTCTTGATTATAAGGTGACATTGGAGATGGTAAAGGACAGTATGCTTAATGAAGAAGCAAGACGAAAAGATGTAGACTTTGAGAATCAAGCTCTGGTCACAGAAAACATGGGTAGAAACATCGACAGAGGTCAGGACTCAAAAGGCCATGGTAAGTCTAAACATAGATTCAAGTTTAGAGGTAAAGTGAAGTATTTCTATTATGGTAAGGTATGTCATATAAAATGAAACTGTAAAATCTTGAAGCAAGAGCGAAAATATAAGAAAGGTAAGAGTTCAGATGATGGCAATGTTACAGCAGTGAATTCAGATAGTGATTCAGTTACTTTAATTTATACACATGGTGATTATAATCATGTTAGTGATCCCGGTATTGAGTGGATAGTTGACATAAGAGCGGCATATCATTGTGTTCCTAAGAGAGAATTGTTTACAACTTATAAAGCAGGAGATTTTGGTTGTACCAAGATGGAAAATAAAAGTGTGTCACAGATTGTTGGGATTGGTGATATTATTATACAAACTAGTACAGGCTGCATGTTGACTTTAAAGGATATCAGATATATTTCAGATATGAGAATTAACTTGCTTACTATTAATATCCTTGATAAGGAGGGATATGAAAGTCGACAAAAGAATGGACAGTGAAAGCTTCTCAAAGGATTTATGATAGTTGCAAGAAAAAAACTATGCTGCACAATGTATAAGACATGGATGCTAAACTTATGGCACAGGAAGCTGGCACACATGAGTGAAAAAGAGTTACAATTTTTGGCAAAACAGTCTTTTATTCCCTTGACCAAAGGTATGTCTCTCGATTCATGTGATTATTATTTATTCGGTAAGCATCATGGAGTTTCTTTTCGTAAAAGTTCTCAGAGAAAAAAATATATTGGAATTAATTTATTTTGATGTATGTGATCCCATTGAGATTGAGTTATTAGGTGATAGCAGATATTTTATTACTTTTATTAATGATGCTTCACGTAAGACTTAGGTGTATGTGTTGAAATATAAAAGTCAGATATTACAGTATTTTTAAAAATTTTATGCCATGATTAAAAGGATGACAGGGTTACCCTTGAAGTGTATTCGAACTGATAATAGTGAGGAATACACATCTAAAGGCTTTGAAGAGTATTGTTCAAAGCATGGGATCGGGTATGAGATGACAGAACCTGAAACACTATAGCATAATGGTATAGCTGAAAGAATGAATCGTATCATTGTGAAAAAAGTCAGATGTATATTGCGAATAGCAAAATTACCAAAGCCATTCTAAGGTAAAGCAGTTAATACAGCTTGTTATTTACTTAACAGATCACCACCAATTTTTTTGGGCTTTGACATTTCAAAAAAAGTGTGGACAGGGAAAGATACTTCATACTCTCACTTAAAAATTTTTAAGTGTAAAGCATTCATACATGTGCTGAAAGAACAGAGATCAAAGCTTGATAATAAAGTCACACAGTGTGTGTTTGTAGGATATGGTGATGAAAAATTTGACTACAGGGTATGGGATCCAGTAAAAAAAAAGACAGTCAGAAACAGAGATATGGTCTTTCATAAAAAAAAATCATAGCAGACCTTGAAAAAATTGAGTAAACTACACAAGTTACTGTTGAGTGTGATATTTTAATACCGATAGGGATTCCACAAGAAAGAGCCACAGATGATAAAAATGAGTAAGAAACAGAATTTAGAGATATGAATGAGCCAGCCATAGTTGGTGATGAGCCAAATGTAATTAGTTTTGAGTAGGGGAAGCAATCCTTTCTACTTGAAAGTGTTAAGCAGGAAGAGCTACCTTCGGCATCAAGTGATGTAAAGTCTCAACCCAGGAGATCTACTAGAGAGTGTAGACCATCTACCAAGTATCCAAGTTCAGATTTTATTTTAGTTACCAGTGAATGAGAGCCAAAAAGCTTCTAAGATGTGTAAGCTACTCCGGATAGAGAGCACTGATTAAAAGTAATGAAAGAAAAGATTGAGTCATTACAAAAGAATGGTACTTATGATCTTGTTAAACTTCTAAAAGAGAAGAAACCATTAAAGAATAAATAGGTGTTTAAGTTGAAAAAAAGATGGTGACAAACTAGTGAGGTATAAAGCTCGATTGGTAGTAAAAAGTTTTTCTCAGAAATCAGGCATCGATTTTGATGAGATCTTTGCTCCAGTTATAAAGATGAGTTCTATTCGAATGGTATTGGGATTAATAGTTAGTTTGAATCTTGAGCTTAAGTAACTTGATGTTAAAACTGTATTTTTGCATGGTGATTTACAAGAGGACATTTATATGAATAAACCTGAGGGTTTTGAACTGAAAGGGAAAGAGCACTTAGTTTACAAATTGAAAAAAAGCTTGTATGGCTTAAAACAAGCTCCGCGACAGTGGTACAAGAAGTTTGATTCTTTTATGATGAGTCATAGCTATAAAAGAATAGCAACGGATTCTTGTGTATATGTTAAACAATTTCCTAATGGTAACTTTATTATCCTATTATTATATGTTGATGATATGTTAATTGTAGGATAAAATGCTAGTATGGTTTGTAGGTTGAAAGAACAATTGTTTAAGTCCTTTGATATGAAAAATTTAGTTCCAGCAAAACAAATTATTGGTATGAACATTATCAGAGATAAGAGAGTTGAAAAGCTGTGGTTGTCACAAAAAAAGTATGTTGAACGAGTGCTTGGTAGATTTAATATGCAACATGCTAAATCAGTTAGCAGTCCACTTGCCAATCATTTTCATCTAAGTAAAAAATCTTGTCCAATGTCTAAGGAATAACAACTAGCTATGTCTAGTATTGTTTATTCTTCTGCAGTCGGTTCTTTAATGTATCTTATGATTTATACAAGACTTGATATTGCTCATGCAGTTGGTGTAGTGAGCAGATTTTTTTTTAATCAGTGGAAGGTTCACTGGGAAGCAGTGAAATAAATTTTTAGATTTTTGAAGGGTACCTCAAAAATATGCTTGACTTATGGAGTTTCACAACCAATTCTAAGGTTTACTGATGCTGACATGACAGGTGATCTTGATGGTAAAAAATCTACTTTAGGGTATTTGTTCACTTTTGCAAGAAGAGCTGTATCTTGGCAATCTAAGTTACAGAAGTGTATTGCTTTATCAATTACAGAGGTTGAATATATTACAGTAACCAAAGCATGTAAAGAAATACTTTGGATGAAACGTTTTTTTCTTGAATTAGGGTTGAATCAAAAAGAGTATATGATATTTTGTGATAGCTAGAGTGCTTTAGATTTGAGTAAGAATACCATGTACCATGCTAGAACAAAGCACATTGATGTTAGATATCATTGGTTACGTTCAGTGATTGAAGAACAACAGATATTGTTGAAGAAAGTTTATACTAATAAGAATGTAGCAGATATGTTAACTAAGATATTTTTTAGGGAAAAGCTTGAGCTTTTGCAGTAACTTGGTTGGAATGAGTTTCCTAGCCAAGGTAAGTTCCAAATGAAACTGTTATGATGATGAATCTCCTTTTAATGGGGCTAGATGGGGATATTGATAGGAAAATAGGATCCAGCCTCATGTAAGTGGTTTTGGACCAAGTAAAGGTCATGGGCCTTGATCTTTCATTTTACACAGAACCTTAGCTACTTAATAAAAAAGAGGTGGGGTTGTTTTAAGGGGGTGTCGAAAACCAAGTAAAAAAAGAAAAAAAGTCAGAAAAAGCAGAGAGAAAAAAGAGAATGGAAAGTTAGTTGAACGGAAGTCGATCCGTGATCCGATTGAGTTGAAACCTTGTCAGGAAGTTCAGATTCAGAGTTTTATATTATGAACAATGAAGATCAAGTTTGAAGCTGTCTATGAACAAATCAATAGTGTATTTGTTGAGTCACTTATTTGATATGATTTCTCCAATTATTTCTTTAGTTGTTAATTAGCTCTAGTTTTAACTAAAAAAGAACTTTATATACCTATTATTTGATAGTGAAGATTTTTTTGGTGATCCGTGATTTTTTACTTCTACACTGAAAGATATTTTTCACGTAAATCTTAATGTGTTTAATTTTTTTTGCGTCTTTAATTATTGATTGTTATCTATTTCTTCTATATTGTTGTGATTATTGCTTCTGTATTGTTATGATTATTGCTTCAGGCGTAACACTTTAAACTGTAAGCGCAACACTTTAAACTGTAATTAAAAATGGTCAGATCACGCTTCTGAATATAAATGAATGGATAATCCATAAACAAGGTTGTGTGTCATATATTCAATTCGTCAGAAAGAACTCCAATGGCTTCCCATCAATGGCTCCGAGACAGCTTCCATCCCTCCTTGCTATTTGCATCCATCTTCCTTCTAGTCCTACTGAAATTTCTATTGAACGGAAAGTCGAGCAAAAGAAAACCCAATCTTCCGCCAAGCCCTCCAAAGTTACCAATCATTGGCAACCTACACCAGCTAGGTAGCATGCCACACCTGTCTCTCCAACGCCTAGCTCAGAAGTTTGGTCCAATTCTTTACTTACAACTAGGTGAGGTCCCAACTGTGGTGATTTCATCAGCTAGAATGGCAAAGGAAGTGATGAAAACTCACGACCTTGCACTTTCAAGCCGCCCCCAAATCTTTTCAGCGAAACATCTGTTCTATGATTGCACTGATATTGCCTTCTCCCCTTATGGTGCTTACTGGAGGCATATTCGGAAAATATGTATTCTTGAACTACTAAGTGCTAAACGGGTTCAATCATTTAGCTTTGTCAGAGATGAAGAGGTTGCCCGTTTGATACGTAGAATTGCAGAGTCTTATCCAAGCACCACAAATCTAAGCAAGATGCTAGGCTTATATGCAAATGATGTTCTCTGTCGAGTTGCATTTGGAAGAGATTTCTCACAAGGAGGAGAATACGATCGGCATGGATTCCAAAAGATGCTTGAAGAGTATCAAGAGTTACTTGGAGGGTTTAGCACAGGAGATTTCTTCCCTTCCATGGAGTTCATACACAACATAACGGGTATGAAATCAAGACTCAAGCACACATTCCGACGATTTGATCAGTTTTTTGATGAGGTAATCAATGAACATCTTAATCCTGAGATACAGAAAGAGGAGCGCAGCAAGGACCTTGTGGATGTTTTGCTCGAGATACAGAAAAGTGGATCTAACGAAATTCCTCTCACCATGGACAACGTTAAAGCCATCATCTTGGTCAGTGAAGAGATTGAACCTTTTGTTTATTGAACTTCACCAATGTCATGAAGTCTATAGTTGCAGATAGATGGTCACCGACAAAAACTATTGATTTTGCAGGACATGTTTGCTGCAGGAACTGACACGACATTCATAACTCTTGATTGGGGAATGACAGAGCTTATTATGAATTCAAAGGTCTTGGAAAGAGCTCGAGCTGAAGTCCGAAAAGTTGTAGGAGAGAGAAGAGTGGTCTTAGAAAGTGATCTGCCTCAGCTTGATTACATGAAAGCTGTCCTCAAAGAGATCTTCCGCTTGCATCCTCCAGCTCCGGTCTTAGTCCCCAGAGAATCCATGGAAGATATTATAATCAATGGGTTTGATATTCCGGCCAAAACACGGGTTTTTGTCAATGCCTGGGCAATAGGGAGAGATCCAGAGTCATGGGAAAATCCTGAGTCATTTGAACCAGAAAGGTTTCTAGATAGTCCAATCGACTTCAAAGGGCAAGATTTTGAATTGATACCATTTGGAGCTGGTAGAAGAAGTTGTCCAGCAATAACACTTAGCACAGCAAGTGTGGAGCTTGCACTGGCTCAGCTTGTCTATAGTTTTGATTGGGAACTTCCCCCAGGTACTGAAGCTAAAGATTTGGATCTGACAGAAACTTTTGGCATCACAATGCACAGGATAACTGATCTGATGGTTATTGCTAAACCGCATTTTCCTTAAGGCAGGGCATCATTGAGAAAGATAGTAAAATAACTAGATAATAGCCCAAGCTTGAAGGGAAGGGTGGAATAAGCTGTTATCTGATTCTAAAATATCATGCTTGACTGTTCTGCAAAATACATTAAAGCAATATGCCAATGTAATACTTCCAACATGGTATTTCATAGGAAATAAAGACCACAGATAAAAATATATACATAACATATTATGTTCATGAGATTGAAGTTAAAAAGCAGTGATTAGAAAAAAACGCTCACTAGACAGACGAACGTCAAGTAGAGGCTTGTTAGAAAGTTGAATTGCATAATCTGCCTCTCTGGGTATAAGAATCTTAACTTTTCCTTCCCTAATCTGTACAAACAACACAGCTAAAACATTACTGCTAAAAGCGCAAGCACCCACATGAAGGCTCAATTTGATGGATTTTGCAGAATCATCACAATCATCATCCTCATTATACTTGTTAAGCAAAAAAATATTAAATCATATTAAATTATTATTGTATATATAATTTATTATTTAATTTTGTTTTCTATCTCTGATATTTATTGGCTCTTCTAGCAACACGATCTAAAACTTTTAATATTTATCAAAATCAATCTTTTTATACTTTTTTTTTTTAATTTTTTGTATCAAGGTTAAAATCCTATGAGAGGGAGAGGCTGGGTTGAACCCCAATCTTATATCTTCTTAAATCTTTTTATACTTTCAAGGATACTAAAATGTACTCTGTTGATTTTCCTTGGGCCACGCAATCCTCAATAGTGATCTGGCATCGCCATGCATAGGAGCCAAAGAACATGGTCCCCAGATACGACTTTCCTGCAACAAGACAGAAGGACCACTCATCTCGAGGAAAGCAGTAAATTACGATTTCCTTGCAGGAATGGTAGGTAAATGCAAACAAATTACCACATTTCCTTGGCATATGTTTGCCAAATACAAGTAAAAACTTCCAACTAAAATGATTACGAGATGTTTTGATTTTCTTTGATGCATGTTTAGGTGTGCTGAGATATTTTTTGGTGGGAGAACATGGGACCCCTTGGAACTTTATTGATGGACCTGTCGAATCTATCAAAGGGAAGAAGAAAGTTGGTCCCGAAGTCAGGATTCCGAATACGTTTCAAACGAGGAAAGTTTAAGACATGTTAACATGATATTTTTTGTAGCATTATTCTCTTGTGGGCCTCGTATGAGGACCTGATGTAACAGTGATTATTTGAGTGAGGTCGATTTGGAAGTTTGCCAATGCCTTGTCTTGTTATTCAACCAAGTAACCAATCTAAGCTTGAGTGTCCCGATCCTAGAGTGAAAACTTGTCAAGGGAAAAAAAATAAAAAGTCTTGCAGCAGAACATCATGGCTAAATGACAAAATATTTTGTCAGAGAAAGGGGAGGAAAAAAGGAAAGCACCCATAGACCGATGGAGCTCTTGAAATATTGTTTTGCAAAGTTTTCAAAATAGATAAAGATTAAACTGGCGGTGGGGGAACGATCACCGGTAGTACGTCTTTCACTTGGTATTTGATAAAAATTAAGTTGAATGATTAAATAAATGTTTTTGTTAACAAAAATTAGATAAAAAGTGGCAAATGTCAAAGTGAAACCAAATATTTCAAGCAAGGAGTAGAAAAAGTATTTTATGTTAGGAAATTAGGATTCAGTCTCATGTAAGTGATTTTAGATCAAGTAAAGGCTATGAATCTTGATCTTTAATTTTACATAGAGCTCTAGTTACTTAATAAAAAAGAGGTGGAGTTATTTTAAGGGGGTGTCAAAAACCAAGTAAAAAAAGTAAAAAGTAAAAAAAAAAGCAAAGAGAAAAAGAAAAGAGAGAGTTAATTGAACGAAAATCGATCCGTGATTCGATTGAGTTGGAACCTTGTCAGGAAGTTTATGATTCAGAGTTTTACATTCTGAACGGTGAAGATCGGGTTTGAAGCTCTCTATGAACAAATTCAGGGTGTATTTGTTGAGTCACTTATTTTGTGAGATTTCTTCAATTGTTTCTTTAGTTGTTGATTAGCTCTAGGTTTAGTTAGAGAAAAACTTTGTATACCTATTATTTGATAGTGAAGATTTTTTTGGTGGTCCGTGATTTTTTCTCTCTATACTGGAGGGTTTTTTACGTAAATCTTGGTGTGCTTTATTTTTCCTACGTCTTTGATTATTGATTGTTGTTTATTACTTCTAAATTATTGTGATTATTGCTTCAGGTGCAACAAGTGGTATCAGAGCGAAGGTTATTTTGAGACATCGATACAGAAGCAACCTAAGATAGAAGTAAATTATGTTTGAGATTATGGAGGGTGATACAGGTTCCATAATAAAATTGACAGCATCAAATTATTCAATTTGGAAGCTTATGATGGAGGATCATCTATACTGCAAAGATTTATATGAGCTAATATTGGGTGATTCGGCTAAACCAGTAGATATAAAAAATGAAAGTTGAAAGAAGCTAAGTAGAAAGACGCTAGCTACAATCAAAAAATGAGTTGATATCAGTGTGTTTTATCATGTAGCACAGGAGTCAGATGCTCACATTGTTTGAAAAAAATTGACAGCATTGTATGAGAGAAAAATAAGTATGAATAAAGTTATACTTGTTAAAAAGCTTGCAACTTTACAATACATGGATGGACAATCTGTTACAAAGCACTTAAGTGATTTTCAAGATATATTTAATCAGATGACTACTATAGAGCTTAAGATGGATGATAAAATAAATGCGTTATTTCTTTTGGGTTAATTGTCAAACAGCTGGAATACTCTAGTTATGATTGTTCTTAATTTAGCTCTTGATTATAAGGTGACATTGGAGATGGTAAATGACAGTATACTTAATGAAAAAGCAAGACGAAAAGATGTAGACTTTGAGAATCAAGCTCTGGTCACAGAAAACAGGGGTAGAAACATCGACAGAGGTCAGGACTCAAAAGGCCATGGTAAGTCTAAACATAGATCCAAGTTTAGAGGTAAAGTGAAGTATTTCTATTGTGGTAAGGTAGGTCATATAAAATGAAACTGTAAAATCTTGAAGCAAGAGCGAAAATATAAAAAAGGTAAGAGTTCAAATGATGGCAATGTTACAGCAGTGAATTCAGATAGTGATTCAGTTACTTTAATTTATACACATGATAATTATAATCATGTTAGTGATCCCGGTATTAAGTGGATAGTTGACACAAAAGCGACATATCATTGTGTTCCTAAGAGAGAATTATTTACAACTTACAAAGTAGGAGATTTTGGTTGTACCAAGATGGAAAATAAAAGTGTGTCACAGATTATTGAGATTGGTGATATTATTATACAAACTAGTACAGGCTGCATGTTGACTTTAAAAGATGTCAGATACATTTCAGATATGAGAATTAACTTGCTTGCTATTAATATCCTTGATAAGGAGGGATATGAAAGTCGACAAAAGAATGAACAGTGAAAGCTTCTCAAAGGATTTATGATAGTTGCAAGGAAAAAACTATGCTGCACAATGTATAAAACATGGATGCAATTGAACGGTAACCAGGTAAATACCGTTGAAGATGATACTTCAGTAAACTTATGGCATAGGAAGCTGGCACACATGAGTGAAAAAGAGTTACAATTTTTGGTAAAACAGTCTTTTATTCCCTTGACCAAAGGTATATCTCTCGATTCATGTGATTATTATTTATTTGATAAGCATCATGGAGTTTCTTTTCGTAAAAGTTCTCAGAGAAAAAAAATAGATTGAAATTAATTTATTTTGATGTATGTGATCCTATTGAGGTTGAGTTATTAGGTGATAGCAAATATTTTATTACTTTTATTAATGATGCTTCACGTAAGACTTGAGTGTATGTGTTAAAATATAAAAATCAGGTACTACAGTATTTTTAAAAATTTTATGTCATGATTAAAAGGATGATAGGGTTACCCTTGAAGTGTATTCGAACTGATAATAGTGAGGAATACACATCTAAAGGCTTTGAAGAGTATTGTTCAAAGCATGGGATCAGGTATGAGATGACAGAACCTGAAACACTATAGCATAATGGTATAGCTGAAAGAATGAATCGTACCATTGTGAAAAAAAGTCAGATGTATGTTGAGGATAGCAAAATTACCAAAGCCATTCTAAGGTAAAGCAGTTAATACAGCTTGTTATTTACTTAACAGATCACCACCAGTTTTTTTGGGCTTTGACATTTCAAAAAAAGTGTGGACAGGGAAAGATACTTCATACTCTCACTTAAAAATTTTTAAGTGTAAAGTATTCATACATGTGCTGAAAGAACAGAGATCAAAGCTTGACAATAAAGTCACACAGTGTGTGTTTGTAGGATATGGTGATGAAAAATTTGACTACAGGGTATGGGATCCAGTAAAACAAAAGACAGTCAAAAACAGAGATGTGGTCTTTCATGAAAAAAAATCATAGCAGACCTTGAAAAAAATGAGTAGACTACACAAGTTACTGTTGAGTGTGATATTTTAATACCGATAGAAATTCCACAAGAAAGAGCCACAGATGGTGAAAATAAGTAAGAAACAGAATTTAAGGATATGAATGAGCCAGCCACAATTAGTGATGAGCCAAATGTAATTAGTTTTGAGTAGGGGGAGCAATCATTTCTACTTGAAAGTGTTAAGCAGGGAGAGCTACCTTCGGCATCAAGTGATGTAAAGTCTCAACCCAGGAGATCTACTAGAGAGTGCAGACCATCTACCAAGTATCCAAGTTCAGATTTTATTTTAGTTACCAGTGAATAAGAGCCAAAAAGCTTCCAAGATGTGTAAGCTACTCCGGATAGAGAGCACTGGTTAAAAGTAATGAAAGAAAAGATGGAGTCATTACAAAAGAATGGTACTTATGATCTTGTTAAACTTTTAAAAGAGAAGAGACCATTAAAGAATAAATAGGTGTTTAAGTTAAAAAAAAGATGGTGACAAACTAGTGAGGTATAAAGCTCGATTGGTAGTAAAAAGTTTTTCTCAAAAATCAGGCATCGATTTTGATGAGATCTTTGCTCCAGTTATAAAGATGAGTTATATTCGAATGGTACTGGGATTAACAGTTAGTTTGAATCTTGAGCTTGAGTAACTTGATGTTAAAACTGCATTTTTGCATGGTGATTTACAAGAGGACATTTATATGAATCAACCTGAGGGTTTTGAACTGAAAGGGAAAGAGCACTTAGTTTACAAATTGAAAAAAAGCTTGTATAGCTTAAAACAAGCTCCGCGACAGTGGTACAAGAAGTTTGATTCCTTTATGGTGAGTCATAGCTATAAAAGAATAACAACGGATTCTTATGTATATGTTAAACAATTTCTTAATGGTAACTTTATTATCCTATTATTATATGTTGATGATATGTTAATTGTAGGATAAAATGCTAGTATGGTTTGTAGGTTGAAAGAACAATTGTTTAAGTCCTTTGATATGAAAAATTAGATCCAGCAAAACAGATTCTTGGTATGAACATTATCCGAGATAAGAGAGTTGAAAAGCTGTGGTTGTCACAGAAAAAGTATGTTGAACGAGTACTTGGTAGATTTAATATGCAACATGCTAAATCAGTTAGCAGTCCACTTGCCAATCATTTTCATCTAAGTAAGAAATCTTATCCAGTGTCTAAGGAAGAACAACTAGCTATGTCTAGTATTCCTTATTCTTCTGCAGTCGGTTCTTTAATGTATCTTATGATTTATACAAGACCTGACATTGCTCATGCAGTTGGTGTAGTGAGCAGATTTTTTTCTAATCAAGGGAAGGTTCACTGGGAAGCAGTGAAATAAATTTTTAGATTTTTGAAAGGTACCTCAAAAATATGCTTGACTTATGGAGTTTCACAACCAATTCTAAGGTTTACTGATGCTGACATGACAGGTGATCTTGATGGTAGAAAATCTACTTTAGGGTATTTGTTCACTTTTGCAAGAAGAGCTGTATCTTGACAATCTAAGTTACAGAAGTGTATTGCTTTATCAATTACAGAGGTTGAATATATTGCAGTAACCAAAGCATGTAAAGAAATACTTGGATGAAACATTTTTTTTTTGAATTAGGGTTAAATCAAAAAGAGTATGTGATATTTTATGATAGCTAGAGTGCTTTAGATTTGAGTAAGAATACCATGTACCATGCTAGAACAAAGCACATTGATGTTAGATATCATTGGTTACGTTCAGTGATTGAAGAACAGCAAATACTGTTGAAGAAAGTTCATACTAATAAGAATGTAGTAGATATGTTAACTAAGATATTTTTAAGGGAAAAGCTTGAGCTTTGCAGTAACTTGGCTGGAATGAGTTCCCTAGCCAAGGTAAGTTCCAAATGAAACTGCTATGATGATGAATCTCCTTTTAATGGGGCTAGATGGGGAGATTGATAGGAAAATGGGGTCTAGCCTCATGTAAGTGGTTTTGGACCAAGTAAAGGTCATAGGTCTTGATCTTTCATTTTACACAGAGCTTTAGCTACTTAATAAAAAAGAAATGGGGTTGTTTTAAGTGGGTGTCGAAAACCAAGTAGAAAAAGAAAAAAAGCCAGAAAAAGCAGAGAGAAAAAAGAGAATGAAAAGTTAGTTAAACGGAAGTCGATCCGTGATCCGATTGAGTTGAAACCTTGTCAGGAGGTTCATGATTCAGAGTTTTATATTATGAACAGTGAAGATCAAGTTTGAAGCTGTCTATGAACAAATCAATAGTGTATTTGTTGAGTCACTTATTTGATACGATTTCTTCAATTATTTCTTTAGGTTGTGATTAGCTATAATTTTAACTAAAGAAGAACTTTATATACCTATATTGATAAGTGAAGATTTTGCTCTGGTGGTCCGTAATTTTTTCTTCTACACTGAAAGATATTTTCACGTAAATCTTAATGTGTTTTATTTTTTTTTGCGTCCTTGATTATTGATTGTTATCTATTGTTCTGTATTGTTAGTTATTTGCTTCTGTACTTGTTAATGATTATTGCTTCAGGCGCAACACTTTAAACCGTAAGGCAACTTAAACTGTAATAAAAGGGTCAGATCTACGCTGTCTGGAATAATAATGAATGGATAATCCATAAACAAGGTTGTGTGTCAGTATATTCAATTCGTCAGAAAGAACTCCAGTGGCTTCCCTTCAATGGGCTCCGAGACAGCTTCCATCCCTCCTTGCTATTTGCATCCATCTTCCTTCTAGTCCTACTGAAATTTCTATTGAACGGAAAGTCGAGCAAAAGAAAACCCAATCTTCCGCCAAGCCCTCCAAAGTTACCAATCATTGGCAACCTACACCAGCTAGGTAGCATGCCACACCTGTCTCTCCAACGCCTAGCTCAGAAGTTTGGTCCAATTCTTTACTTACAACTAGGTGAGGTCCCAACTGTGGTGATTTCATCAGCTAGAATGGCAAAGGAAGTGATGAAAACTCACGACCTTGCACTTTCAAGCCGCCCCCAAATCTTTTCAGCGAAACATCTGTTCTATGATTGCACTGATATTGCCTTCTCCCCTTATGGTGCTTACTGGAGGCATATTCGGAAAATATGTATTCTTGAACTACTAAGTGCTAAACGGGTTCAATCATTTAGCTTTGTCAGAGATGAAGAGGTTGCCCGTTTGATACGTAGAATTGCAGAGTCTTATCCAAGCACCACAAATCTAAGCAAGATGCTAGGCTTATATGCAAATGATGTTCTCTGTCGAGTTGCATTTGGAAGAGATTTCTCACAAGGAGGAGAATACGATCGGCATGGATTCCAAAAGATGCTTGAAGAGTATCAAGAGTTACTTGGAGGGTTTAGCACAGGAGATTTCTTCCCTTCCATGGAGTTCATACACAACATAACGGGTATGAAATCAAGACTCAGGCACACATTCCGACGATTTGATCAGTTTTTCGATGAGGTAATCAATGAACATCTTAATCCTGAGATACAGAAAGAGGAGCGCAGCAAGGACCTTGTGGATGTTTTGCTCGAGATACAGAAAAGTGGATCTAGCGAAATTCCTCTCACCATGGACAACGTTAAAGCCATCATCTTGGTCAGTGAAGAAATTGAACCTTTTGTTTATTGAACTTCACCAATGTCATGAAGTCTATAGTTGCAGATAGATGGTCACTGACAAAAACTATTGATTTTGCAGGACATGTTTGCTGCAGGAACTGACACGACATTCATAACTCTTGATTGGGGAATGACAGAGTTTATTATGAATCCAAAGGTCTTGGAAAGAGCTCAAGCTGAAGTCCGAAAAGTTGTAGGAGAGAGAAGAGTGGTCTTAGAAAGTGATCTGCCTCAGCTTGATTACATGAAAGCTGTCATCAAAGAGATCTTCCGCTTGCATCCTCCAGCTCCGGTCTCAGTCCCCAGAGAATCCATGGAAGATATTATAACCAATGGGTTTGATATTCCGGCCAAAACACGGGTTTTTGTCAATGCCTGGGCAATAGGGAGAGATCCAGAGTCATGGGAAAATCCTGAGTCATTTGAACCAGAAAGGTTTCTAGATAGTCCAATCGACTTCAAAGGGCAAGATTTTGAATTGATACCATTTGGAGCTGGTAGAAGAATTTGTCCAGCAATAACATTTAGCACAGCAAGTGTGGAGCTTGCACTGGCTCAGCTTCTCTATAGTTTTGATTGGGAACTTCCCCCAGGTACTGAAGCTAAAGATTTGGATCTGACAGAAACTTTTGGCATCACAATGCACAGGATAGCTGATCTGCTGGTTATTGCCAAACCACATTTTCCTTAAGGCAGGGCATCATTGAGAAAGATAGTAAAATAACTAGATAATAGCCCAAGCTTGAAGGGAAGGGTGGAATAAGCTGTTATCTGATTCTAAAATATCATGCTTGACTGTTCTGCAAAATACATTAAAGCAATATGCCAATGTAATACTTCCAACATGGTATTTCATAGGAAATAAAGACCACAGATAAAAATATATACATAACATATTATGTTCATGAGATTGAAGTTAAAAAGCAGTGATTAGAAAAAAAACGCTCACGAGACAGACGAACATCAAGTAGAGGCTTGTTAGAAAGTTGAATTGCATAACCTGCCTCTCTGGGTATAAGAATCTTAACTTTTCCTTCCCTAATCTGTACAAACAACACAGCTAAAACATTACTGCTAAAAGCGCAAGCACATGAAAGCTCAATTTGATGGATTTTGCAGAATCATCACAATCATCATCCTCATTATACTTGTTAAGCAACATAAACCCATGTTAGAAAAAGAAATACTTTATCAAAAGATAACAGAGAAAATTCAATAAAAAAAAAAAAAACCATAACATCACATCTTTTCTTTGCAGCAGCCATATCTCTCATTTGCTTCAATTCATAATCTTCATCATCAGCTTGCATGCGAATAACCCCACATCGCCGATTTCATCAGAGGAACAAGAACAAAAAGTTAAAATCAATGGAAAAAAGCCAAAACAAAGTAGAAAATGAAAACCCATTTTATTAAAAGGTGGAAAAAGGGGAAGAAAAGCATACGGAAAGGTTATGTCATATTAACTATTTAACTAACAATAATAGATATCAAAATACTTAATTGAACAAAAATTAAAATATTAAATTAAAATTTTTATCTCTTTAAATATTAAACTTATAAAAAATAAATAATACTGAGACCATTTTACATATTAACCCTTTTTATCAGATTATTTTATTTTATCTTTTCTGGGTTGGGTTACGGGGATTGCTTTATCCGGATGATGATATTCGAAAATGCAAGCGGCTTCATACACACCTGTAACGACGTCGTTCTTTTCGTCTTTAGTTTTAACTTTTTTTAAGCTTTATATTTTTAGTTCACAAAAACAGATAGTAAGAGATTTAATGCTTTTTCCATTTAATAATACTAATAATAATAATTTTAAAATATTTTTAAAAATTTTTTTTTTTAATCTTGAATTCTAATTACAATATATATCTATTGTTTTATACATCGTGAGTAAAAATTTTAAACTCCACTAATAAAATTAGAACTAATTATATTTGATTAAAAATTTTATAATAATAGTGAATGAATATTTTCATTCATAGTCGAAAATAATTGATGAAATGACATTTTTTATTTAAATAGTTATGATTTTAATTTTTTAAAATTTAATTATTTAAAATATAAATAAAATTAATTATTTTTATTATTTATAAAATTGAAAATTAATATTAAATTTAATAAATGTAAATGTCAAAAGTCAAGTAATTAGGTTAAATTCCCACAAAGACTCATCTTAATAACGAGGAAAATGTAAATTATTTTATAATAATTGATAATTTAAAATATGATATAAAAATAATATATAAAAATAAGAAGATTTGAAATTATAATAATAATTATATTTGAATTTAATAAAATAAAAAAAATTATATTTTATATTTTTATATTAATATAAATTATAATATGTAATTTTTATATAAAATATAATATAAATATATAAATTTAATTTTTTATAAAATATAAATATATAAATCGTCGTATCAATCTTATGAAAAACCCAATTTAGTGTCGAAATCGTTTGGTGTGGCCAACCCATATGGATCTAGATCGACCATGGCTTTACTCAAGTCTTTAAAAGACCAAAACCAATCTAGTCGACCGGCCTTAAGCCCTACTTTGCTACTTGCCTTGGTGAAGAATCTTACAGCAAAGCCGAAAATCATGACAGAAATACAAAGATGAATGGCGGAAAGAAGAAAAGAAACTCTTGGAAAATTATAGACATTTATACAAAAGAAGGTGAAATTTGAAAGATCAATGGCGGCCCCTTCGATTTCAGTGAGTAAAATTTTTTATTTAATTTTTATTTTCCTCGAAATTTTAATTTCTTAGCGTTATTTGTTTTTGGTTTGCTGTCGCAGATAGACGAAGTATGACAAAATAGGCTGTACCTGAAAATGCAACGATTGATCAACCACCTCTCTCTGATTAGGGCATTTATTTCATGCCTATCCATATCCCTTGGTAGCTGTTCCTATACTAATCAAAATTTGATTTTCATGCCTAGGATTGATGCTAATTGACTGTGTTTTAAGTTTCTTTTTTGGAGATAAATTAAAAGGGTCTGATGGAGAAAATAGTTGCAAATGATTAAATTTAAGTTTTAAATTTATGAATTATTATTTTTAAAAAATAATTATATGAATTAATTAAATTGAATTTTAAATTTTAAATTTACAAGAATTTTTAATTAACAAATTGAATGATTTCTAATGTATAGATAAACTCTATTATTTTCGATCGACAAACAATTTTGTACTCAATTATATCACTTAATTAGCTAATAATCTACTTAATGTACCAAAACTAATTAATGTTCTTCATGAAAATATTTACTATAATTCTAACATTAATAGTATCAGTCGTGACTAATTAAAAAATTAGTTCACATGTTTATTAACTTTTTTCAATAAGCACTTCATCCACACACTCATAAATGAATTTGAAAATTTTAAACAAATTAGTAGTACTGTGCAATTTAATTGTTAGATTAAAAGTGAATACCCCATTAACAGAATCAGATTAAACGTTGTAATGAATTAATTTTATAGCATAGAATTTTATTATACCATAAAAAACTTTACAGTGGAACATAGATATTTAAGGCAAGTTTTTTACACAAAAGAGACTAATTATAGATCCTAAATCTTAGCCCATGTTTGGATTGAAATAAGGGAAAAGAAAAGAAAAGAAAAGAATGAAAATGAAACAAGAAGAAATGAAGAATCTTTTTTTTTATTTGTATATGACAGAAATAAAAATAAAAATAAGTATGCTTAGCTCTCATTTGGTTTCTTTCAATTCTTTTTTTTTTTTTAATTACTCCAAATTGAGAGAAAAGGAAGGGAAATGAAAAGAATAAAATTTTTAAAATATAAAATGATTATTATATCTTTATTAATACTTTTAAATTAAAAGTATATGATTTTTAACTCTAAAATTATATTGAGAATACAAAACATTATTTATCAATAAATTTATTATCTCAATTTTTTTTATGAATTTCATTAATTTTATTGATAATTATTTTTATGAAGAAATAAAAAAAATTGAAAATATGGAATACGTTAATATAAACATGTAAATCTTATAGTAAAAATAAAGATTATCAAAGGTTATAATTAGAAAAAAATAATATAATAAATCATTTCTTTCTCATTCCATTATTTAACCAAACAATGATTATTAAAATTTATTTACTTTCTTTTCTTTTATTAGTTTTAGCCATCCAAACAAATTATATATATATCATTTTCTTTCCTTTTAAAAACCTTTCATTACTTTATTTTACTTTTTTTTTTATTAATATTTATCCAAACAAAACGTTAATTCAACTCTAATATTTTTGAAAATCTATCTCTTAAAAATGAATGAATCATTTGAATTAAAACCAAATTTGTTAATGTAAATTGATAAATGTGAGTAATTAGTTTAGTACTTTTGCATGTAGGTGTGATTTATGGATAAACTTTGAGAATCTTAATTTCTAAAATGGACTGAATAAATGAAATTTATGAGATAAGGGAGGAAGTTATATCTTATAATTATGTAACTCGATCAACAAGGTTTACTCCAATGAAAAAATAATCTAATGAGTGGATTATGAAAAAATTTTAGAAAGGGGAGGGATATTCAGACGTTTTCTTTGTTGTCTTATCCATTGGGAGTCTGGTAATCCTCTTGTAATACCGATTCACGGGTTCAAAGAACCGTATGCAATCCATTGTCGTTTATATTCGAAGCAATGCGGCTTTGTCCCCACCATCGATTGTGAATGAAATTATTCTCAATTAAATGATTGTTTTGACATCGCCAATTTGCTCCTTGCCTCTAGAATAATGTAACCCCCACCTTCCGCGGACGGTCTGATATGTAACTTCAGTCAGAATCTAGAAACCATAATTATAGTTCATTTCTTTCTCTCCAAACCGACCATTCGACTTCAGTACTGCATGGATTTTCAGTTTATCCTGACGCTCTTATTGATTGCTATGACAGCTCTGGTGTTATTGATCAATCAGGAAAAGAAGAAACTTCGAGCAAGAAGGCTTCCCCCTGGTCCACCGAAACTCCCTGTTATAGGCAACCTACACCAGCTTGGTGACTTACCCCATAAATCGATTCAACAACTTTCGCAAAAATATGGTTCGCTCATGTTTTTGCAACTAGGCTCAGTGCCAACTCTAGTTGTCTCTTCGGCAGATGCTGCAAGGGCAGTCTTCAAAGGCCATGATATTGTCTTTTCTGGTAGGCCTGCTGATTTATATGTTGCAAAGAAATTTATTTACAATTTGAACAGCATATCTTTTGCTCCCTATGGTGAGTTATGGAGGGAGATCAGGAAGATAGCGACATTGAAGCTTCTTAGTTCAAAGAGGGTCCAATCATTCCTAGCTATGAGGGAAGAAGAGGTTGAACTTACGCTAAATCATATAGCTTCCTCGTCCGGCCCTGTAAATCTTAATAAACTATCGATCCTGTTGACAAATAATGTTGTATGTCGCGTTGCTTTCGGTAAAAAAATATGGCAATGCAGGAAATGGTGGAACGAGCAGATTCGACGCCCTAATCCATGAAACTCAACTCCTCCTGGGGGAATTTCCTTTCTCAGATTACTTTCCATGTATGTGGTGGTTCAATAAGTTTAATGGTCTGGAAGCAAGAGTTGAAAAGAACTTCAGAGAACTCGACAAGTTTTATAACTAAGTAATAGAGGACCATCTTGCTCCAACCAGGCCTGAAGTCAACCACGAAGATATTGTGGATGTACTTATTCGAATACAAAAGGATCCAAGTCAAGGGATTACTCTCAGCAATCAACAAATTAAGGGTATCCTCACGGTATAAATGCTAAACACTTTAATTTTCTCAATTGTTTTCATAATTTCTTTCATTATTTTCCTTGGTATAAAAGAAATAGCTGTCGTAGATAAGAGAAAGAATTATAAATGTTAAAATTTGAAATCTTAAACTTACAAGCACTGAAAGACATTTTAAAATTATCTGCATAAGTTAACTGAATTAAATATTTTGTTCAATTTCTTTTATTATTTTTACATTGCTGAGATTGACCCTGAAATGATTTCAGGACGTGTTCCTAGCGGGGACTGATACGGCTGCAGCTACTCTTGTTTAGACCTTAACCGAGTTGATAAGAAATCCATCATTGATGGAAAGAGCACAAGCTGAGGTGCGAGAAGTTGCCAAAGGAAGAGGGAAAGTTGAAGAAATTGACCTTCCTAAACTGCCTCACTTAGAATTAGTTATAAAGGAGGCACTTAGGCTCCACCCACCTGTCCCTCTATTGATCCCCCGAGAAACAATAGAGGATTGTGCGATTGGAGATTACACAATTCCAGCCAAAACAAGGGTACTTGTTGATGTAAGATCAATAGGAACTGATCCGAAATATTGGGAGAACCCAAATGAGTTTCGACCTGACAGATTCTTGAATAGCTCAATTGATTTCAAAGGGCAACACTTTGAGTTTTTACCTTTCGGTGCAGGCCGAAGTGGTTGTCCTGGATCAGGTTTCGCTGTGTTGCTTGTTCAGCTTGCACTGGCAAATCTTTTACATCGCTTCGACTGGGGACTGCCTGATGGAATGAGAATTGTAGATATGGATATGGAACAAGACTTCGGGCTTACAATGTTCAAGAAAACCCCTCCCGTCTGGTAGCTAGGACTGTCAGTGAATAATGAATCATTAATCGTGTTAGTAACATGTAGTCCCCAAAATAAAGATTGATTTATTCATGATATATATTTTTTATTTTGAATTACAGTTGACATTCGAGTACGAAACTTTTAGTCTTGGAATCGATTTTAGTGTAACTGATTCTTGTTTTATTTTCCTCTCACCACTGATTTTATTTTTTTTTGAACAAATCATATTTCTTGACAATCAGATTGATGACTGGTTTTGCAGATAGGAGCTAGCCTATATGATCCTCAAGACTTTTCAAACCATTCACATGCCCATGACATCGATGGTTTCGGGGATAATCCACTACAGTTGTCACTGTCTCGGGTGTTGCCGTTGCGTATTGTAATCCCTTCCCCCTTTCCTTTCCGGTTTAAGAATAATATATTAAGTTTGAGATGATATAGTATTAATTTTAAATTAAATTTATTTTAAAATTTAAAATTTTATTTAAATTTGATTAAATTTGATTTTTTAAATTTAAATTTAATTAAAGATAAAAATTAAATTATTTATACTCACTTGATTATATTCGATTAATATATAAAATTAAATTAAATTTTTATATTCAATTAAAATTTGATTATTTATGTTTGAGCTCAAACTCAAATTTAAGATATTTTATTAATTAAAATATAAAACTCAACTAAGCTTAGATATAAAAATATTTAAATTTAATTCAATTGATAAATTAAATTATTCGAATTCGATTCGATAATAAATAAATTAAATTTAAATTTTATTCAAATTAAAATCGAATAATTTATAAGTATCAATATATCATTTACTATTTTACCTTGACTTGTCAAAAAAGTACAAAAAAAAAAAGATTGGCTTTGACAGAAAACAATCGTATTATAATTATAGGATAACTTTATCATTATACTTTAAATTTTGGAATAATTTTATAATATTTTTTTAAAATTTTCTATTAAAATTTATTTTTAAATATCGATATGAAAAGAAAAAAAAACCTTGAAACTAAATTTTTATTTTTATTTTATTTATTTTTTATAATAACATTTTTTGTTTTTATTATTTTGTAACATTTTTTACTATACATAATGTCACATTATACTTTTTTTTATCTTGGCTTTTTCATTGTCATGGTTTTTTATTCAGAAAATTTTTGAGTTATAAAATATTTTTTAATAAAATATTTTTATTAAATATCATTTAATGGCTCTAAAATTTGAAGTATGACAATAAATTTGCTCAACAATAAAAATATAATGATAAAATTACATAATTGAGAGATTGGCGATAAATTTAGACAACTCGCATGGATAAAATGATAAATTTGCAACATGTAAAAAGCTATCAGGTTATTTTTATCTGTCAACACCCTTGCAAATGTTTTCAACATTTGATAATCTGTAAGTGAGAAACCCACGATATAAAAATAAATTTAATAATTTTAAATATGATATAATAATATAAAAATAATATAAATAAAAAATAAAAATATTATTATTTAAAATTTTAATAAAAATCATAAATAAATTTAACAAAATTAAAAAAATTATATTTCATATTTTTATTAACATAAATTGTAACACATAATATTTTATAAAATATAATATAAATATATAAATTTTTAATATTTTATATGATCAAACTTATAAATTATTATTTTATTTATGTCGTAAAGACAAGGGGTGGGGCCCTTCAAAATGACTTTAAAGGAGCATGTACAGGAGAATAATTGCCAATGATTAAGATGCCTATCTAATTCTAAGATTTTACTTTCACTTTCCAAAAAAGAAAAATGAAAAATATTATTTTTAATGAAATTAACTTTTTTGCAGTTGATCATATAATTCTCTGTAATCTTTTGTATAATTTAAATTTTAATTTGAGGTGTAAATGAATATTTATTTTTTTAAAGTTAAAATGAAGTAATGTATAAGAAGTATATTAATAGATAAAATTTAATAATTTTAGATATGATGGGATAATATTTTATGAAAAAATATAAATGAAATATAATTTAAAATTTTAATAAATATTATATATAAATTTAATAAAAATAAAAATATTTATATTTATATTTGATGTATATACGAATTACAATAGTTTTCATATTTTATAAAATGGCATACGAATTGCAAGATGAAAACGACGGAGAGGACGGGTTTTAGACAAAAAAGTGAAACTCAGTTAAAAGTTGAAACTGAAGTGGAAAGCCCAAGACCAAAGTTTACGTTAGGAGCGCAAGTGCGGTACTGGGTGTCATGTCACTATCAATGCCATCAAAGGCAACAAACGAAACTTCCGAGAACCAACCAGCCGACCCAATGCCAACCCAACCCATCTTCGCTGCTATTCGTCACCTTTTACCTCGTCCAGACATGGTCTTCTCCGCCCACAGACTTATCTCTTATCGCCTTCTTCTTCTTCTTTTTTTATTACCCACCCAACGCCAACAATGCTGCTGAATCTCTACTTTTTTTCTTAAAGGTAAAAACCAGAAACCCTTAGCTTTCTTTCTTTTTTGTGGATGTTCTTATTGTCTTTGACTCTAGGTTGGGTTGTTGAAATTTAGTCAATTTTGATCTATGGTGAATTTTGGAGGTTTTGGCTTCATGGGTTTTCAGCTAGGACTGTTTATAAATCTGTGGTCTTGGTATAAATGTGGTTAGATTTTAAATACATTTTATTTTTATTTTTTGGAGATTATAACCAGATTTATGTTTGTGAAAGTAATTAGAGGTGTGAAAATTGTCTGTTTAGTTTAAAAACAAACATTAGCGGGTGTATTGTAGAAAGTGTTGATTATTTTTTAATTAAAAAGTTCTGAGTTTATCCAGATAAATGCATGATGAATGACACTGCATTCACCTCGTAATTGAAGTTTCAAGTTTGAACGTGGATTTGTTTTCTTACTGGCATTGTCATTGTTGATTAATGTTACTTGTGACCACAAATTGGTTATCAGTTTGATTTTATACCTATAGTTGTCCTATTTCCCGTCATTTACTTTTTAATTCCCTTCATCTCCCCATCTTTTTAGAAGGGAAATCAGGTGATACTGAGTTTGGAAACGGCAGTAGCCTTCCCGTTTTGTAACCCTATACTCTTGCATAATGGAACTGAGGACTTTCCTTGTGAAAGGGAAAGAGGTTCCACTTTTCTGAAAATGCCAGCCGCTATTTTCGTCTTATTCAGTTCTTTGCTGCATTCATGTTCGTATATGTTGGATCTTGCAGAATACCTATAAATTATAGAGCTGATGGGTGGTGTAACATCAAAACGATCAACCACAGTGCAGTCCTCATCCATAGCATCTAATTCATATTCTTGGGATCCTCATAGATATGTGGTGCCATCATATGCTCCCTCTGGTGGAGACTATGTTCCCCAACAGCATTATGCCTCTCCACCTCAAAGCTATGGTGGTCATGCTACAGAGTCAAATAGGAGGTTGGAGAGAAAATATTCGAAGATAGATGATAACTACAATAGCCTGGAGCAGGTAATGTTATATTTGTAAACCTGTAGTTTCCCAGTGGTTGTACCGTTATAAATGCTAGATATGTTTAGTCAATATCTAAATTGCTAAGCGTGCTCTGACCAGGAATGTGCTTAGAGACTATCATTTTCATTATTTATAGGATGTTCATATTATCATTGCAAAAATAACTGTCACGTGGCAAATAAGAATAATAATAATAATAATAATAATAATAATAATAATAATAATAATAATAATGTAAGTTTCACCCCAACTATAGCAAATAATGATTGGGATTAACCCGTTATGCTCTTCTTTTTCCACAGGTCACCGATGCCCTAGCCCGCGCTGGCTTGGAGTCTTCTAATCTTATTGTTGGTATTGATTTCACAAAAAGCAATGACTGGACAGGTTTGAACTTGTCTTGATGCATTTAAAGTTTTCCTTTTGTTACAGTACAACACTTTTAATGTGCTTTAAATTAGGTGCAAGATCATTCCACCGAAGAAGTCTACACCACATTGGAGATGAGCAAAATCCATATGAACAAGCAATATCCATTATTGGAAAAACATTGTCTTCCTTTGATGAGGATAATTTAATTCCTTGTTTTGGATTTGGAGATGGTATACTCTTTGAATGATTTTTCAATTGGATCATTTAGTTTAATTTTTTTGGTAATTGAGATGATGTGAGATTCTTTGAACTGGCAGCATCAACACATGATCAAGAAGTGTTCAGCTTCTATCAAGATGAGACGTTTTGCAATGGATTTGAAGAAGTGTTGAGACGATACAGAGAATTAGTGCCTAATCTAAGACTTGCAGGTTATAATTCTTTTCACTTATTTTTTCTTTATTCTTTTGTTAGTCCTCTGCTTATCTTGTTCTCTTGACATTTTCCTTCGCCTCTACATCTACCTGCTTTTACTGTCTTTGACAGGACCAACATCGTTTGCTCCTATGATTGAAATGGCCGTCACCATTGTTGAGCAAAGTGGTGGGCAATACCATGTGTTACTGATAATAGCTGATGGGCAGGTAACTTGCCTGTTTTGTGTTGTACAATAATCCATTTACTGTCAAATACTCGGTATGTCGTATTAAAACAAGAAATGATAAAAAAAGAACACTTTGTTAGTGGCATGGTTCTACGTTCCTTCTCCCATAGTTAATAGGTCAGAGTACTGCAATCATTTATAATCTAGTTCCAGTATTGAATGACCAAAGCATTACACAAATTTGTTTTCATCATTTTAACCCCTTGAACTACAAGACTCCTCTGGTTGATTATTTAATTTTGTGTTAACACTGAGGCAAATGGCAAAGTTTGAGTGAAAATTTTATAGGTAACAATCTTCTATTGCTGAAATTTGAACTTTCTATCCAAAACACATTTGTAGGTGAAACCCATGCTTTAAATGTTAAAGTATTATGTAACTCAAAAAACTGGCTTCTGGGTAAATATTGAAACAGGAGTGTATGTGGGGATGCAGGTGTGCTGTTTACATACATATATATTTGGAAATGCTACAAGTACTTGGTTTATTCATGTGGCCTAAGATTACAGTAAAATCAAGAGCTAAATGAAAGTTACAGAGGTCCAAGATTAAAAGAATTAAAATTAATTTTTTAAGTCAGCAGCTAGTTTAGCATGGGACATCCTTAGATTTCATGTTCTCAGCTCAGTTCCTTGTTGACTGAGCATTAGCATTTTTAGCAGAAGCAGATAGAGAAACAAAATCTAATAAGTTACTTAAGAAAGCTGAGACAACACAAACACCAGGAAATAAGATGCCAAACTCGATATTTATTACTGGCTGTATGATAAAGACTGAAGTATTGCTTGCAAAAGCAGAACTCTTTGTCAGTAGTTCTGCAAACTTAAATTGTCTTTTATGCTGACTGGGAGCAGGTGACTAGAAGTGTTGATACGGAGCGTGGCCAACTAAGCCCACAAGAAATGAGAACAGTTGAAGCGATTGTGAAAGCAAGGTACTGTATGGTTGCTTGTGTCATCAAATGATACTTTTTTCTTTGTTATGCAACTTCTTAACATACTAATTACTTTACAGCGAGTACCCGTTGTCCATTATTTTAGTTGGAGTTGGAGATGGACCTTGGGACATGATGAGAGAATTTGATGATAACATTCCTGCCCGTGCCTTTGATAATTTCCAGGCAAGTATGGCTTGTGGACATTATTTTCTTTCCGTATTTGCTTCTTGAAGCTGGAAAGGTAACATGTATTATTCATATTTACTGTCTAATTTGAAATGCTGCCTCCTATAGTTTGTGAATTTTACAGATATAATGTCAAAGAACATGGATAGGTCCAGAAAAGAGGCAGAGTTTGCTCTTGCAGCATTGATGGAAATTCCTTCTCAGTACAAAGCAACACTGGAGCTTAACATATTGGGGTAATAATTAGTATTATTATAGTAGGTTTACAGGGCATTTTACTATTGTTGGTGGCTGGGATAACATTCAAATGCAACTTACTTTTTCTTTATTGGTTTAACAGTACTAGCAGGGGGAAGGCTATTGATAGGGTTTCTCTCCCCCCACCTCGCTATGGTCCGGGTTCTTTTAGCAACTCAAAACCTTCACGGTCAAGCAGTTTTCGTCCAACTGCACCTTCTTCCGGTAGATGTGAAGCACGTGTCGGCACAGCTCCTCCTGCAAGTTCTGCTTCAGATAATTATGTACTTTATCTAATCCTAATTGCTACAGCTTAACCTAATAATTAGCGTTTAACTTTTGCCATTCAATGACTTACTGGATGCAAGTCCCATAAAACAATCCCAAAAGAAGTTCCCATTTTCCTTGTTTGTTTGGTTGATAAAAACTGGTCAATGTGAAAATTTTGATGTTTTTCTTTCAAACTCCATTCTGACAGGTTTGTCCTATTTGTCTTTGCAATGCAAAGGATATGGCCTTTGGTTGTGGACATCAGGTAACATTTTTTCCTACGTTCCTTGGAGGAGCTTAAATTTAATGATGAACATCTAAGTTTTGCTTCCATGCAGACCTGCTGTGAGTGTGGGCAAGACCTTGAGTTGTGTCCTATTTGCCGAAATACCATCAATACCAGAATAAGACTCTATTAAGCAAAATATGCGTGCCTGGATTCTCCTCTGCTGTTTCTATCTTCCAGCATTCTGAGAGTAAGTCCTCGAGTTTCTTCTTGTGCTAAAGACTTAAGAATTGGGCATGATTGGATGTGGTATCAGGCCTTTTAATTGATTCAGAGAGAAGGGATACCCATCATACGTATCCACGGCTTTGTACATATATGTGGGTTTCGTCAAACTACAAAAACTTATTTATATATCTTTATATATTCAGTAGATCATATATAATTGTAATGTAATCAGCTATAGAACGACTGAGAGCAGACATGTCTCATTGTAGGACACCCTTGGATTGGCATCAGTATTCAGTTCCACGTTCCAATTGTAAGCTGTACTATTTTTTTCATGCTGTGAGATTTCACCTTCAGCCCCCGCATAACTTGGTTTGTTAGCTTTAAACCATAATCAGCTCAATAAAATAGTTCAATCTCTTTGCTGTCATGGGAATTGATCTTATTTGCCTGTTCTTTTTACTCTTGTCGAAATCTAACCATTTGTGTGGCGGCTTTGATGGTGGAAACCATTTTCTAAAGTGTGCAGCTAAAACTGGTGTGCAACATTGAACCTGCTTGCAATTCAGTAAAGCAAAAGGGGACATTGCCACATCGGTGATTCTGATCGGTTCGAACATTCCGCCTACAAACTTGGGTCAGTCATTCCCTGTTTATATACGCCTCAAACTTAATAAATTTTGACCAAAAATCTATTAGCCAAAAAATTTTGGATCAGTTTGAACTAAACATGTTTGTGCCAATATCTGACAATTGGTTGGCGGATCCAAATGAACACCTTCCTATTCCTAGTGAAGTGACCCAATGCTTTCATTGAGAATGAGTTTTGGAAACAGGCTTTGAAATCAAGTTGCAAAAACAGTATCATGATCATATAAGTTTGACAAACATGTTGGAAAATTAACGAGCTTTGGTATGATTTTTTTTTTAACAATGGAAGATGTACATATTCTCTATGTATTTAAGAAGAAATGTTGTCAAGTTTTAGAAGAAGCAAATTTTGAGGGGGGCTTTCGTTGGGGGTTGGGCCTTAGATTTCAACACTGACAACAACAATCAGTAGGTGGAAACTAACCAGCAGCAACTACTACCATTATTAATAACGTAAATGTAAAGTACCAGTATCCTATGTTGTCTTATCAACTACCATTACCAAATAATTCCAGCTCCCCAGTTTGCCTTTATTGCACTCAAACTTGTTTCTGTACCATTGCCCCTTTCGTTAGAAATTGAAGAAAAAGGAAATGATAAGACTATCAAAATCCCGTGAAAGAAAAGAAAAGCAAACCCACCACTCTCTCCTTCACAGGCTCTTCCTATATCTAGCCTATATTTACTTTGACTATTATGTCCAATTATAGTTATGAAATGGCTTCAGAGCCCAAGTTTTCTTATCACAGGCTGAAGAATGAAGGTTGGTTTGATGAAGCCGAAGAAGAAAAAGCAATATTATTCAAGAAGACAAGGACATGGCCAAGGGGGCTGAGGAGGTTCGGCATTAGGAGGAGGCGAAAGCTTCGAATTCCTGGGTTGAGAAGGTTCCAGAGCAAGAGAAGTAGGTTTTTCTCCAGAGTTAAACTTTCATGGGGAAAGGCTTTGAAAAGGCTGAAGAATGGGGAGGCTCACATGAACGATCTGTTTGGTGGAAATTTCCTGGTTATGCAGGTCAACCATACACCTTTTGGAAATGGCAAGAAGCCTTGCAGGGATCATGTTCGTGGGCTTCGTGGCTGGAGGTAGCCTGCTGGAAGAATTTACTTGGAAGGGACTCTCTCTCTCTCTCTCTATTTTTAATTTTGCTTCTGATATTATGGACCCCTCTCTCTTTGTGTGTTTAATTTTGCTTTGATTTTTTTTTTAATATTATTGCTTGTAATTACTTAGATTGTCCATAAACCTTTTAATAAAAACTATATCTAGTTTTATACTACTACTAAGTTTTATATTACTAATTCAAGAGAGACTGTTGTTACTTGTTTCACCTTTTTCTTTTTTTTTTTTATCTTAATTATCTGTATTTTTATGAAATGATGTTTAATCAAGAATGAATTCTACCAAATTCATGATTGAGATTAAAAATGGGTAACTAAGATATTAATGATTAATTTTTTTTTACAAAGTAGTAATATGAATATAGAAATTAAATTATAAATATTTAAATTTATATTTAAATTATGAATCAATCGAATTAAATTAAGAATTATATTAATAATTAATTTGATCATGTCGGGTGTAGCAAATAACTTAAAACAAAATTGTTAAGGCTAATGGAATGATAACTGTCATTAAATATTTTTATCAATAAAATTCTTTTTGCCTTGTCTTAGAAAAGTGATCGTTTAATTGTTATCAATCATGCCAAACAATTTGTCTATTAAGCAGAAAGATTGGTATCACAACTGTCTTTAGATACTCCAATAAAAATTCTTGCCCAAATTATAAACAGGAGGTACAAAAATGGAAATAAAATAATGCTAAAACTCATGTTGCCAAACAATCCTTTAAACGAAACCCAGGAAAGGAAAGACCGAAAACGGTGAAGACCAACCAGCCTAGAAATTTCTGGTGCCCGCATATCATTTTCTAATTGAACAATCAAAGGCAGATATGGCTTTGTTCTACGCTGATATCTTGCTCTTCCCTCTGGTCTCCCTCTTCTCAAGAAATCTAAAAGATTCACAGTCCACATCTTTAATTTGATCAATCATTACCCATCATTTGTCTAGTTGTTGCCGAAATGGGTTTTATGTTACAAGCCGATATGTATAGTAAATGTGGCGTACAATGCCTTAGAATGTGAACCCATTCGGGGTTTCAGGTGGTGAAAGTTCAGATTTTGTTAAGGCAGCCAGATTTTACGTAGCAATACAACATGGAAAGATTTTGTTCATTGTAATTGGCAATGGTATCTGGAGGAGTGACAAGTTTCATTACTCAACAGGCCGACTCTTTAGATAGAATTTCCCTTAGACTGACGCTTAGGTTGCAGCCAAATGTAGCCCCATTGCCATGCGTCGTGCCCTACAACGTGGGTAGACACGTTTTCTCCTCGGTGTTATTATTTCGTTCATGGTTCACAATTTCCACAATCTCAGCCAGTTTTGCATTTCTCCATTAATAAAATCCGAGTCTTGTACTTTGTAACATCTAGAGAACATGCCTTGTTCGGTGCGGTTTTCCTTGTTGTCATGTTCATTTTTCGTCTCATCCTGGTTTAACTGGATACTATATATTACAGTTAACACTGCCCCAGCAAAACATGCAATATCTGAAACAATTTTAGCATTTGATCATACAAAAAAGTGAAACAACTTTAAGCAAACCATGGGAAGTAATGAAGAGGTTATGATGACCACTGAGCCAAGTGTCCAAAATGGTTCTTTCATGGTGCGTAGAAGGGCTCTTTTAACTGACGTGCGGAGTAACATAATGGTTACACCGGTCACGGATGGTTCAGTTTTCTTTGGAGCCACTGCGACCGGTTCAAGTTCTCGTCATGTTTTCAGTCTTGGAGTTCTTCAGTATGTATTTGCTGTTCTTGTACCTTTCTTCTTTGCTATTGTTGGTTTACAATTTTCATATAGCTTGGTTGTTAAAAGAAAGCAAATGAACATGATCGTTCATGATATTTTCTTCAAGTCTAATATATATTTTGATGTGTACATGGATACTGCAGGGGAAATAGATGGGTGTGTCTCTTCAGGTTCAAAATCTGGTGGATGATACCATGCTTTGGATCATCGGGCTGTGATATTCCTGCAAAAACTCAAATGCTTCTCTTGGAAGCAAGAGAAGAGACTAAAATCCAAGACACTGAGAACAATTTCTATGTTCTGATACTGCCTGTGTTAGATGGACAGTTTCGGACTACTTTGCAAGGGACAACTGACAACGAACTACAGTTTTGCATTGAAAGCGGTCAGTTTCCGCCTTATTTATCTATTTTTTGAGTTTAATAGGAAGCTATTTATACTCAATATTAGATGAGTTTCCCTATCTTAATTCTCTTCTCTGTTGACTATCTACGACTTCAGGAGATCCTGATGTTCAAACCACCCAGATAACAGAACCAGTTTTCATTAATTCGGGAGACAACCCGTTTAAGCTCATGAGGAATTCTATCAAGTATGTTTGATTTGAGCATAGGACACTGATTATAAATTCGTGACTTCTGATGTTTTTAATTGCTTGTAGGATATTGGAGAAGCATAAGGGGACATTCAGGCACATTGAGAACAAGCAGGTGCAGCACCAAGAATCCTTGTTTTCCATAAAATTTCTCGTTTGACAACTTTATTGATGAAATTTTGCGCCTTTTGCCCTGACAGCTGCCTGAACATATAGATTGGTTTAGATGGAACACCTAGGATGCATTTTATTCTAATGTCCATCCAGAAGGCATAAAAAGATGGAATTGTAAAAGTAATAAAACAAGTGGATCTGGGAATTTAATTTTGCTTCTAAGCTATTCATACTCTTATATTTATTGATTGATTTTGGCTTTTATCTGAAGTTTCTCAAGGGGAGGTTATCCTCCAAAATTTTTGACCATTGATGAAGGGTGGCAAAATCTTGTTCCTAGCTACGAGGAGAATACATACAACAGGGTAAGACTTTTACTTGAACAATTTTATTATGAAAATCTGGTTATCATTTTTGCATCAAGTAGCTTAACTGATTCCATCCCTTGATTGAAGGGAATTGGCTCGATTACTTAATCTCGAGGAAAATGCAAAATTCAAGGGCTCAAGCTTGGAAAATCAGGAAACAATCTCCGGGATTTTGTCAAAACTATCAGGCAGAAATATGGACTGAAGTGAGTTATTTTACTCCAAGCTATAAATAGTTCTTATTGTTCACAGCAGCAATATTAAATTGAGAAGAATTGATAATAATGCAGACATGTATACATTTGGCACGCTTCAGCTGACTACTGGGGAGGAGTGCTCCCAGAATCTGAAGTGATGAAAAAATACAACCCCAAAATTCATTCTGTAGTTCAGTCCCCTGGTAATCTGACCCATAGGATATGTGCAAGCCTGGACAACATGCAGCAAAAGGGAATTGGGCTAATTGATCCTTCCAAAATTCTCAATTTTTACAAGGATTGTCACAGTTACCAAGCAAGTTGTGGTGTTGATGGAGTGAAGGTGGATGTTCAGAATGTGTTAGAACTCCTTGGTGCTGGCTATGGAGGTCGAGTCTCACTGACTAGACAGTACCTAGAAGCCCTTGAGGAATCTCTTATGTAAAACTTCAATACCAACAACCTAATCTGCTCCATGAGTCTGAATATTGACTTCATATACAGGTTTGCCAAATTATTTATGCAAATTTTAGTATGATTTCAAAACAAAAGGATGTCTGGTTTTCCAATAAACTTTTGGTTACTTTCAGTGCAAAGAGGGCTGCAGCAGCTAGAGCAACTGAAGATTTCATGCCAAATGAGCCAACATTTCATACTTTACATGTTGCTGCTGCTGCTTTTAACTCTCTTCTTTTAGGAGAGATTGTGGTACCAGATTGGGACATGTTTTACGTAGGTTCTACTCATTTGCATGAACATCTTTCATCAATATAACCATGAATATCAATTAATATCCATTTAAATTTCCAATTTCATCAAAAGAATATGAATCTGTCTAAGTGCATTACAATCCAATTTCTAATGCTTTAGCACATAGAACCTATAGTTCTTGACTCAACATGGTATTCCTTCATTTCAGAGTGATCATTGTACTGCTGAGTTCTATGGTGCAGCAAGAGCTTTGACTGCAGTGTATGTAAGGTGTGCCTCTACTACTAAATGCTAAGCTCTTATCTAATATCTACATATTACTCTTACCATATTTCCATCAACTGAAAGTAATGTTGGGATTTTCACTCCTTCAGTGACATACCTGGCAGTCATAATTTTGACATCATCAAGAAGCTACTGTTGCCTGATGGCTCCATCGTTAGAGCTAGACATGCTGGCCGACCCACTCGAGACTGTTTATTCAATGACCCGGTCACAGATGAGGAAAGGTAAAGCTTTTGCAGCAAAGAATCCTAGTTGTGTACGTCCTTGAAAAATATTACCTGTTGACTTTAACTTCAATTGTTTTCTCATGGTTTTTTACTGTCTTGGTTGCAGTCTATTGAAGATTTGGAATTTGAACAAATTGTCAGGGATTATAGGTGTTTTTAACTGCCAAAGAGCAGGTGTTTGACCCCCAATTAGAGGTAGTATATATGAGCCAGTCACAGGATCAGGAACACCCATCTCAGGTTCTGTCAGTGCCCAAGATGTTGATTCACTTGAAGAGGTTGCAGGTGGGAATTGGAGAGGAGATTGAGCAACATATGCATACCTTTCAGGTAGTCCTTTTAAGACCCTCTTTGGCATCTTTTGCATGGAATTCTGTTTCATGTTTGTCAGCCTTTTGGCTATGATCAAGCGTGTTACCAAACAACGAACAGGACAATCTCTCATATTCAATTCAGCTAGTCTTATATGGCTCCTGTTCCTGAAATCCGAAATTGCTTGAAATGTAAGTTCCATTGCTGTTGGTTCTCTTAAAACGACGTTGAAGGATGCAAAATTTGAAGTAGCCTTGGAACATTTGAAATGTGAAGTCTTTACTGTTTCTCCTATCAGGGTCAGTACTTCTCCACAGCGTTTTTTACCTTTTCCATTTTTTCTTACTCAAACCAATGAGGTATGGCTCCAACAGGTGTTTGGTGAGGATCTTCGCCTTGCTCCAATTGGATTGCTCGACATGTAAAACTCAGGAGGAGCACTTGAAGCTATGGATTATGAAAATAATCCATCAGAATGTAAGATAAAGGTTAGAATATGAGGATGCGGACGTTTTGGAGCCTATTCCAATACAAAACCAAAATCTTGTGCTTTGAAGCAGAAAGAGGAGAACTTCATATACAATTCCAAAGATGGACTTCTGACACTCAAGCTTCAGGGTGACTGCAACTCAAAAGAAATAGTTTTTGCTTATTGAGATTAGTGCATTTCCATTTGCCAATCAGCTGCCACCAGAAGCAGCACCACTTGATTTCTCTGTATCTTGAATCAAGCTTGGTGTCAATTTTCTATGAAAAAAGTCTAGGTTTAGTGTTAGATTTTACAATCTGAACAACATGAAAGTTTTCCTGTCATAACATTTTGTAAGCTTTGCTTTCTGTTTTCCTTCAAAGGCAATAAAATATGAAGTTTAGGATTCAAATCCTAATACCCATAATCCCTATGTGAAAATTTGTGAAAAATAAATATTTTATGCACATAAAATATTGAAATTAGATGTTATTTGGAGCAAAAATCATGGCCATGAACCGAAACATCCAAAAGCCCACAACTGCGAGAACCGTATTGGCCCGTTTAAGCAAGTTCCCCATTTGCTATTAGCCCATTACCCATTTTACAGAGAGTGGTAAAACTATAGTTTTTTTTTTTTTTTTTTTTTTTTAAATCCCTCTTCAGTCTCGTTCTCTCGCCAGTCTGCTTTGCCCACCCTTATCCTTTTGCAGTTTAACATCCTCTTCTTAAACCCTCACTTTTCTCTCCTTCTCAATTCTTCAACGAAAATGTCTACCGTTACCAAACCCATATCCCTGGCAGACTCTTCTTGCCTTGTCTCTCTCCCTTCTCTCATCACCACTTATTCCAAAGCTCCGTCTCTCCTCTCTCTTCCTTCAAAACCCATCAAGTTTTTCCTCTCATCTTCTCATTCTCTGACTTTTTCAACACTCGAAACAAAAACCCATTTCCCTTCTCTAGTTTCCTTTGTGTTCCAGACTTCAGATTGGGCCCAGAAAGAGGAAGAAAACGACACCACCATAACCATTGATGGACAAAAGCAACAAGTCCAAGAACAAACTGAAAGTGAAGAAGAAGAAGAATTAGCATTGGAAAATGAAGAAAGTGATGGAGCTGAAGCAACGTTGTCTGATTGGGAGCCAGAAGGTGAGGGTGAGGATGCAGTTTTTGAAGGAGAGGGTGTTGATTCAGAACTAGAGGACTCTATCTCCGAACCTCCTGAGGAAGCTAAATTGTTTGTTGGGAATTTGCCTTATGATGTTGATAGTCAAAGTTTGGCTATGCTCTTTGAGAAAGCTGGAACTGTGGAAATTGCTGATGTGAAGACAATTTTTCTGCTTTTCAACTGTTTGAAATTCTTTTTTGTTGATTTTTGGGTCATAAAACTGTTGAAATTTTGTTTTTTTGGTTGCAGGTTATTTATAATAGGAATACTGAGCAAAGTCGTGGCTTTGGGTTTGTAACTATGAGTTCCATTGAGGAAGCTGAGAAGGCTGCTGAATTATTCAATCGTTACGTAAGTTTTTCTTTTACTTGTTTTGCTCTGATTTTGCTGTTGCTTGACTATTATCTGTGATAAGAAATGAGGAAATTGGAATATACAAGTATGATATATAATGCTTTACTTTTATGTACCTATCTCGGCAATATGAAGAAGGATACTTATATGGAGGAAGCTTTCTCATTCAATTGGAAGTTATCCTCTCCCTCAGTTATTTGTTACTTGTATATGTGGTAGGAAAGTTATCATTAATAGTTGATTCTAATTGCTTCGTCTGCCTAAACTGATTATGAAGAAATAGGTATAGTGGGTTTTATATGCATTAGTTTTTTATCTATGCGAGAGGAATACTCTGTGGAAGTAAGCATAAACCAGAGTTCTAATGGAATTTTGCTTCATTATTCATCTATTCTTTTGACTTGCATTGACTTTTATCTTCACTCTTTATGATAAACTTTTATTTGGTTGCTAATCATTGATAATTTCAGGCTGATTCTAAAAGCCTTTTTCTCCTTGCCATAATTCCTTTGATGTTGGTTGATTAGACATCAGATTTAATGAGATGCAAAACAGATGGTTAGAATAGAACAGTTGCAGAAGGGGTATGACTATGAGACCCTTTTTTCAGATAGTAGAGACAGGGTTTACAGACTGTCCCTTTAGGAAGATAAATATGAAGTGAAGGCACATATATTTGCAGTTTGTTTCTATATAAGATATCAATGTGGACATTCTAACCTTTCAAAAACTCCAGTCAACATGCATTTTATGATACATGTTGACATCAAATGGAAAGCCACAAGTTATTCATTTGTTGTTTTTACTTTTCTGAGAGACATCTGTTGTTTCTGTACCATAATTCTCATAAGGTGTGAAATTTTTGTTAGTACTTGTTTGATTTGTATCCACTAGTAAACGCTTGCAATAACCAAGTTAACTGTTTCAACTTAGCCATGACTAGCCCTTTTTTAGAGATGGTATTTGCGTTTAATTCTAGAATATCCTGGCTATGACCATGATTGCATGCTTCAGGTAACAATGAGAGAAAAAGAAATTGATTTTCAGTTACAACTTTCATTAACTTGCCTTTAACAAATAAGATAAAAGCTAGGGCAACTTTGTTGGTCTCTTGTGTGCTTAGCTCTTATGTATATATCAAGCACTTTTGTCTATGATATCCAAGGTATACTTTGGCTGAAAAACTTTGTTTTTTTGCTCATTTTTTTATTAGAACAGCTTAATCTATCTATAATATATGTAAATGCTCTTTCACTTTCTTTCTATGTCATAGGAGATTGTTTCATGAAAGTTCGAGATACATGTTATATATTGATCTCAACTGTTCTCTGTTTTCTTTTATCTGTGCATTAATGTGCTCTGAAGCTGTATTTGGTGCTTGTGCTGAGTCATTATTGCTTCTGTGCTTTAAACAGGATCTTAAAGGAAGGCTCTTGACTGTTAATAAGGCTTCTTCTAGAGGATCACGATTCGACCAACCCCCTCGTGTTTATGAACCTGCTTTTAAAATCTACGTGGGTAACCTTCCATGGGATGTGGATAATGCTCGACTGGAGCAGGTCTTCAGTGAACATGGTAAAGTAGTGGAAGCTCGTGTAGTCTATGATAGGGAGACAGGCCGTTCACGTGGTTTTGGTTTTGTGACTATGTCCTCAGAGACTGAACTGAATGATGCCATTGCTGCTCTAGATGGACAGGTATTATTAGAGTGTTTTCTCTACCAGTTTTGCTACTACGTTGATGAACATAATTTCCTATACAACAAGAAGCAGTATCGTATGCATTTCTTTTAGCTATAATAATATTGCCAAGACGCTTATCTTCTATCCGGGTATCCAGTTTATAAAACATCTTACATGTGTCTCCTACTGTTTCAGAGCCTGGATGGAAGAGCAATAAGAGTAAATGTTGCAGAGGAAAGACCAAGGCGAGGCTTCTTTTGATTTGAAATGATTCTGCTGCTGTTGGCTTTAACCTCCTTGATTAACTATCTTTCTTTTTTTCTTTTTCTTTTCTTAAGATTACGTTTATAGTTTTGGAAATTTTGCACGATATTCAGAGTTATGAAACCATCATTTAAAGTAACTTGTTTCAAAGGTTTCATTCCATTTTAATTTGGTCACTCAAAATTGTTGTGTTTGTTAAAATTATATGATTTTATCATGAAAAGCAGGCACAAGGTATGTAACAAAGTTAAGTGAAAACTCGGGGAAAACCATAGCCAGAATCCAGCTGGAGAGCAAGCAGGACAAAAAGTATCGGCCATATGCGATTAACATGAACAAATATCGGATTCAGAGCATTATATGAAAAATTCATGATATTGTCGAGTCCTTGGACTTGGAAATTGATGTTTTTGGTCCCAACGCTATTACAAAAAACCTCCGGCAGATCAGAAAAGGAAAATAAAATCATATAACCATCTTGCATTCTCTTGATTGCACCATAGACTAGTTCCTGGACACATTATTTTAACTGTACTCTGCATTTAGTTATGTTCAAGTCCAAACATTAAAAAAGAGAAGCAACTATATACTGTACATTGCTGGATTCAAGAACGAGCAACCCTATAACGGCCTTTCAAACAAGCCTAGTAGGCGATAAGTATCCAAACTCAATAACCCCTCAACTGAGTTTCACGACTGGTCAAAGGAACATAGCGGACAGAAGTCTCACTTCGAATGCTAATTGAACCATCCAAATTTTTTTCCACTACTTTCAAATCTTGGAATATGTGTCCTACTGGAATCACCATTCTGCCACCTGGCTTCAATTGATCAAGGAGGGGCTGAGGTATTTCCGGTGCTGCTGCCCCAACATGTATGGCATCATAGGGTGCACATTCTGGCCAACCTTTTCTTCCATCTGGTGATATGTACATGATCAAAGCATCAGTGATAAGAATTCAATAAAACAGGGTCTCGTATAGATTTAGATGATCAACTTTGTCCGCAAGAACAAGAGTATTTTAAGTAAAATTGGCCTCCAAAACTCCAAAAGAGTGAAGTTCATGAAAAGTTATAATCATCTAGAGGTATATCAGTTCTTTATCAAAAGTACATCTCAGACAGCCAACTAACTCATTTCAAACTGAGAATTTGGTTTATGATTTCCTAATCCTCCATTAAACATTAGAGCACATTATATTTCAATAAACTGAGAATATATATAGCAAGTTCCTGATGAGTACATACCGCCGGCATGGACTGAGATATAACCTTCTTTCAATAATGGAGCTGCAGCACTTTTTTCGATATTTTTTATGGAAAAGGCAACCAATTCAGGAATATGTTCCACACCAATAGCACGACCTTGTGGTCCAACCATTATTGCAAAGCAAGCAGTCAAATACCCAGTTCCTACAGAACAATGCATAACAGAAATTAAAAAATGCCTTCCACAAAAAAAAAAAGGGAATATTTTCTAGTTGATATTAGATTGCATGCAACAACAAAATTATGACAAAAGTACTAAGATAATGATCAAATAACTTGTAGACACTTGAAGATTTATAACTCCTTCCATTTTCTTCCCACTCAGCCAAAAATTAAAGATAATCCCCTGCCTTTTCCTGTCTCTTTTTCCATAAAGTCATAAACCACTTGAGAATGGATTGCTGATGGTTTTACTAAAACTCTTCCTGAATGCAGAGGATTAGATGCAGTCATGAACTCGTATAATTTGACTCTTCCTCAATGACCATTTACAAAGTGGAATTAATCCCCAGAGAATAAGTGTAGTACATTTGATATTTCAGCATTCCAAGAGAGTTATACATAAGAAAGAAATTGAAGAAGTGCAGAAAAGACATGATGGAATGGAGTGAAAAGAGACCTGAGCCAACATCTAAAGCATGCATGCCAGGCTGCAAATTTTCCTCCAATAATTTAAGGCAGGTAGCATGCATATGAGGTGCAGAAATGGTGGCATTGTAACCTATTGCCATGGGACTATCAACATAAGCTGGGGTCCCATGTGGTACAAATAATGCCCTATCAATAGTCTCCATTACTTCAGCAACCTTCTTGGATGAAATCACTCCATAATGCTGCAAATGCTCCACCATTTGTTTGTTCTTGTTGATCCCACTTCCACTCCAGAAGCGCTATAGATTATCAAGAGAAATGTTTAGCATAAAATCACTATTGAATTGAAAAAAAAAAAAAACAAAATGGTCCCTCAATTATCAAAAGAAAACCGTCTCAGTAGAAAGAAACATAAATACTGAACTAAAACCATTGATCCCAATGAAAAACAGATCCTACATTATTAAGACTGAACCAAAACACCTATGGCCATTCATATTGTTATTCTCAAGGAAAATCACAAAATAAAAGCAACCTCTGACAGAGAAGTTGAACAAGAAATCATTGGATAGACATCATCCCAAGTCGGATGGCCTCCATATCAGGGGCAGCCATGGGCTGAGTTCGTGGGTACATGCTACTCGAGATACGGGACCTTGCACCAGGACTACCTCGAATGATGCTATATAAACTAATAATATATAACATGGCATCCACATGCTACTCGAGATACTGGACCTTGTACCAGGACTACCTCAAATGATGCTATATAAACTAATATTATATCACCACTTTCTGGCAAGACGGCCCCAACAACAATCACATTGTCCGATGTGTTGATTCAATCCTCATATTATAAATAGTCCAAAATACATCAAAAAAGAGAAAAATGAAAAACCCAATTTAACCTACTATATCAAAATAAGTCCAAAAAAATTTTCCAGTTCAACAATTCAAACAATTCCACTACTCAAATACAAGAAGTATGTGCCTTTCATTTGTAAATACACAACATAAACATAGTTCTTTAGGCTGTTTAACAAGGTTTTCTTTATAATTCATTGACAACCATACTTTCAATTCTCAGAAACTGTCCCTTCCTCAATGGCATTCCACAGAATCCATGGTCTACACAGCTTTCCCACTAACTCCAAAAATATACTATAAATACTGTAAAATTCATTCCTTTTCTTCTTACAAAAAAACCTTTAAACTTTACCAAAACCTCAATACAAACTCAACAAATTCATCATGTCTGGAAAACCCAAAACCAAAGATTAGGAAAGAAACAAACATAAAAAAGAACAACCCAATTCCCCATGATCACAAGAAAGACAAAAAAAAAAAAACCCAGGAATCAAAAATGAAAGTAAAGCCTGGGAGAGAGAAAGGAAAGAGTACCTCCATCCTGAAGATGAGAGAGTTACCCGTGAGAAAATGATTGAAGTAAGGGAGCTCAAGATGGTTAAAGGAAGAATAGAATACAGAAGAAGGATAGTGTTGTTGAAGATGGTCACGGTGAGGAAGAGAAGGAAGTTAGTGTAGTTTAAGAGCTGCTTTATTGGTGGCGCACAATAGCGGCATCTATACGCTATCACTGTGGATAGATTCAACATTGTTGCATCTTTTTTTTATTTCTATTTTTGTTTCTCGCCCTTTCTCTCACCTTCCTTTGGTATATTACACTTGTCGAGCTCTGCTCTCCCGGTTCGATGGCTGTTTTCGAGCGAACTGACTCACCCTCCTACGTTCTCTGATTGCTGGGCCCTTCTTGGGCCCAGTAAGAAGTTGAATTCCATGCCTGACCCAACAAATAATAAAAATATGTTGGGCTTTAAGCTCTATTTGTTAAACCCAATAAAATTTAAATTTCTTTTGATAGGCTTTTGGATCGAGATAAAAGATTTTGTTAAGAAGCACTTTTTTTTAAATATTTAAAATATGAGTTAGTTTTTATACATTAATAATATATATTTGCCATCCTATTAATTTTGATAGGAAAATTTCATATATGATAACTTCTTATGTTAAAATATTATTTAGAGTAATATTTTTATATTAAGTACAACAATTGACTAATATTACGAAAAACAAGTATATGAGCTGATTAAGAAAGTTATTAGGACTCGTTTATATGGATTGCATTCGATTGTTATTGATCCAGTCAACAAGATTTATGTGATGTGTGAAATATATATATTACATAATAGTTAGAATATGATTTGATTGTCTATATGAAATGTATGTATTGTAGCAATTTTATTGCTTCTTTTAGATAAATAAAATACAATTTATCCAAATATATATATTATGAATTTCAATACACTAAAAGAAAAATAAATTACTTAATATATATAGAGTAAGTTTAAAAGTATTCTTAGATGATGAAGTACTTTTTCTATATGATTTCCTTTTTGCTTGTTTCATTTGAAGTTTTGTGTTGGCTGCCAACTGATAAATTTAATTTTTATTTCACAATTAAACTGAACTTCTTCATTTTATTGTGCAAAAAACAGAAGTAAACTGTAACTTCTTCAGTAGTGTATCTTCATATTGAAAACAATAGTTAAATTTAGTCTATTAGTCTTCATGTTTAGGCAATCTTGGCCTTTTTGGGGGCTGAAACTTGAAAGATCTTGACCTTTGATTTATTTGTTTTAATTTTTCTATTTATATGCATAAATAAATAAATAAATAAAGTAAAAGAGAAACTGGAATTAGATGCTTCAGTGGGACAATGACTTTTTTTTTTTTATAAAGATGACATATTTTGAGGATAAAAAAAATTGTAACTACTTAAATTTGAATTTCAAATTTTTTTGTCACTTTTTGAAATAATTGTATGAAGCAATTGACTTAAATCTTAAATTTATACATTAATGCCAAAATCCTTATTCTCTTTTTGTATATAAAAAATGATTGTACGAAACAATTACGTCATATTAAATATATTTTTTTTCATTTAAATGATGTCATATAATTATATTATTGAAAAAAATTAATTATTTATTACATATCACATGTCATAATTAAATAGTAAATATTAATTTAATTAATTATTTAATAATAAATAATTGATTTTTTCAATTATGTGATTATGTAGTATAATTTGAATAATATATATATATATAATGATATGGTATAACTGTTTTTTTACAATCATTTCGCTTATATACGAGAAAAGACTTATGATTTATACTAAGATTTATATTTGATGTGAAGTATATAAATTTTATATACCATTAAATCAGATGATATCTCATTAAAAATTAGATAATATCATTTTATTAATAAATAATTTTTTAAAAAATTATTAATTTTTTGTATATTTATTTTAAAGATAAATATTTACTCATTAATGAAATATTATTATCTAATTTATTAAGAGTATATAAAATTTATACACTGATAATGTATCAAATATAAATTATTATACTAATAATTAAACAATACAATCAAATTTAGAAATCATCAATCATCCCCACATGCTCCATGATTTTACTGCTGCAGTGATTATATATATGAAATTAATTAAAATATCTTAGCTTTAACCTGATCAAGTCCAGGGAAATTACTGTTTGAGGAGTAGCAATGTTTAAAAAAAAAAAAAAAAGATATCCCCCCACACCACAGGAATTAACAGGTTAGGTCATGAAAATGACATAGCCTCTGTGATGTCACAATTAAACTCCCTTTAACACCATAATCTTCAAAGAGCAACAAATCTGGATCCCCATTGCCACTCTTTAATTTTTCACTGTGGAAACGAAGAGGCAGCTGGGGCCAACCATTGCTACATTTATATGATCCTCATCCTAATTTAGAGGCCCCTTAGCTTTTCTTAAGACTCCTCTTGCAAGCAAGGTACAAATCTAATCCTTCTTTATTCCATTAGCCCCTCACTATATAAACCTAAGAATTCTTATTAAACAAACCACACAGCAAGTTAGAGCAAATAGATATCCAACATTTCCAAATATGGCAGCCACTATTTCACAGCCGCAGAAATCGCAGAAACACGTCAAGAGTGAGCGCCGGATGTTCTCAGCATCAGATGACACTGCAATGATGAAGCAAATTCAGGCAACTCATGCGCCTGATGGTCGTATAGTTGAAGTCAGGCCCATTCTCCAAATCATTGACAACGTTTTGCGTCATATCACTCCCAATATTGATCATGCTCTAAATGTAACAATGCCCATGTTTCTGCTTTTTAATTTCCCATGGCTCGATTAATTTCATGTGTACAACAAGTCTCTTAACATATATCCTTTGAGGATTTCTCTTCTTGTAGGGTGGACATGGACACATGGATGCCTTGGATGATAGGACCAGCCCGGCTGCTATTGATGGCATGCTTGATGCATTGGCTTATATCGTACAAAAAATCTCCTGCGAGGTTATTTGCCTGCACTGGTGGATATTATTAATATAAATACATACTTTTTCTTGTGGACACTCAACCTTGATAATGTTTCCATGACAGTACCTTTGCACAGTTGAACAGATAACTTTACAGCGTTATCTTTTCTTTTTCAATGGTGATAAACGAACAGGCTTTTATTAAAAAATATTGGGGACATCAGATATTAAATTTTCTTGTTTTTATCATTGGATGAGAAGCATAATTGTGTGAAAATGTATAATTTATAGATATCATGCAAGTGCTCAGGAGGAGGAGATGCTCATGCAACAACGATGGTGCTGCTTAACACGCTTTCAAGTTATTCATGGGATGCAAAAGTGGTGCTAACCTTAGCTGCTTTTGCTGTGAATTTTGGGGAGTTTTGGCTGATAGTTCAGCTCTGCACAACGAACTCACTTGCCAAGTCTGTGGCTCTCCTCAAGCAACTGCCAGACGTCTTAGAGCATTCCCAAACCCTGAAACCCCACTTTGATGCACTTAGCAAGCTCATCAAGGCAATGATGGATGTAGCCAAGTGCGTTGTTGAGTTCACGGAGTTACCTTCTCAGTATATTTTGAGCGAAGTGCCACCAATGTCTATCGCCATGGCTCATATCCCCACAGCTGCCTACTGGACCATCCGAAGCGTTGTGGCCTGCGCTACACAGATTACAAGCCTTGTAGGCTTGAGACACGAGTGAGACACTAATTGTTACGTGCTCAATGCCCCAACCCAATACATAAATTTACCATTAATCAATTTTTTGGGTGATTTTAGGTTCATTACATCGACCACAGAGGCATGGGAACTATCAAGCTTGGCGCATAAAGTCAGCAGCATACATGAACACCTTCAAAAGCTATTACGTCTTTGCTATCAGCATATTGGTGAGTCCATGGGTATATTATTATTATGATATATTGGCTACAAAATTATAGAAATTCAAACTCTAGAAAACTCGAACTTGAAATGGCTCAAACCCGAAAAACCCGAATCCAAAAAGACCCAAAGTCCTTAATATGGCTACCATTTCCCCTATTATGCGAATGTAGACTTAATTACATGAGATATGTAATAACCAAGTACTAATGCAATATAAAATTTAACTTTCTGAGAAGTTTAATAGATGAAGATATTTAATTACTTAATGCATGGGATGCAGATGAGAAGAAGCAGGCAGAAGCTTATGAAGGTTTCAAGCACGCCCTTGAAACACCTCAAATAGACAACTTGAAGATTCTCATAAAAATTTTCTCGCTCGGCAAGGAAGATCCTCATTCACTCTTGGGTCCAGAAAAGAACAAGGTCTGTTTCCAAGGATTCATTTGATGTTCCAGCCCTGTTTTAAATTATTTGGATTATGTACTAAGTTCCTAACAGCATACTTTCTCTGCTGGTACAAATAATTAACAGGTCCATATGGAGGTACTAAGAAGAAAGCATGTGCTACTGCTCATTTCAGATCTTGATATCTCCCATGACGAGATTCAGGTTCTTGTGGTTCTGTACAAATATGAAAGGGAAGCGACTCATGAGCTTAACTATGAGATCGTATGGCTCCCAATTGTGGACAGATCAGCTTGGAATGAAAGTTTTCAGGAAAAATTTTTGAACCTGCAATCAATTATGCCATGGTATACTGTGAACCATCCTTCCATTATTGAACCAGCAGTGATTAAGTACACCAGGGAGGTATGGCGTTTCGTAAAGAAGCCCATTGTGGTTACACTGGATCCACAAGGAAAGGTGACATGCCCAAATGCACTCAACATGTTGTGGATATGGGGAAATACTGCCTTCCCCTTCAGCACTGAGAAAGAAGAAAGTCTGTGGAAATTAGAGGCTTGGAGGATTGAGCTACTTGTTGATGGGCTCGAAGTTAACTTACCTACTTGGGTATACCCTCACGTACCTTGTATACTTGCAAACACTTGTTTTTCATATGTCTATCTCTTGATTCTCAATATGCTTCATTCATTCACTTTCTGATTATGCCTGGCTCTAATTATCAGATGAAACAACAGAAAGTCATATGCATTTATGGTGGTGAACAAATTGAATGGATCGAAAGTTTCACTTCTGCAACAAAAAGTGTTGCACAGACTCTTGCCATTAGCTTAGAGATGGTTTATGTTGGAAAGAACAACGCCAAGGAGCGGGTGAGAAAGATCAGCAGTTTAATCAACCAGAAGCAGCTTAGTCACGCCTGGCAAGATACCGAAGTGTGGTACTTTTGGAACCGGTTAGAAAGCATGTTGTTCTCGAAAACCCAACATGGCAAGACCAATGAAACTGATGTTATAAAGCAGGAGGTCATGACAATACTTGGTTATGATGGCAGCGAACTTGGATGGGCAGTATTCTTTTTAGGATCAACTGAAATGGTGAGAGCCAATGGAGACAAAATTCTAAGTAGCATGAAAAATTTTGCACAATGGGAAGACCTCGCTAGACAAATGGGTTTTATTCCAGCACTTCGCAGGCACCTGGAAGGGATTAGTGACGATCATCACTGCACCCGCCTTATCCTTCCAGGAATCAGTGGGGGAATTGCAGAGAGGGTGGTCTGTGCTGAGTGTGGACGTCCAATGGAGATGTATTACATGTATCGCTGCTGTGTTGAATAAGCCAAAAAGCGAGACGTTTGATCAAAGCCCAAGAACTCAGAAATAACTATCACTCTTGATCTTGGGTTTTTTAAGTAGCTCTAAGTGATGAAATAAAAGGTCTAAAGCTCTCGCATTTGCTTGTCTGTTTCTACATTCTTCTATAGTGGTGATGTTTGAGAGATACTAGTAATATTTAGGACTCTTTATCACCCTTCATTGGTTACCGAAGAGTCTTAGCTATCTGGTTTTTATGAAAGTGTGCTGTGCCTACTGCCTACTTTGTAATATAGCTTTGCTAAAATAACGAGTTTTTCGAGATTGTGGCTTTGATGTTAGGCATTCTCTCTCAAGCTACTCTTTTTTTCCTTTTTTCTTTTTGCCAAAATCTGGAATAATGCAGGGGCCAGGGAGCCTTCTTTTGAAGCAGAAGTCCCTTCTTTGGGTTTGAACTTTGAACTCTGAAATGGAGGCTACATGAACTGAATTGGGCTTGAAGCTTCCAGTAAACTAGGTTGATCCTGGAAATCATCTCCAAATATAAAGTGGGTATTCCTTTCTTTATTCCCCCCAAGGCCTTTTGAGCCCTCTCTAGCTTTCACTAGGAGAACATTGTCCTAAAAACTTCCTTCTTCATACCCCAACTTGAACATCAGTATTCATTCGACGGAGCTAGGTATATTATAATTGGAAGATGTGTTATTTGAAATGTCTGAATTCACAACCAATTAACTACAATCATAATTGTCAGACGTACAACATTAAAAATTGTGTAGCAAAACAATTGTGTCGATGATCAGCTTAAGCATGCAGTCACTTAAAAAAGTTAAATGTGAAGGGAATAAAGGAGAGAAAAACGTACATGGCGGAGACTCAAGTTGCCTGTGTGGCTCGTGCCTCGGATAATACCCCTGGGCCTGGATCAGTGCGCGTAGTGTGACACATGAACCAGGAAGGCAAGCATGTTAATTCGATCCATCATGTCTGTAGACTTGGAAGACCATTCATGGTCATGGAAATGTTGTTATGTATCCCTTCATGCGTATGGGAAGGTTTCCTGGAAAAAAAAAAAAAAGACAAATCAAGATTGAAACTTCTGTTAACAAATAAGTTAATTACAGACTGTAATTGGGTGGGAAAAGACTGCCATCTCATAGTTTCAAACATTTGCCAGCTGATTTTTCCCCTCAATTTCTTGGAAAAAAGAAATACAAGGGAATAATACTTTCCCAGATAATGATTATCTTTGTCTTCAGAATCCAGATAATGATGGTAATATTTCTTATTTCTTTCTTCTCCATGGTAGCCTTAATTTTTGCCGGCCATCTCCATCATATAACTCCTTCAGAAAACAGACTTGGAAGCAGCCTTGAAAATCATAGTATTGCATCAAACAAGCCATTATAATGCATTATAAATAGTGGGTCAGTAAGGCAGTAACATACCAATGCAGAGAAAGCTTCCTAGGACAAAGCAAGGAACAAACTTCCCTTTTCTCTTTTCTCTGTTCCCCTGCTTTCTTTTCGCCATGACATTCATCAATCATCACATATAACGATTTCATTTTTTCAGTTGATTCTCGATGTTTTTACATGTTATTGCCCATTTTTTTCTCTTGCTTTCGAGTTCCTTGAACTGGTAATTTGTAATTATGTGATAGTTCATTCAGCTTGGAAGAGAAATGAGATTGGTGAATTCACTTATTTCTAGTAATACGAGTTTTATTCATGATAACATTGAAAATTTTTAATTAATTAAAATTATTTAATTATTTGTTTGATATTAAGAAATATTTTGACAGTTAATTGTATATTAAAAAAAGATAAAAGAGTTAAAAAAATTACAGAACTAAAATTTAATAATCATTCAAATCCTATTATTTTTTACAATCAATTAAATCTTTAAATATTTATTTTTATCAATTAAGTCCTTTTTAAAGAACAATGTTTAATTGTTTTTGTACAACCGATAACTTAATTGAGTAAAAATAAATATTTAAGAATTCAACTTATTCAAATTAAAAAATTAATTATAATAAAACATCAAAATTTTAAATGATTATTAAATTTTTGTTTGAGAATTTTTTAACTTTTTTGCCAAAAAGATAAAATTTTTTATAGACATGATAAAAATATCATATTGATTTAAAAATTTACTTGCAATATGATACGATTATATTATGAAATTCAATGATTGATTAATGAAAATAATTAATCGTGCATGAACTTATAAAATTGATAAAAACTAATGTAAACCAAACTTGGTCTCTTCCCTCTAAGATGAGGATTTAAGATATAAATTAAAGGCAGATGAACAAATCCATTACCAACAAAACAACTTGAGTTTTTGAAGGTAAAAAATTTGTTCTTGTAAAATTGCTAAACCTCAATACAAGGACAATAGTAACAGTTACACCATAGAGTAATTAAGTGCAGCAAGCAACACCTTTATTCATAAAATCTTTGAGATGCCATCCATTGCTTTATTTGTTGGTTCTTTCTAAGGCAATATATGGACAAGTAAAATTAGAATATGTAACCTAAAAAAAAAAAAAAGAAAATTAGAATAGCAAGAATAATTAAACAAACAAAAGAAGGAAAAGGAATCAACACAATGACCAAAGAGTGCATCCACCATGTGATATGGGGATTAAGTGGCAAATGAGTCTCAAGCATTTGAAAAAAAAATATTAGTATATATCAAATTGAGTTTAATAAGATTTATATAATGAAATAAGTCTAAAAAATTTAAATATACAAGATTTATAGTGTTTTACTCTCATCGTGAAATCTACATTCAATTTATACTTACAATTTATTTATATATTTATTCGTCACGTGTCATCATTTAAAATTAATTATTAATAATAAATATCGTATTAATTAATATATTTATAATTTAAATATTACATTAAAAAATATTATATTAAATATTTTTTTATAATTTAAAAACCATTCACAATATTAACCCCTTCTTTAACTTAGAACATATATATCCATGCAACTTGCAAAAGTTTGGAATTAATCACTTAATTCCCAACAAGGACGGCAAGAAAAAGAGGGAATTTTCTTGGGGAGTGTGAAACTTGATTGGTGATATTTGCAAAACATGCTGAGTCGTTCATCTTTTAATACCCTCGAGTTGATTGAAGAAGAGACGTGGGTCTTCCCGGCTCCACCTCCTTTATTGAAACTACTTTAACATTTGATCAATGAATATCATTCACGTATCTAACATTTTTCTTTCAATCCTTTTTCATTATTTTAATGGACCAAATTTTATACTTTTTCACATTTTATTCTTTTATTTTTAATAAAAGAATTGTTCGCAAATTTTATTATATATATAAAAGTAAGGATTATATACACATAATAACTACACATATTAAAATTAAAATTAAAATTTAATTAATTTATATAATTTCTAAAAAAAACATTTAATATATTCAAATTTTGAATTTTAATACCTATAATTTTTAATTATATTTTAAAATTACGATCTCTTATGTATAAAAAAATTTAAAATATTTCATACTAATATCACAATCTAAGGATTAAATTAAAAAATAAAATTTGAAAGAAACAATATAATTTATGTTTATACAATTTATAGTGATGAAATATGTGTATGTAACACTCCTCCATATAAAATCATTTTTAACCAAGTACGTATAGTTGTGAATTAAATAGTAATTAAAATTAAAATAGTGAGATAAAATAGAATATCTCCGAGAAATTTTAACAAAATTAGGAAATTTTTGTTGGAAATTAATGTTTTTTAATTAGAAGAAGAGAATTATTATATATACACACATACCGAGTCAATGGAATTGCTATCCTAAAATTAAAAGTCCTTCATTTAATTTCATTTGATCATTTTTTATAGTCCAAAATTATGCTCTTTTCTTAACACCTAATACACATTTTTTTAACATTCCAAAATTATGTTTCATAATTTTTTTAATTTTTTGCCATTAATAATCACGGAAAATCAATTTTATAAAAATAAAAAAAAAATTTCAGTATAAAATACAATAAAAATATTTTTAAATTTCATGAAAATCAAATAACAACAAAATGCAATAAGACTGATAGAGCACATTATTAAAGCCAATAGACTTATTATCAAATAATATGGTAAAAATAAGGTTAGCAACCCAATCCGTATTTGGTAGATTTTGATTCGAATCAATTTTATAAAATTATTTTTCAAAAAATAAATCAAATTTTGAGTTAAGTAATAATAAAAAAAAATTTAAAGTTGAGTCAGAGTTAGGTTTTAGGTAAACTCGACTCGATCCGATATATATATATAAAAATTTAATTTTAATTAATTATTTAATTTTTATTTATATTTATATATTTATTTAATTTTATATTTATATTAAAAATAATATTTTATATTTAAAAAATAATATTTTATTAATTTTAGATAGAGTTGAATTTAATCAGATATGATTTATATAATATCAAATCAAATCGGATTCAAGTATAAATATAAAAAATTCTTCAAATCGAATTTAAATTTTATAGATATAAAATTAAATAAAGTTTGGAGTGAGTAAAAACTCACTTCGATCCGAGCCATTATCATCTTTAAATAAAAAAAAGTAAACAAACTTTAGATTCCTTTTTCTTTTTCTGAAATACTATTAGTAGAATTTGAAGTTTGAAGAATTTTTTATATTTTAAATTACGATTAAAATTTAGATTCCAAACTTTCGATTACGATTGATTAAAACTCAAAACTTTTATTTTTGAACTAGATTAAATAATATTAATTAATAGATTTAATAATATACGTATTTATATTATATAAAATATTAATAATTTATACATTAATATCATATGTTATATATAATTTATATTAATATAAAAATATAAAATATTTTTAAAATTTTATTAAAATACATATAAATTTTACTAAATTTTTAAATTATATATTTTTTATATTAATTTTTTACTTGTCACCGTATCTTTCAAAGAAAATAACAATGACTTACTGATACTGTGATGGGAACAACTCAACTTATTTGTTTTTTAAGTGTCAACTTCAGCACTAAAGATCACAAAAATGATCCAACGGCTGAAAACAAAAGAAAGACTTCAACACTCTTTCTGGACTTGACCTGCCGGAGTTTGACTTGGTCGCTTCTCAGAAGGTTCCCCGAAGGCACATCATCTTTCCATGGCGTAGGGCAAACGTTGGAGAAAGAAAGAAAAATTGTATTATAATTCCTAAAATTTTGTCTTATTTCAATTTGGGTAATTGATGTTAAAGTGATATTATTTTATATTTAATAAATATTTAATTTTTTATAATTTTACACTTAAGTTGCTATTTCACTTATTATAAATTAATTTTAAGTTAATATTTAATACAATATTAGAGTTAAAATTTTTTTTATTATTTTTTTTAAATTTATTAATTGATAAATTTTTTATTTATAATAAAAATTTATTAAAATGATAATATCTCACATCTAATAAATATTTAATTTTTATAATTTTATATTCAAATTGAATTTTTTTATTTATTGTTAAAAAATTTTAAGTTTGATTGTTAATTGGTTTTAAATTTGATTGTTAACAATTGATAAGTTGAAGAAAATAACAAAGAAATTAAAAAAATAATTAATTTCGTAATTTCAATTATTTTCTCCTGGAATTATATCGGTAAATTTACTTATTAAAATTATCAAAAAAAAATTATTTAAAAGCTATTTTATTTGTTCATATTTAAAGATATTTTTGTAATTTTATCATGTAAATTTAATCGTGTAAATCATGGGAAGACGGAAGTTATAAAAAAAAAGCTAATCGAGAAAAAAATCCATAAAATGTTATGCAAGAAAAATTAAAACCATAAAAAATCTAAATAAAATTCACTTTTTTACCTTATCGTGTAACATAATCCGTTCAAAGAAAAACAAAGAAAGTTCGTAATTCACAAAAATTGAATGGAAATTTCAGTCCAAAATAAAATTCTTTATGGTGGAAAAAATTGGATGTACTTAAGAGTAATTTCAACGATTATTTTTTTTCTTTTATTTTGATTTGAAAAAAAAAAAAAGAAAATTGGAATCCTACCTTTTGAATACATGTTTTTATGTTAATCTAATGTACGATGCAAGTGATAAAATTTTTTATTTTATTAATTATATTTTAAATTTGAATTTGTTAAAAAATATAAAATATAATTTTTTATAAATTCGTTAAAAATACTTATTTGAATTAAAACAATTATTCTTTTAATTGCTATAGAAATATTTTAACCCTGTCTTTTTATGGTTTTCATTATTTTTTATGGAGGGATAAAATTTATATGAAATTTTATAAGTGAAATTCATAAAATTTTTATTAAAAATAATTTAATAAAAAATTTAATTTGATAAATTAATAAAATTTAATGTGAAAATTAATAATATATAAAAATTATATTAAATTTATAATTTAAATTTAATTAATATTTATTTAATGATAAAAATTTTATTAATATTTTTATTAAAATATTTATTTAATAAATATATCAAAATTTATTTAAAATGTTTCAAAATTAATACGATTGATTTATGTGATAAAATCTTTTAATTTATCAATTTTAATTTTATTTATTTATTTTCAATAAAAAATTTCATAAACTTGTTTAAATTTACCTATAAAACTTGATATAAACTTTGTTCCTCGTGGACGCATAATCGACCTGCTTTTACTGTTTTAGGTATCAAACAAAAGAACTTAATAAAATGTTTTATCCTTGGTTTCTTCCCTCTTTTAACAATCCAGTCAATATTTGAAAAGAAAAATCAGCCGGTTTTAAGTCGTCGGGCTTTGGAAAACAGAAATCAACTCAAGCATGGGATCCACCAGAAACCATGTTTTTCCACACGGTTTGAGCTTATAAAACAAAACAAAATAATCATCCAAGTCATACATTCAATAATCAATGGTAGAATTATTAGTATGAACTAACAATCAAAGTTCCTTGATAGCAGCAGCCAGTCCCACCACCAACACCGCCTTAATCCGCCACGAACATGGCATTCTCTCATCGTCTAATCCTACTCTTCCTCACTCTCCTTCCTCTCTTCTTCATCTCCCATGCAAGGCTAACTCTCGACCGTTCAGACCTGAAAGCTCTCTCCAGTATTGTCAAAGACTTGGGCATCAGTGGTCAACGGTTCCCTGCTACCAATCCTTGTAGCGGTGCTGGTGTTTTCTGTGAGAGAAGGCACACCGACAATAATACTTATGTTCTTAAAGTCACCAGGCTTGTGTTCAAGTCCCAAGGGCTTGATGGGTTTTTGTCTCCGGCAATTGGGAAGCTTTCCGAGCTCAAAGAGCTCTCTGTTTCTCACAACAATATTGTTGACCAAGTCCCGCCCCAAATTGTTGACTGTAAAAAACTCGAAATTCTTGACCTCCGAAACAACCTGTTTTCCGGTGAGGTACCATCCAATTTGTCTTCCTTGATTCATCTTCGAGTTCTCGATCTCTCTTCTAATAAGTTTACTGGGGACTTGAGTTTCTTGAAGTATTTTCCCAACTTGGAAAGTCTTTCTCTTGCAAACAACCTGTTTTCTGGGAAAATCCCACCCTCTATACGTTCATTTCGAAACCTTCGATCCTTCGACTTCTCAGGGAACAGTTTTCTTGAAGGTTCAGCTCCATTAATGAGCAAAGTTGATGGATCAGCAACATCTCAGTACCCCAAACGGTACATTTTTACTGAGACAAATAAATTAACAAGCAAAAACGGAAGCCCTGCTTCTGCTCCATCACCGAGTCGAAGCAAATCTACAGCAGCTGAAGGTCCCGGTCCATCACCAGCAACTCATAACAAACACAAAAATAAGAAAAGGAAGGTAATGGGATGGATTTTAGGATTCCTTGCTGGAGCTGTAGCTGGGAGCATATCTGGATTTATCTTCTCCGTGATGTTTAAGCTCGTCTTGGCGGCAATAAAAGGAGGGGGAAGAGATTCTGGTCCATCTATATTCAGTCCATTGATTAAGAAAGCTGAGGACTTAGCATTTTTAGAGAAAGAAGATGGGTTGGCTTCCTTGGAGATCATAGGGAAAGGAGGGTGTGGAGAAGTTTATAAGGCTGAGTTACCGGGAAGTGATGGAAAGATGATTGCTATTAAGAAGATTATTCAGCCTCCAAAAGATGCAGCTGAATTGACTGATGAAGATAGTAAGCTTCTGAACAAGAAAATGCGTCAAATTAAATCAGAAATTACCACAGTGGGTCAAATTCGACATAGGAATCTACTTTCTCTGCTGGCTCATGTTTCTCGACCCGATTGTCATTACCTTGTGTACGAGTTCATGAAGAACGGAAGCTTGCAAGATATGTTACATCAGGTTTCAGAAGGGACAAGGGAGCTTGATTGGCCTATTCGGCAGAAGATTGCAATAGGAGTGGCAGCAGGGCTTGAATATCTTCACATGCACCATAGTCCCCGTATTATTCACAGAGATCTGAAGCCAGGAAATATCCTTCTTGATGATGACATGGAAGCTAGAATTGCAGATTTTGGGCTTGCAAAGGCCATGCCTGATGCTAACACACATGTAACTACTTCAAATTTGGCAGGAACAGTGGGATATATAGCACCAGAATATCATCAGACACTCAAGTTCACCGATAAGTGTGATATTTATAGCTTTGGGGTCATACTTGCGGTTTTGGTGATGGGAAAGCTTCCGTCAGATGAGTTCTTTCAACACACTGATGAGATGAGTTTGGTAAAGTGGATGAGAAACATCATGACCTCAGACACTCCCAGTCAAGCAATTGATCCTAAACTACTGGGAAAAGGGTATGATGAACAAATGGTCTTGGTCCTGAAGATTGCTTACTTTTGCACTTTGGATGATCCAAAGGAGAGACCTAGCAGTAAGGATGTTAGGTGCATGTTGTCCCAAATCAAGTTCTAAGCTGAAGGTAGTCATTGTCAGATAATGTTCAAAATAATGATGCAAGTCATGAAGAACCTGTATTAGTTTTATGCTTGATGTTTTTTTTTTCTTGTTTTGCCGCATATGATCCTCGTGTGTAACCAGTCGTTGTAATGATTGTAAGAAATATAATCTGGCTTTGGATTTACTTTACCCAGCGGAATTAGAAATTTGAGCATGAAAAATCCTGCACCATCTTTGGTCATATTGAGTATTTAGTATCACCAGGATTAGATTCACATATTTGTATCTGGAAGAGAAGATTCAGACAGACTGAATCAGATGGTTCCGCACCTGAGTCACCTTTTGTCTTCAAGAATTCGTTTTATTGGTCGTTTGGCAATGGGATAGGGGCAGGACCACTAACCCCACCTACCATCATCTAACATGCTATTCCGACGGAATATGATGACCGAATCACAGCAATACGAACCAAATTTAATTACCATGGAATTTTGGTGGGATCAAAAGAAACCGGGTGCGGTGCAAACAATCAATCAAACTTGACAAAGCAGCAGAAAAGAGATATACAATAGGTTAAATGATAAGATTTTTTTAAAAATAGTATATAAATTTAATAAAAACAAAAAAAATACATTTGATATTTTACACATATATAACACAAAATGAATACATAAAAATATACGAATTATGATATCAGGTTTAGGTTAAATGAAGGACAAGGAAAAAAATATTGAGCTTTTTTTTCTAGATTACATGGATGTGGGGAAATCTCAATATTTTTCTCTAAGAAAAACCTTTACACACGTTTTGTGGAAATAAAAGTGCCATGATTTCAATCATGCATATAGCCAAAGAACTCTCTTTTTGACAAGGAATCCATTTTACATTACTTTCTCCTTTCAGAACAGCTTTCGCTTACTTTTAAAAGCCTGGAGCATCTTTAAACGTTTTTCACGAATGAGAAGAAAAATGTGTGATGAGGTTGAGAACATGTCAACAACAGAAGGGCAGCTTTCTACATTATCATCAATATTTCAAAACAATATCTTAGGCTTACATAGCTATAACCAAAATTCCGACCATGAGAACACGAATCAATTAAAATCACACCATGTCGCGTTAAGCCATAAAAACTGTAGTAAGTGGTGCCAGAGAAACCTTGAAGATATAGTTGATACTTCAGTATTACTAGGGCAACAAAGACTACTGCCTACCTAACACAATTGATAAACAATCCGATAATACTACCAGCAAGCTGATGTAGAGATTAATCTCAGCGGCCTAAATGTCTCTCGGTTCCACAAAAGTTAAAACAGATGAATGAGCAAGCTGATCCATTGTTAAATTTTAAGATACAAAAGAAGTTCAATAAGCAGTAAAGTTGAAAATTTTAACTTCTGCAATCAAAGCTGCCAGCATGACAATATTCTAGTGTCTAGCAAGTACAGTCAAATAATTCCAAGTCTATGCTTCATCTTTGATTAAATAATTAATGGAACATTGAAAGGTGATAGATGAAAATGTAAAATCAGGCATTATGATTTCATTCCACATTATAAGCAAAATGGTAAATACAAATTTGGTCCAGATGAATGAGAAGCCTATAAAACACTATGTCAGAGGCAACCAATTTTTCTGCTCTTGGTCAATTAGCGAACAAGAGGAAACAAAGATGTAACAAGTCTGTATGTTTCTCTTCAGATTAAACATGTCCAATCTAGATAACTGCGTGGAACAACTTGAAGTACTACGAGCTGACATGTTTATCCTTACCAACTACAACTGATTCAGTCCACATCAAGAGGGATGACTGTCATAAAATAGGATTTGCAAAAAACATAATGTTGCACTACATGACTGTTAGACATCTTTCTCATATACATTTAATTTCCTGAGAAACATTACGCCAAATTGTATTAGACATCACCCGATACCACAACCTGTAATAGTTTTATGTCAAGGTGTTAATATCTTACATATACAAAATTCCTATTACCTTGAAGTTAACACAAAAATAGTAGCGTATACCAGCCAGCCAGCCAGTTATCATCAAAAAGCAAATCCAATAATCCTTCTACAGGGTAAAGGATAGTATTCTGGACCCTTTCCATTGTAGCACAACATTGATATATATATATATATATATATATATATATATATATCAGGCAACATCACCAAAACCTCACAAGGAATACCAGTGGCAAATTGTCAATGCAATACTGGCCAAAACAAGTTGTCAATGCAATAGGTTTCATTTCCTCAACTCAGCCTCAAATGCACCATGGGATTCATCACATTCAGGTATTTTATATCTTCTACAGTTGCTACTCTTAATTTCTCACTAATTGGGTCCAAAACCAATCTAATTAAACAATTTGCTTCACATTTCATTTGTGCAAAAAACACATAAACAAAAATAAACCAAGGCATAAAATCAGTACGTACCCTTAAAAATCGAGAAGTAATTGAGGAAGAATCCTTTCCAAATGAGTAGCTTCAATCTTACTACCACCCTCAGCTTCAGCAATTGTAGCAGCTCGCTGCACAGCCTCTGTGTCAAAAAAAAAAAAAGTTTGAACCGGAAGCTTAGCCAAATTGGTTCATAAAAACACCCTTGAAGCCTTGACATCTAGCAGGTCTGAAATTCAACTTCCAGCACCTGTAATCACTTTCCTCATCCCAGGCTATGGCCCTTTTTCATTTTAAATCTAATTTAAATTCTCAAATAAATACTAAAATTTGACAAGAACCTGTAATAAAAATTCGAAGAAGTTCACAACTCAGCTTTAGAGCATTTGCATTAGCTGCAATCACATAGAGTAATAATTCAAAATCTATATAACAACCGATAAAATTTATTTATCCAAGGAAAATAGAAATGGGAAGAGAAATTACCGGAAGTGGGTCGATTCTTCTTCGATGTTCCAGCTCCAACCTACACTTTCACCAAAAAGAAAGAATAAAAATTAAAATTTTAGTGAAGAATTTGAGAAATGTGAAAGAACAAGGCAGGCACCTCGGAGTCCAAGGCATCGGGGTTTTGAATTTCGTTTCTTTCACGCTCTGGGATAGAAACACGAAAACCTTTAAATTTTGAAGTGACGGTGGAAATGGAAGGGGAAAAGGGTGAAAGGGAATTGCCAACCTTGGGCTTTTCTGGTCCAAATGTGCTTGAAAATGGCTCTAATCAAATCCTTAAAAAAAAAAAAAAAAAAACCCTCAAACAAATTGATTCAAATATGAAAACATAAGCCAAAAGAAAGGAAATGTTGTGGAAATAGAGGAAGAAAAAAAGGGGGAGGATTACAGGTTCGAAAGTTGGAGTGTCGTTGTCGTCCATTGCGCAAGTGATCCGCTTTCGCTCCTCAACTTTGTCCACCCCTTTTCGCTTGGTGTCCATTTGAATTGGTTCCGCCATTTCAAAAGCGAGTATCTTAAGAACGAAAGAGAAGCCCCTATAGCTCAGTGGTAGAGCGTCAGTCTTGTAAACTGAAGGTCCGTAGTTCGATCCTGCGTGGGGGCATTTCTTTCTTTTACTTCGAAAATTTTGGCCTTTTTATATGATTAAACGATGCTGTTTTGGAAACAGTGTTTTCTCTTGCACGTGGTGTTAAACCTCGGATGTTGGAACTGAAACCTCCGACTCAAGCGCCTGCATCCTTAAACCTTTAACGAGTGCTCCGAACCTGACCTCTAGAAGCCAAAAAACTTGATCAAATCCCCGACTTCTTTAACTTTTTTGAGTTTTAAGCTTATTTCTTTTACCTTTCTTCTACACCAAAATGGCAAATCTCATGAACAAACTCTTCAAGAATAAATCCACTCACAGATTCATCATATCTCTCAAAACCCCACGGCACCATCAACAACTCCCGAAACTTAGCCCTTCCCTTATTCCCCAACAAACCCACTATTTTTCATTAACCAAATCAGAATTCCTAACCAACCCAAATTTTTTCCTCAATCCCAAATCCTCGGATAATGGCAAAACTACTGAACCCTTGAAGTTTTACCCCAATTTCCCATTTGGGTTTTTGTTGAATCCCATTAGCTCAACTGGGTTTGAACCAGTAGAGGCCGTGGAGGTCGAGGAGGGGGCAGCAGAGGCTGAGGATGATGATGCTGTAAAAGTTTGGGCAGATAGTGTGAAGAAGAAGAGGAAGAAGAAGATGAACAAGCACAAGTACAAGAAGCTGAGGAAGCGTCTCAGAAGGAAGACGTAGGCTTTTCTTTGGCCAGAATTTCATGGGGAAGTTTTTTTATTTCCTCTGTTTCTTCTATCCAAAGATTTTGGAATTAGATTATATGGATTAAAATTTGAGATTTTTTTTCTGACAATGCTCGATTTGAGGACTGTAATGGAATGTTGAAAATTTTCTTATCTATTGAGTATTGACAATAATATTTATAGTTTTATGCTGAAATGAATTAACTCATAAAATTAACAAGAACTTGCTGATTTACTTCTCTTAGGTGTGTGCTTAGTTTTCTAAATTTGTTTTTTTGCTGACAAATAAGAGTGAAATCTATCTCTCATATTGATGGAAGATGGAAACCTGGGAAAGTCTATAGGAGGAGAGGCAAGAACAACAATGCAAATATTATAATATGGCATGATTCTAAAACTGAACTTGCTTAACTGCTTGGCATTACATGTTGGCACCTAAGTAAAAATCCTACCACTTAAAGGGGAATGTTGGCTGATTACCATTAAGATGTTTGCTGCCCTTTAATAAAGGTCCTATCCAGTGTACTAGGACATTATGAAGATATATGCTTTCTTCTAATCTTGTCTATAGCAGGGCTGCCTTCGCCATTATCTATTTGTTGTCATTTAATCATGACTATATCAGGTTGCCTAAACCTTGACTGCCTATATATTTGGGTGATTTTTGTGTGTTTGGTAGTTATATGTGGAGAGAAGTTAATTAAGTGTGAGTGTTGAATGTGTGATGCATTGTTAGTGAATGATTCCCTAATCCTAAGTGTGTTTTCTGAAGTTATTGTCTTCCTTGATTTCAGTTTTCATAGTTCACCGAAGCTCCCTTTGTTTTCCCCTTCCTAATTTTCTGATTGTCTATGTTCACATATCGACAAAGTTTTCAAGTCTTATTTTTCCTTTTGTTATTGTTTGAACCTAAACTTTAAATCCTAAATCAGCCTTTATCTAGACTAAGTGTGCTGTTTATAAAGATCCTACATCGTATATGGTGGAAGTTCTTATTGTAGTTGAGTATGAGTTAAGATGCTAATGTCATAGGATAACCACTTACCTGAAGTGGTTTATGGGCAATAAATTTTTTCTTTATTCCATAAGGGACTAGTGTTGAGCATAGATGAAGAAATTTGTGTTGCTAAGCTAAGGATGTTTAGAAATTCACTAGGAAAGAGCAAAATCTTTCAGACAAAAATCATTTCAATTCAATTTTGTTTGCATTTGCCAGTTCAACAAGGACCAATGCCTGTTGAATCTGTAAGTAGGATGAAAATGGTTTTTGTTGAATGTGTTAATAAATTGGTGGAGAACATAGGAAGATGATTTTAGGTAATGTAGAATATCAGTTCACCTATAATTAATTAGAATGCCTGGTTTCTGAATAGAGGCAAATGACATACTTGAAGTTTAGTTGACTGCACCTATTGGGTTAATGTAGTCCTATTGCTTATTTGCTCATGCAGGTTTCATGTATTGCAGTCTTCACAATGGAGGCTAAGCCAATTAAGATAGAATCACCTTTGCAAAATTAGTCCATGTTGACCTCTTAGCCAATTAAAAAGATCATGTCCCTTTTTTTTTACTGTGACCAGGATAATCTATTTATTCAGTATTTCTATAGTTAACTCTATGGTGTTTTCTTCATGATTATATGACTGTCTATGCTATCTAATGTCTTCAAAAATAAATACAGAACTTTGGTGTTTTTCCAAAGTAGATTGACAATAGATTTCAGAATTTGCACTCTCTTTTTGTTCTTGTTAATGTATAATTTGTAGAATGACTGGTTTATATTTTCCTCTTTTATTTGGGTATGAAAGCAGAGACAAAATCAAATTCCATGCTGGGTGGTCTAGGCTTTTGAGGTTTCATAGATGCATGTTAATAGAAAGTATAATTAATTCATAGACATTTAAGAAAGAAGGATTGAACCCTGTGCTTTTAGCATCCACGGGAAGCATTTACCTGTGATTAGTTGGTGACTTGGCCTGAATCACATATGATAAAGCATTTAAATGTTTTTATCAGAAGGATAGCATATTTTCTATTATGATAGCAAAACTTGGACTCTTCATTTTCTTTGAAGTATGGAGTTCTGACCCTCGAAATATATGAAAATGCGTAGAAAAAATTAAGTTTACCCGTGTGGGATACGGGCAGATACATACCCGAATCCTACACTCACCTCCAAGTCTGAGTAATATAGTCATTTAATAGAGTTATTTGCTGTTGTTTCTATCATGGGTATATGGAAAAGCTATATACGCATGTCCATGTAATATAGGACATGCTCATTTACGATCTTACTGATGATAGCAAAACTTCCCTTTTCTTTTTGTTTTCTCCCTTTCCTGTCATCACTTGTTCCACTGGCTTAAAACAGGAACCTGTGCACTATATCTAATAAACGGATTTACATCTGCTCACTACTCAGGAATGATTTTCTTTGGTATAATTTGTTTGTTTATTTATTCGTTAATTTGAGGTTCTTTAAGCATTCTCTTAAAGTAAAAGAGTCTTTTTTTCCTTTTTCAAATGTAAAGGAACAAGCTCATCTGGTCCTGAGCAGGTTTCTGATAATGATGAACTGCGGAATCTATTCTTAGTCAATCCAGGAGGAATATTTAGGGAGAACACAAAGGTCAACAATTTAATCTAACATACAAACTAATTGATCATCGAGAATTGTGACAACAGAATATTTGGATGTGTAACTTTCATAGACAAACTGGTATTGGCTGTTGGTTGCTTTAGTCCCAACAGTCACCCAGTGATTTTGGCGTTACATTGGCACATGGTGCTTCGTATTTACAACCTTATATACAAATTCTTAATTCACTTATTCCTTATAAAGGTAACTATTGGTGAATTATGTGATAAAATTGATGTTAGGCAACGCAGGCACATGATGAGGGTAATTCGCCGTTTGAGATTGCCACTTTCTGTAGTTTTAAGGGACGATGAGTTTGAAATAGACAGGCACTTTCCAAAGTTTTAAGAACATGATCAAGAAATATTGATTGACGAAGCATGGCCAGTTTGAGTTCTTTACGTCTCTTTTACAATTTTATTATGCTTATTGTTCTGTTCCTCAGAACATCATAGAGGCCTAATTCTAGCAACTAGCAAGCTTGTGATGACATAAATCTGGGTTCAATGGGACAAAATCTCTTTAAATCTGGCTACTGATATCCCACATGCTCCCACTTATCTGGACTGCAAAATGCCAGAAAAGCTGGCGGAAAGGGGAAAGCTGATTTGTTTGTCAGCTTTTCTTGTTTGTAATTTCTACACACGAGCATGCACTAGCTTGATCGAAGGTTTTGGAGATCTGAAGCTATCATTTCTGTTTTCAGCTTCGACCCATGGTCCTGCATTTTGCAGAACGTACATATCTTGGACATATATCATTGCTTTAATTGTAAGAATATTAAGGTGACAAATTTTTTCCTGATTTCCTCGTACCAAAGACAGGTTGAGGCAAGGTTTGTTGAAAGACACACGTCACGGTGAGAAATTTGAGAGAAGCTACAGCCTACACGCGAAGTTTCTCGGCAGTGGGTTTACTTCACAAAACATACGAAGTAAAATATGTGGATGCCTGCCAAAGTGAAGAATGTTTGTCTATTGGAGGTTTCAACCGACACTTTAGCTCCATAATAGAAAAGTTATGAACTCAGCTCACTTTGGACGGTGCAAAAAACTGCAAAATCAACTACTGGACATAATGATTTCAACACCATTTTCTCATTTGCAACAAATCATACTGCAATATAAGGAGTTAAGAGAAATTACAAGTATTAAAATTTAAATTCAGATCTATTAAATGCTATATTTTAAAAGCGATTATATAAATCATTATATTATGTAATTATAAGTACTACATGAGATTTTATATATGTATCAAAACACTAACAAACTAAAAAAATCTAGAAATTTTTAGGAACTCCATGCAATAAAATGCGAATCAGGGGACTTGTTCTTGAGGTTCGAACATCTTGAGATCTCCCACACCTTAATTTCTCCATCTAAACTTCCACTACAGATTGAAAAGACACCCTCAAACACACTTCTGGCAACTGCTACCAACGACTTCACAGGATTTTCATGTCCCTCAAGAACTATACTACAATGGAACCCACCCTCCCCCCCACGTTGCCAAACCCTCACCGTCCGATCAGATGATCCACTCACAAACAAATCACCTACGTTGATTAACATAATATAGCCCCCGAATGACCCCACAATGCTTCTACAAATCCCACCTGATGATTTGCAGCATTATTCTCTCCTTTCTCCCACACCATGATTGAACGATCACAACCTCCTGAAAACAGCACCGATCCGTCACTGTTTAAAGCAAGGGCATTAACCGTAGATTTATGATTGTCTAGAGTAGCCACCAAGCTATGCCGTGTCTCCTTCCCAGCCCTCGCCCAAACTCTAATCAACCCATCGAAAGAGCCCGTGTAGACAATTCCATTGCCCGAAACAACCAAAGTGTTTACAGCGTCTTCATGAGCTTTAACAGACTCTAAACAACGTTGGTTCTTTACGTTCCATATCTTGAAACTTTTATCCCATGAAACCGAATACATTAACCCTCTGTCGTTGTTTATAACCAAACCCGAAACTGCATCCCAGTGTTCAATCCATAGCTTCTTCTTGTGACGCCTAACGTTGACGTAGTTTTTTGGCAACATGAAATGGAGTAAGCGGTCTTTGACGGTTGGGAGAGTGAAGAGAAGCTGGTGTTTTTTTGAAGGGGTTTTGATTTTCCAGATTCTGATCTTGCCATCTTGATGAGCACCGAAGATTTTGGTGTTGTTGAATGCAATGGACTTGACGAACCCGGTAGTGGGATCATTGTTAAAAGAATCGACATGGGAATGGTTAGATAAGTCAAAGACGCTTATTTCGCTGATGGCAGCGGCGTAGAGGAGGTTGTTTTGGACTGCCAGGCAGCTGATATGGGCGCTCAGGGTTTTGAGAGTGGCGACGCAACGATGTTTCAGTGTCAGAAGAGAGAAAATATTATGCAATTGGGAAGCCATGTTTTTTGTGATAAAAGTGTTCAAAAAGAAAGTAGTGTTTGTATTTATATATAAATATAAAAGGAAGAGTGGCATAAATAGACACGTGGAGAATGTTGATTTGGAGATTTAATATGCTTTAGATTGGAAATGGTGGGCCACTGAAACTTGATTTGCCATGGTCTACATATCTTCTGTGGTCCCCGAAGTAGGTGATCACATATGCCACCAGTCACCGTCTACTATTTTTTTTTTCACCCCTTTTCATCTTATATTCGGTTAATTTTCATTAAGTTTAAGAAAAAAAATTTAACATTGTATCTATAATATTAAATTTTAATTTTTTTTATAAATTTGATATTTCATAATTTTAATAGTAAAAAGTAAAAAAATGAAAATAATTTCAAATTATAAAAAATAAAAAGATTTAAGTATTTAAAAAGAAAAATATATAATTTTGATACATTAAAAAAGTTTTTTAAAAATGGAGTATTATGTTTATGAAAAATTAAGCATGTTAGCGTTTGTTGCACCTTACATGCAAAATCAGTCTTCTTTTTTATGCATTAAGCATTAGAAAAATTTTTTATTTAAAAAAAAAAAACTATGCTTAATATATATAATACGTGGCAAATTAACATAATGCCAAGTTCTAAGAACGACAAGTGTCTAAAGACAATTTTATATAAGTAGTGAGACTTGTTTTGTCAACAAAGGGTGTTATGTCAAATAAAAGTATTTATTAAAATAATAATTGTAAAAATATATAATTAATATATTATGTCACATTGATTTTGGTGCACTAAATATATAAGTTTTTTAATATCAGGACAAAATCATTTATATCAATATAAATTTTTTTAATTTTATATTTTTTAATCATTAATTTTAATAAATTAAGATAATAAGAGAGAATTCAAAAAAAATAATTTAATCCCATCCTTTAAATTGATTAAAATTAATGATTAAAAAATATATAAAATTAAAATATTTTGCATTAGTATAAGTTAATCCCTTCCCTTAAATATTATATTAACTAATTTTAACAAATATTGTTTGAATATTAATGAAGATTTAAATCTTAATTATTGAAAATAAATTTTAATATCCTATTAATAAGTTATATGATTGATAGTATACAAATAAACTTTAACAAATATTTATAAAATCTACATGCATAAACCTTATAATCAAACGATAAAGTATTGATTTTGGGTTTCAATTATTTGACAGTTTATATATATATAAACTTCTAGTAACCGATCTTTATATTATTTTATGAAATTTAATATCACTAAAGCAGCTTAATCAAATGGATTGCCTTTTAAGTTGCTTTTTCTTTTGCCACATCTTTTGAAGTTAGTGCAATCAAATGCTATTTTATAAACCATAGGATGCTAGGGTTTGATTAGCTCCACCATTATAGTGGAAACGTGTTGCTAAGTGGTTGTATGTAGGTCTTTTCTCTCTAAATTTAAAAAATGGGGATTGGTTTTGCTAAAAAGTGTGTTATTTTTTAAGTCTACGGAGCATGGTAGGAGCACATGTTCATGAATCATACACATGAGTTACAAATTCAAAGGATCTTAATAAAAAATAAACAAAACATATGATCAGGAACCAATCCAAATATTTATTATGGTAAGTGTAATATCAAGGCATTAACGTGGCAAATACTCATATCATGCACAAGTTTTCGAGTTGGATCTTTTCTTCTTTCATTTTTTACTATTATTATTCCACTCTAGGTAGATAGTAATTGTTTGATGAGGTAAAGATAAGGGAATGGCAGTGTTCATTTTTTATCATATTTTAAAGGAGGAGAATTTTTGTGCAATTACCTTGGCTAAGTCTGCATGTGGGATGAAATTTGATTTGAGGTTTCGCTTTTGCTTACCAATTGAACTAACCAATATCACATATCAATAATAATAAAAAAAAACTACGAAAAGCGCATGATTAAAATCTAGTATTAGTCAATAATAGCGTGATTGTTAATAAAGTGTTTGATTCTAAATTTCAGTGATTAATGTTTAATTTTTATGCTTTAAATATAAAAATAAATAGTATTGAAAAAAAATTAAATGATCCAACTAAAATTCTTGGTAACTAAGAGAAAAGATTTATGTGAAATTTTATAGGTGAAGTTTATGAAGTTTTTTTATTGAAAATGAATAAATCAAAATTAAAATCAAAAATAAAAATCAATAGATTAAAAAATCTCTTCATATAGATTAAGTATGCAAATTTTAAAAAATTTTAAATAAATTTTGATATATTTATTAAATAGATATATTTAATAAAAAATTAATATAATTTTTATCATTAAATAAATATCAATTAAATTTGAATTATAAATAATATTTTTATATATTATTAATTTTTATATTAAACTTTATTAGTTTATTAATTTAAATTTTTTATTAAAATTTTTATTTATTTGTTTTTAATAAAAACTTTTACAAATTCTACCTATAAAATTTCTCATAAATTTTGCCGGCAACGGGTAGTTAGATGATTGATGATTGCAGCAAGCACTCCAGCGTTGATAAGTTGGTAGACCATGGGTCAAATTGGCAAGTCCATTGCTCAGGCGGGCTTGGACCCCAGACCTTTGGTCTTGCCTCAGGTGATGGGGCCTAATCACCTAAGCTCAACGCCTGGCTTCCAAGCTAGATTTAGGGGGGTCCACTTTGAGGTTAATTGTGTCATCATTTCGGTGAATTCAACCTTTTTTTTTTTTTTTAACATGTATAATAATGTTCTCCTATTTTTAATTGTCACATTTTCTCTTCTACTTTTCTTTGGCATTCAATAATAAGTACATTTTTTTTTTAAATACTAATGTATAAGTACATAATTAAATGTATATAATTACAAGTTTTTTAATAATGAAGTTAAAATTTTAGATTTTACATAAATGAAACACGTTTAATTCTAATCTTTTATTGTATATTAAATATTTCTATTTTTTTGACAAAAAAATCTATATTTTCTCTTCCTTTTACACTTTGTTAAATTTTCCTCCTATTTTCATTTTATAATTTTCTTATATTTCTCCCATTAATTTCATTTTCTGTATTCCCTTGTGCTAACACTTTTACCCAACTTGACATCTTACATAAAAAAATATTACAGATATTATAATTTGAATTTTAAATTTATTAAATATTATATTTTTAAAATAATTATATAAATTAATTGAATTAAGCTTTATTTTCTCCAACCCGACTATTTTAATAAGATGTACAGCTGTATACATCTTTGTTTACATGTTTATATTTTTACCTTTTTAAGTTTTGGTAATGCTAATCTAAATATCTAATAATAAGTGTAGCTTTTTCTAACAAGTTAAAATTTGACACTATATGATCTCCGTTGTACACCCACCATCCTAGTGTAAATGACTCAAAGTCTTCAAAAACACTGCATTGATAGAGAATAGCTCTAGCTTTGCTGAATTTTCAACAGTGATCATGAAGAAACCTGTGAAAAAATGTGTACACTCAGATGTCATGTGAACCTTTTTAAAGCTATTTATTCATTATAGATCATCTCCAACTATATGCCTAGCTATACCGCTCCAAATTTAATCCACTCACGATTTTATCTACCAAATTAATATCTTTTTGATGGTAAAAGGCTGAATTAACCCTCCAAAATTATGCTCCAATTTCTCTTCTTCCATGCAAGGGTCATCCCATGAAAGATCTCTCCTTCTTTCTGTTGAAGAACTCGATTGGGGCCAAGATGAAGAAAGGAATCAGAAATTTTTGCAATGGTGATGGCTCGACCTCGACTCTGAACCAACACCAGGCTGAACCTGGTGGTGTTATTACTTCCTCTGACTTGGTCACCCCACCATCCGTTGTTGCCTCCAATACTAATTCCACCGCCCAAAGCCCTCCAACAACGTTGGAGGAGATGATATTAAGGTTAGAGTTAGAAGAAGAGCTTGCCAGAAAAGCAAAGCTCAATGAATATAGTGAGATTCGAGGTAGGAGGATGTCGTGTGTTAACAATTCTGATATCCTGCGATCTGCCAGGAATGCTTTGAATCAGTATCCTCGGTTTTCCCTTGATGGAAAAGATGCCATGTATCGATCGTCGTTTAGAAACTCTGAAATGGCTGGAAGGAAGTCGGTTTGCTGTGATCATGAATTGAGAGACAGGTACTGCAAAATTGAGTTTGAATCAAGATTAGGGTTGCCAACAACTTTGGGTGGGGAGAGTGTGATTTGGTGCAAACCAGGTGTGGTGGCCAAGTTGATGGGTTTAGAGTCCATGCCAGTGGCAGTAAATACGAGCCAGGATAGTAAACAAAAACTCAGTTCCATGTTAAAGAAACAAAACCATAGGAAGAGAGCCGAAAGACATGAAATGGAGAGAAGACTTGCCATGGACATGAGCAATAATTATGATGATTTCGGGAGAGAGAGGAATATGGGTTCCTCTTCAAGAGCAGGATACCGTGTAACGAAGCCAGTTGTTGTAGAGCCAGCGTCGACTGGTGACGGTGGATGGCCAACCCGACGTTTTCTTTAGGTTAATTATGGCACAAATAAACCGAACAGTAATTAGGGTATCAAATCTTGCTACTTCACTTCTATTTGTTAACAATATTGCCGCATTTACGACATGTTTTGTAGAAACGTCACATTGCAATAATCCCTTTATTTTTCTTTCTTATAGGTAAAGCAAAATATATCCTTTCCATGATAGTGGCCTAATGGTAAAATATTGAATTTTTAATTTTAATAATTTATTATTGATTATATTTTTATAGTATTAACATTAAGAAAGGCCTTGTTTAAATTGATGTACTTGATTTTAATTATTAATATATTATCTCTTTAAATATTAGCTAAGTTGCTTTATTGAGAATTATATTATTACATATGATAGTGAAATTAATTTGGAACAACTAATATGATTACAATTAATTGGAAAACTCTTCGACCGAAAACTCTTTTACAAAGAGTTATTTCATAAAAATCATTTCACCGAACATTAATTCACTAAAAAAAGAAATAAAATCATCTTAAAATATAGCATAACTTTTTAGTTAATTTCACTCTTAAATGTTATGTATAATTTGATACGATGGATCAATATGAAAAAAGTTAAAAAGCTTTCCTCCTAACTTTTTTTTTTTTTTGAAATATTAATGTTTTTCTCTACCTTTCATAACTATAGTGAACTTTAAGTTCACCATTCACTATCACTAATTATCTAAGTAATTGTAGTAGTTTTTGACTTTAACTTGCAAGCATCAACCTAATGTCTATATTCTGGTAGACCATGTTAATCTAGATATGACAACAAGTCGAGACGAGACGGAATGGGTTTTTGTTTACCTTAAATTCAACTCAACTTTATATTTATAATACTCGAATTTGATCCGATTCGATGATTTTTTGTTATTTTTTATATTTGAACTCGATCTAATATTATATAAAATCTTATTGGATCTGACTTAAAATTAATAAAATATTATTTTTAAAATATAAAATTTTTAATATAAATATAAAATTAATTAATTAATTAAAAATAATTAGATATATCGGATTTGGTTAAGTTTACTTAAAATATGATCTTGATTTTATTCTATAATTACCCAATCCAATCCTATCAAAAATCGATTTAAAAAAAATTCGATCTTAAGAAATCGAATTAAATCAAAATTCCTCAAAAACAAATTGAGCTGCCATCCTTATACTAACCTCATGTGTTCCCTACAAATGAGGTTAAACACTCTACTTGTAATTGAGAATACAGGAAATCGTTTCCAAATTAAGCTTTCAAGCATCAATCCTGGCCACCTCTACAACACATGTACATTAGCATCAATCAATAGCTAAGATTAAAAAGTTAAGTTCCCATTTTATTAATATTTTTGCTGTTTCTATTTTTTTATTTGTTTCTTGTTTTCAATTTAGTTTTTAATTTTTTACTTTTGATCACTTTCTATTGAAAAATGTAAAAAATAAATATTAAATTATAAATAAAATTTGTGATTATGAAATATACACATTATTTATTTATTTATTTATGCTAGTGCATAAGAAATTTGTAGAATAAGCAAAGTCAGTAGCTTGTAAACTCCTCCGTCTCCATGCATTAAAATTTAATTAGTTTAGTTATAAGAGAGAATGTGGGAACCTCAATGGGGAATTAAGTCTATATTTTCAAGAGAAATGTCTTGAGTTTCACCAGCACACTCCTCAGAACTAATCTTTTAAATGGCGACAACCAACACCTTTTCTTTTTTTTTTTAATCTGAGAGTTGTGTATGAATGCTTGAATTGCTCTTCCATATCTTGATCCACCGTGATTCTACACTTTCCCATAAGAACAAAATATTCTAACCTAAAATTAAAAATAATTGAAAAAAAATTATAAACACATATTATCGTGTCGATTCGTTAATTGAATAAATCAGTTTAATGAATTCATATTGTTACTTTTAAAAAATCATATCTAATATATCTTAAATTTAAATTTTAATATCTATAATATATTTTTTTTATATTCAAACTGTGACCTTTTAATTTATGTAAAAAAAAACATGTAATTATTTTCAATTATACCTAGCATCTTTATTTACCGATCCTTTTTTTTTATCTATAACCCACATATATATATATATTCAAATGATAAATTTATCGAGTATTTGATTCAATAATTATTTTTTTTAATGATTAAGCAAAGTTCAAAATTTACCCTCTTTTAATATATATATATATATATATTATTATTATTATTATTATTACTTCCTTAAGAAGTTTAGGTAACTCATAAATTAAAGCATCAAAGTTAATAAAAAATTTTAAAATTTTGAACACTAAATAGTTTCAACTGCCCAGCTTTTAAAAGCCTTGTATGTAATCATGTTGAGGAAATAAAAGAGCTAGCGTAAAAAGATTGATGCTCAAACTCAGATTTCCTCCTAGGAAACGAAACACTGACCTAGGTCCAATCAAAATATGTTTTCATTTAAAGCCGTTCGTTGGGTTTAATTTTCCTTTTAGTACTAAGAAGCTACCCATTTCAACTTGAAATTTAATTTAAATAATTTATGTAATTATTTTAATAAATGATAATAGTTTGAATTATATTAGATTAAATTAAATTTTTTAGATAATATATAATATTATGGTATTTTAAATTTTATTATAAATTCAAATCTATTTAATTTCGAAATTAATTCTATTCGAATTGAATTTTATGTAAAATAATATATTTAATATTTAATAATATTAAATAGATTTAGATATATTTAAATATAAAATAATTATTTTTATAAAAATTTAAAATATAATAAAAATAAATAATATATAATTTAATTCAATTTTTTTTATTTTTAAATTTTCGACTTAAAATTTAATTTAAATTTAATATATATATATATACAATTTAAATTTAATTCAAATCAAATAAAAAAATTAATTAGAACCAAATCAAACACTATGATTTTAAATTAATTTTTTATTTTTAAATTTTTTCCCCTTAATTGTTATAAAATTATATTCACTAAGTTTAAAATTTAAATTATAACATCTATACATTTTTTATTTTATGATCTATTTTATAAAAATATAATCGATTTCATCTAAAACTTAATTAAAAAAAAAAAAAAATCCCAACGTATTACCATCGACAATATTCGTTTCCTAACCCAAAACCACGACCAATTATATCAAATCACAATAATCTCTCTTACCAAGATTTGGTTGTTCGATTTAATGTGTGATTAATACCATCTTACAATCTGAACCGTCCACAGGTAATTTATTTCATTTTTAATATGATTTTTTTTATTGGTTGTAATAATAGAGTGGTACCAAATTTGTATTACTGTAAGAGATAAGAGTTGAGCTGTATTATTTAAATAACTTTTTTTTTTCTCAAGAATATGGTCCCCTCCTGTTAACAAAAACGTTGTCGGAATTGCTTCAACTGGAAATCATAGATCCACGTGTAATAAAATGGGACAACCTGGAGTTTGACGGTGAAATCAATTTTAAAAATATTGCTTTTGTACCCTCTGTCCCTTCATTTTTCATTATTGCATACAAGGAAGTGGGAAGTCTTTGACTAATTTACTTTAACAATATCCCAATGTTCTATTTTTTCCAAATTAAACCATTCATGTCTCAACTAGTACAAACCAAAGGTAGGTATTTGTTAATTTTATTAAGAAAATAATATGGAAAGGATTTAAATTACATCATTATAAAATTAATTATATTTTTAATAATTTTATTTATGATTAATATATTTACAAATCGATTTTTAGATTTAATAATATACTCATATTTATCATGAACATAAATTTTTAAATTAATATGATATTCTATCACATTGATTTAGAATATTATATTTTTAATATATATTTAATAGTTTAAATTTTGTTATATATATTGCTTTTAATTGTGTGATTCTTGTTAGAATACTAAAATTTTAATTTTAATAATTTAAATTTAATTTTTGATAATTTCAAATACATATAAAAATATTTATGTTATATATATTAAACAAATAGTTAAAAATTTTAAATCAATTTAAAATTTGACGATATCAATAATTGAATTAAACAAATATTTATGAAAGAATGTAAAACTAAATTATTTTTACACTAATGTAATGAATCCTTACTCCAATAATATTCAAAATTTGTTTATAAATAATGTTAAGACATGAAATAATTCTTTTTTTTTTCAAAAAATCTTAAATAATGTTATTTATTTTTAAGCAAAATTAATATATAAGGTAAATTTCCTCATTTCTCTTTTGTATATATCTTTTTTGAGGTAATACATTTCTAAACCATACGAGGTTGATGATTTTTGAATGAAAAACAAAAGGCCAAAATAAATCTCAAATTAAAAATAGCAACTACTATAAAAGAGTACCTAGTAAATAACAATTTGTCCAGCCAAAAAAAAGGTTTAGGGGCCTAATTGAAACGTCATAGGAAATTCGAGGATTCAATAACAAAAAAACCAATCTGAAAAAGGAAATGAAAAGAAAAAAAATGAAAAGAAAAAAACAAAACCCGCCACATAAATTTAAGGACAAAACAGTTCAAACACGCTAAAAAGACATGGCAATCGTACGGACATCTAATAAGTGACAGTCGGTGATTGTATCACTGCTCCCAACATTAAACAGAGAAACTGACTTCGCTCACAAATCGCAGATTCTCTCTCTTTGAGTCTTTACAGCAGACACCAAAAGAAACATCCTCTGAAAGGGAAAGAACAACAAAGGAAAAAAAGAATGGTCATCATCATCTTCTTCTTATTCTTCTTTTCGTTCTAAATTCTAATCCAAAAACCCAATATTTGCAGCAAAAGAGGGATAAAAACAAGGGAGAAACTGAAGAGAAAAGATGGGTGGGGTTACTTCATCTATGGCTGCAAAGTTTGCGTTTTTTCCACCCAACCCACCTTCATACAAGCTAGTTAAGGATGGAACTACTGGGATTTTGCTTTTACACCCATTTCCTCACCGTGAAAACGTCGACGTTTTGCGTCTTCCAACACGCCGTGGCACCGAAATCGCTGCTGTGTACGTGAGGTACCCCACGGCCACCTCAACTCTGCTCTATTCGCATGGGAACGCCGCTGATGTTGGCCAACTGTATGAGCTTTTCATCGAACTCAGCATTCACTTAAGGGTCAATCTCATGGGGTATGTTTCACAGTATTTACTTCGTCTTTCTTTTTTCTTTTGGCTTTTTTATATACCCTTTTGTGCAAATTTGGTGTTGTTGATGATAATTGTACATATGTTTATGTCTGTGAATTTGGTGTGGAAAATGAGCTTTTTCTTTTTCTTTTTATATGATTGACTTTTCCCAAGAGGGAGTTTTTGGGGCGGATTTTGGTTTTCTTGACGTGTAAGGAATGGATATTGTAAGGCTAAGGTGTTGATATTATTGGGGGGTTTTGTTAAAGTTTTGAATTTTTGTTAACTTTGTTTAGTGCTCTGATGGAGGGTGACAGTTGCGCTATTTACTCGTTTATTGAGCTTGAGGTACGCCAGTTGTTTAGGTTGGTCATAGATCAATTGAATGCAGGGTTTGAAGTCTTATGGTGCTTGGTTTCTTAACACAGATCTGTTTTCTCAAGTATCTTTAGGTTATTCTTTTATTATATTTGATTCTTGTTATGTTTAAGAGACTGCGAAATAGGGACGCAGGATGGTGTTATTTAAGGAATTTTTGGCATTATGTGGCTACCTCGCTTTATCAATTAAATCAATGGTATAATGGCATCTAAGGGGAAATTGGAATTGTTTAGTACGATACCGTCAACTCGGGTTAATATTTTTGGCCTTTCATGGTTGTTTGTGCAGTCAGTTTGGGATATAGGGTTTAATGGAAGATGGTGGCTTTCTTAAATAGATATGGAGAATTTGGTTGTTGTAATTGTCATGTGTGAGCAAGCAAATGTTTTCTCAGAGAGATGAAACAAATGTTTTCTATGAAAGTGCAAATTTAGGCATTATCTTCGTTGCGTTTGTCTGTTCCATGGTCTTGTTATGTTAACAATTGACTTGTAAAGTTGATTAATATGGATCTTTCTTTTTTGTGTTAAATTGGTGGTTGTGTTTCTGCCTCCACAAAATGCCCAATTGTAGTTGATATCTGCTATTGCCATCACATATCATTAAGGTGTGAAACCAATGCTTTTTACTCATTAATATGACATCTCAAAATCTTGAACGTAATTTGTATAAAATCTTTGCAGGTATGACTATTCTGGCTATGGACAATCATCAGGAAAGGTAATTGTAGCATGAATCCTCTACTATTAGGACTGAATTAATTGTGTCTGATAGCTCTATCTGAAGTTGATATATACGCCTTTTTTCAGCCCAGTGAGCAGAATACATATGCTGATATTGAAGCTGCATACAAGTGTCTTGAAGAGAACTATGGTGCCAAGCAAGAAAATATCATCCTATATGGTCAGTCTGTGGGAAGTGGTCCTACTGTGGATCTTGCTGCTCGTTTACCTCGACTAGGAGCCGTTGTTCTGCATAGTCCTATACTATCAGGGCTAAGAGTCATGTATCCTGTGAAGCGCACTTACTGGTTTGACATCTACAAGGTTAGACATTCTACTCTCTCATCTATTCATATCTATCAAATCTTGTTTTTGAAGTATGCGTATGTTTGTCTTCACCATGTGTCTCAACTTGATTTGCTTGGATTTGCAGAATATTGACAAAATCTCACTGGTTAAGTGTCCTGTGCTGATAATTCATGTAAGTCTCTGAAATTCAATATTTTGCATTTGTTAATTGCATGAAATGGTCATGGGAATATTTTTTATTTTTAATTAATTATGACATGCTACTTATAGTTTTTTATCAGCAAAGACATTAGTGCAAAAAATCTGCAATTGTAGGAAAATAACACTAGGATAGTGAAGTTAAGATGAAACTTTTGAGAAATATGTTTAATTTTTATGCCATGTATAGTTCAAAAAAATGTTTAATGAAATTTGAAAAGTTGAAGGAAGTACCCAAAGAGGAGTGATGAAGGTTTATATGTCTGAACATGACCTAGATGGAATAAATGGTGACATAAGGTTTCTAATTCACCTTAAGCATATAGGTAAGGATGTATTGAAATGAGTTCAATTGAAGTTCACCACAACTGTTAACTGAAGCAATGGAAGAGGCCATGATCAATGATGTGGTGTGGTTTATGGCTGTAGTAGAGCTAAATTTCAAATGGATCATGTTTGTGCTGAATTAAGCTGCTGATTGGACATGTGTAATGCAAAAGTTTGTGACATAAGTCTTCTTTAAAGCTTATCTCCTACTTCTTCAACTATTTGACATATTCTTGAGAAACAAGCACAAAATTTCACTAAAGACGAGAAACTTGACAAACCTTTTTCTCACATTTTCTATCAAAGTTAGTACTAAAGTTTTATAAAGGAACTTATTTTTAAGAAAAAAAAAACGGCTTTTTGATTTTGGAGAAAAATAGAAGTGGAATGGGGGTTTAAATATTGTTCTCCTATTTTCTCAAGTTGACTTAGCATGTTACTTTTTAAGACATGTTGGTTTTCGTGAGTTTGACCGGCAATGATCAATCTGTATACATGCTGATTCAGATTTCTAGTGTCTTTGCTGTCATGTTTTTGTTCTTACGTGTTTATGTATCAAATAGAAAATAACAGAAAGTAAAAATTATACTGATTAAAATGTTATGACCTTTATTGGTTCAGTTTATTTATCTCCATTTTGAACTTGCGAAGAATATCTGTAATGTTATTAACTTATGTTATTTTATGGGTATTGAAATTCAGGGAACTAATGATGATGTTGTTGACTGCTCTCATGGGAAGCAACTTTGGGAACTGTGCCAAGAAAAATATGAACCATTATGGGTCAAAGGAGGAAACCACTGTGATTTGGAACTCTACCCTGAGTATATTAGGCATCTCAAGAAATTTATATCAACTGTTGAGAAATCACCTTTTTGGAGAAATGGACCTTGGAAAAGTACAGATGGTATCGAACAGACTAGGCAAAGTACTGACTATTTTGAGGCTCCAAGAAGGAGTATAGACCGCCGCAGGGACAAACCAAGGAAAAGTACTGATAGCAGGGAAAAGCCGAGGAGAAGCATTGATAGCAGGGACAAACCAAGGAAAAGCACTGATAGGCCAGAAAAACTGAAATTTCATGAGTATCATAAATTTAATAACATTGACAAGCTCGAAAAGATTAGAATATCCTTAGACCAGATGGAAAGGATGGAGAGGTCACGCAGAAGTGTGGAATACCTTGATAAATCTAGGAGAAGCATTGATCATCAGCCAGAAAAAGCCAGGAAGAGTGTTGATTGGTTAGATAGAATCCGAGCAGCGTAGAAGTTTGTCAAATTCGTTCACTGAGTTTGTTCAAGTGGGAGTGAATAGAGAAAGTAGAAACATGGGGAAATGAGTGAATTGTTTTGGACAAATAACATATTGTTTTAGAATTTATATTTTGGTCTTCAAAGTTGCAGGATAACTGTGTCATGGATTGTAGGGTTTGGTATATTTTTTAGATTTATTCTCTTTGAGTTTTCAATGAAAGAAACTAACCTCTCTCCTTTTTTTTTTTTCTTGTGGAAAATTGAAAATGTGTTACAATTTGTAAGTAATAGCTATTATTTCATTACAATGTTCAGATATTGTGCTGTGTTTTTAGCTTGGTTTATGGTTTTATGGCGCTGCCAAAACAGAAGAGATGTGATTTTCTCAGTATGCATTGGAACACTTGGTAACTTGTTTCTTAAGAAATCAAATAAGTTGCAGGATACATTTCCCAGGAGAATGCATACTATTACATATGATTGCTCAGATATGGTAGATAATAAAAATGAGATCAAATATTAAATTCCTATACTCTGTTTATCTCTCTAGTTACCAGATGAAAAATCCTTAAAATGGATGAATTATTCTCGGGGTCATTAGGATATACAAGCATAGGAAAGATCCACATTTCTTAGTACCCATGAAATTACTATAGCATTGTTCTATTCTATTATGATTCAAAACAAATATTGTTGAATTGAATTTGATGTTTAATCTAATTGATTCATTAAATTTTATGTTTATTTTAATTAATTCATGTAATAATTTTTACGAGTTGATATTAAAATTTAAATTTTAACACTTATAATATATATATTTTTATTTTAGGCTATTGTTTCTTTTATTAAAAAAATGTTGAATTATATGTTTATTTATTTCTTAAAAATATTTATATACTCATGTTTAAAGATATTTATGAGATGGAAAACTCCTTTAATTTTTTTTAAATATTACATAATATCGGTTGGATTTATATTAGTATTAGATGAAGATGAAGTAATTGTCCATGAATTAATTATTAATATTGCTTTCATAATTAAATTGAGAAAGGAAATCAAAATTTTCTTTGCCACTTATCAAAACCTTAATTAAATAATAAGAACAAATCTAAATCATAAAAATAAATTCATGATGCTACATGTACTTCACATCATTCTTTGAATTTTTGAATTTTCAAGAAAAAAAAAAGGGGGATTTAAACCATTATGTACATATTTATTGGTTAATGTTAACATGATTAAAGCGACAAGAAGTAAAATATAAATATATACTATTATAAACTCTAATAACAGAAAAAACTAAACAATCTCACAATCTCACCCGAAAATCTCATTCAAGATCTCTCTGGCTCACCCTTTTTTCCCTAATTTCAATCACAATCTTTTGCTCAACCCAAAACCCTAATATCAATTTGATTCTTGCACCAATCAAATTCAGTTCCTTCCGATCTTATTATTATGTAAGTGAAATCAAATCCCCTTTCCTTTTATTTTCTTTTTCGTGAAAGAAAAAAAAAATTCTTTGTCTCGCAAATCGGGCTCTGTTTACTTTTTAATTTTAATGAAATTTTGGTTTGATATAAATACTGTAGGAAATAAATTATGCTCAATGTTTTCAGGTCACAAGAGGAGATAGCGAGGGAAGCTATAAAGCACGCATTGAAGGCGTTGAAGAAACGGCATTTAGTCGAAGAAGGAGCTCATTCTCCCGCCTATATTGCTCTTTCTCGGCCAATCATTTCCCAGGTGTTTTTTTTTTCTTTTTTTGGTTTTATTCTGATCATTCACGATGTTTTAAATTGTTTTCTTTTTTTTTTAATTTCAATGTTTATAGAGGAGTTTACTACGTTGCAACATTATAAAAACAAGTGGATTTGAAATAAGGTGTTGGATAAATCTTTGGGTTTACATTAGAATAGAAAGCCACTATGCAATGTTGGGTAATTGGTGAATTTTGTTATAGGGTTCGGAATGGAAAGAGAAAGCCGAAAATTTGGAAGTGGAACTTCAGCAATGTTACAAAGCGCAATCGAGATTATCTGAGCAATTAGTGGTGGAAGTAGCCGAGTCTAGAGCTTTAAAAGCTTCTCTCCAAGAGAAAGAAACAGCAATTGCTGAATTGGAGAAGGAGTTGAACCAAACCAGGTTTGGTTGTGTTCTTTTTATGGTTTGGCCAGCAAGACAGATAATTTTTAGTTTTTCATATTCGAAGTTGCTGTGAATTAATTATTGGTGGACTGTTTATTGTGGCAGGAATGAATGCTCTCAATTAAAGACAGATTTAGAAGAAAAGGTTAAAACGCTGGAATTGGTGATGAGCGAGCACCAGGAACTCAAAGCTCAACTAGAACAACTGACTATTAAAGCTAAAAATGCGGAAGCTGAAAATAAGATGTTAGTCGATCGTTGGATGCTTCAAAAGATGCAGGATGCTGAAAAACTTAATGAGGTATGGTATATTGTTGTTTCAGCTACTTGAAAACACAGAACAAGGTATACTTGTATCAGGTGTCATTGAGAATGATTAATTGCTAGGTTCTTATGAGCTTGACCAGTAAAATGTGTTGGGTTTGTGATTCATTGAGATCTAGTTCGTGCATACAAGGTTGCTTAGTTGGAACACTATAAAACTGTTGCTGTTGGCATTCTATGAGATTTTCTTATTCAGAATTTGAAAGAAGCTAAGATTCTTAGGATAATCAACAATTCAGAGTTGCATGCCTCTTGCACAACAAGTAGTAGAAAGGAAGAATAAGAATAAAAATTTGAAAAAGAGAGCTGGGAGGATTGTATTTCGTATATACAAGGTGCTTAAACAAACAAATTTTGGTGATTCTGACCCATCAGCAATATAATTTGAACTGCACTTACTTTTGGTTTCGGGGAAGGGAGCATGGTCTTTGGTTGTGTCTTGTTGAGCTGCTGAATTGGATGGTAATGTTTCTGTTATCTTCGACTTCTTCTAGGTTCATTTTTTTTATATTCTTTTAATTTGTCACAATTGAGAGAAGATTAAATGAGCAATAGTGTCATTTAGAATGATATACCACTCGACTGCTAGTTTGAAATCAAAATGCCAATTATATGTGGGAATGAGTTTGAAAGATTCTATAATGTACCTTTCAATATGCCTGTTTTAGATTACAAATATTAGTGGTTAACTTTTGTTTAGTTTAGGCAAATGCACTTTATGAAGATATGATTGACCGGCTCAAGGCCAGTGGTTTAGAAAAACTTGCCCGAGAGCAAGTAGATGGTATTGTCCGTAGAAGTGAAGAAGGTGCTGAGTTTTTTGCGGAATCAATCGTTACCTCTGTTTGCAAGCACAGGATCAATGCCCACGAAGGTGGTTGTGCTTCTATACTGTTTGAGTACAATTCTGGCAAATTGATCAGTGGAGGACAGGATCGATCAATCAAAATGTGGGATACCAGCACTGGATCATTAAGTCATAGTCTTTTTGGCTGTCTTGGTTCTGTCCTTGATCTTGCAATTACCCATGACAATAGATTCATAATAGCAGCAAGTAGTTCAAACAACTTGTTTGTATGGGATGTCAACTCAGGACGAGTCTGTCATACTCTTACTGGTCACACGGATAAAGTGTGTGCTGTAGATGTGAGCAAGGTTTCAAGTCGTCACGTTGTGAGTGCAGCTTATGATCGTACCATAAAAGTGTGGGATTTGCAGAAAGGCTACTGCACAAACACAATAATATTTCACAGCAACTGCAATGCTCTTTGCTTCAACACAGATGGACTGACCATATGCTCAGGTCATGTCGATGGGAATCTTCGGTTGTGGGATATTCAGACAGGAAAGTTGCTTAGCGAAGTCGCTGCACATTCACTTGCTATTACATCTCTCTGTCTGTCCCGCAATGGAAATGTAATATTGACTAGTGGCAGGGATAATTTGCATAATTTATTTGATATTCGATCCTTGGAAGTTTGTGGTACATTCAGAGCAACTGGAAACAGAGTGGCATCAAACTGGAGTCGCTCCTGTATGAGTCCAGACGGCAATTATATTGCTGCTGGCTCTGCTGATGGATCCATACACGTTTGGTCAATCTCCAAAGCTGACATAGTAAGCACTTTGAAGGAGCACACTGCTCCTGTCCTTTGTTGTGCCTGGAGTGGACTTGGAAAACCATTAGCCTCGGCCGATAAGAATGGGATTGTCTGTACCTGGACATGACATGATCCGCAGTTTGTGCATGGAATGGAGTTGGAAAACCATCATGGATAGTTGTACATATGTCAATAACCATTTTTTTCGGAATGTCAACTATAATAATGATTAGCAACGAATGTCAAAACAGTTTAACTTTTGTTTTGTTATTTAAAAATTCCACTATACGTTCTGATTGTAAGTCAATTGGTGACATTTAGCATCAAATTTCAAGCATCAGTAATTCAGGTTATAGCTTTTCTTATTTCATTTGACAAATTTGAAGACCAAAGTAACCAGAAACTAACAAAAAATTAGGACGAGGGCCAGATTTTGGATGATGGGTTTTCTTTAATGTAGGTCAAAAGCATGCCTCTTTTCTCTTCTTTATTTTTCTTCTACTGTTAAAATTGTTTATTTTGGAGTAATATCTCTGCTATGATTTCATTTTATTCTTATTTTAGGAAAAGTTGAACCCTAAAATCAGAGAAGCTGGTGTAAGGAAAAAGATAAGGTGAAAATTAATAGTGTTGTGTAAAATTAATGAAATAAGGTAAGTGTTTGAATTTAGATATAATTATTTTTAAATGATTATATTTAATAGATTTAAATTTTAAATTTTAATAATTATATATTTTTTAATTTTTATACTGTGATCTTTTATAAAAACAAGGTAATTAACTATATCTAATTCTATAATAGTTACATACCAAAATCTGCATTTCAAAATCAATTATACAACTAGAAAAATTATTATTTTTATTTAAAAAATAATCAAACTCAACTCTATTTGTTATTTTAATAGATTGAGCTCTCTCAATTTGATAATTAACAAATTGAACTTAAATTTTAATTACCAAAAGGAGTTTGAATAATTTATTAATAAATACAGTTTTCACTTTTAATAAGATAAATTATTCTAATCAATCACGATAAGGTAATTAATTAAAATTTATAAATCAATGATTCTAACACTTCAAATTAATATCTCCTAAAATCAAATGATAAGACTCAAGGCTAATATTATCTTATACCTTTTGATTTAGTGATTAAAAAAATTTTATAAAGACATAAAATTTTTGATTTCGAATCAAAATCTCTTTTTTTTTTTTTATAAAATTTATGCTCTCTTTGAATGAAAAAAAAAAATTTAATATCTGCATTTATGATCAATACAAATGAGCACAAATTTTTGATGCAGACCTTTGGGAAGATATTTATGGCCTGTGGGCTATTCCTTTCTTGATTGTTTATGGAGATATTATTCAATTTTCATGTGGACATTGGATGGAGTTGAATAATGGGTAATCGTTTTTTTTTTATTTTTTTTTTGTGTTTGATGATATATGTTACATCTCTTTCTTCATCACTTTATTTATCATATATATGAGTCAATAATTTGCATGCATGATTGAGATGAAAATATCTTTTCCTTTTTCATTTTATTTGTGCACATTTTGCATCCTGTCAAATAGGATATTAACAAAAAAAAATTGCAGTACAAATCATAAAATTCCTGTTATGAACGAAATTAAGAGAAAAATTCGAATTCATTAGATTTAATATATAGATAATTTTACCTTATATTTTCATAAAATATATAATTAATTTTTAATTTCATATGAGATACATTTTCAATTTATAGATTTTATGTATTCTCTTCTCCCTATAATTAAATTATGAATTTTGTTATTTTTAAATAAAAATAAATACTATTTATATTATTAACGTAGAATTTGACTGCAAAAACGGTTAGATTCATCCTCTGAAAAGTCAAACAAAGTGTCATAAAAACGTAGGACTAGTTCTACATTGCCAACGCTGTGCTTCTAGCAGAGAAAAAAAAATCTGTGGAACTGAAGAATGGCCTCTACAGTCGACATCACAGACAACAACCCTGCTTTGGACGCTGATCCGGATCTCCCGGATAACCCGGCTCACGAGTTTGTCCAGTTCGGAGCGGGGTGTTTCTGGGGAGCAGAACTGGCGTTTCAGCGAGTTGAAGGTGTAGTTAAGACAGAGGTTGGCTACTCTCAGGGTCATATCCCTGATCCAAATTACAGGCTGGTATGTGCCGGTACCACCAACCATGTCGAGGTGGTCCGTATCCAGTTCGACCCTGAAGTCTGCCCCTTCACCAATCTTCTCTCTGTTTTCTGGGGCCGCCATGATCCCACCACTCTCAATCGCCAGGTATGTCAAATTTGTTTAAAATGCTCCCTAGTTCTTTCTTCTAATGGCCCCTTAAATTTTGTCAGGGTCGAGATGTTGGATCACAATATAGATCGGGGATATATTACTACAATGAGAACCAGGCTCGTCTGGCAAGGGAGTCACTCGAGGCTAAGCAATTAGAGTTGAAGGATAAGAAAATTGTGACAGAAATTCTTCCAGCCAAAAGGTTTTACAGGGCGGAGGAGTACCATCAAAAGTACCTGGAAAAGGGAGGACGTTCAGGGTCTAAACAATCTGCTGAAAAAGGTTGCACTGACCCCATCAGATGCTATGGCTGATAATGTACGTAATATCAAGTTTTAGTATTTCAGCTTTATCTGGACAGCACTTAAGCTTCTTGTCAGTTAATCGACCTGTTATTGTGTTGCCTTTTGACTTTAGTTATGTTCTGAAGATTGAAATGGAGTCTGAACTTATTGGTTTCTTTTTTATTTGTTTTTTCGCTTGCTTGAAGCAATTCTGAAATGTTTGTTTCTACCTCAGATAGGAAAGTCATTAATCGTGACTGATAAAATTGACACCAAGTTGGAAACGAATATTATTCAATCATGATTCTTTTGCATGCAACTTTTGGACAGAGAGAAATAACATAACAGCTAAGACTGAGAACAAAGCCGGAATCAATGGCTGGAATTGTTTAGAGTTCATCCTTAGGATAGAATGAAGGTCCTTTAGGATTAGAGGAAGAGTTCTTGATTGGATATGAAGCCTCCATTGCTATGCCACACAGTCCTTCCTCGTCTGCGATGCCACGTTCCATCCTTATGTAACCTTTCTCTCCCCATTCGGGTCCCCAGGAGTTCTTCACTATCCAGTACTTGGTTCCATCAATAGTTGTTCCATAGCCAACAACGGCAACTCCATGGTTCAGCTCAGTACCACATTGTCCGGTGAATACCCCCTGCAGTCAAAGTTATTAAAAATAATGAGAGATGATCTTTCTGAATTAGTTTCCAGTTCAGAAATGTTCTGAATTAGTTTTGCTGATAAATCTTTTAAACGTCCAAATAGTATGATTAAATTGGTCTAATACTGGGGGGAATCTTCTGGTAATAAATTATGCTGAAGGTTTAAGCTGTCTGGGTATGAACAGGTTTTGATCTTAGTATCTCCAACTTAGATGTTGTGCTCTATAATTATTTGCCAACAGAGAAAAGAAAGTGACATTTAGATTGAAATTTCCAGTTCAAGAAAGTCTTGTAGATGCAGTAGGCAGTAGCTTGTAACTTCCATGCAAGCTGCTTTTATCAAATAATTTTAGGTTCTGGTAGACAAATTTAGTTTACCTCTGAGTAGAACTGGAAATCCATACCCCCAGCGTCTATGGCCACTGATACTGGCTGGTGTGCAACAGCTTTAAGCAGAGCATCCTCATTATTAGCAGGCACATTCTCGTGCCCGTCAATGGAGACTGCTGGAGAATTCTCCTGCATAACCACCGGATGGATTCTCATGAATTCAATTAAGCTAAGCTTTTATTGAACATAAACCTGATGTAATTCAAAAATCAAAGCTATTGTATCAAATTGTGCACCTTGGAAACATCACAACTTCCATCTTCTGCTTCATAAGGATAATTGGTCTCTGTAGTGAGTCCACCATTCTTCTTGATGAAATCAAATGCAACGTCCATCAACCCTCCATTGCAACCTTGGTTTTCTTCAGTGTCACAGTCTACCAATTCTTGTTCAGATAGCGATACTAATTTATTTGTCATAATTTGATTAATACCCTCAACTGCTACAACAGTTGAAAATGCCCAGCAGCTACCTATTCAAAGTTAAATGCCAGTCAAGTTCAGAATTAGACCACACATAACTAAAACACACGACTAGCAATAGGAGCTGAGGTTAACGTCGTACACCTTGATTGATGTTGGATGAATGGATGGCAATTAAAGGAATAATAGCATTGAGAAAAAGAAAGACGATCGATGACAGAAAATGTGTCCTTACCACATTGGCCTTGGTCCTTAACGGCGGTAACAGCGCCTTTTTTCCTCCAATCAACGGAGGGTGGGACACTGTTGATTTTCTCATACGTGAAGCTCCCAGTCCCACGGGGTTTCCCTTGGAACATCTTATGATGCTTAATCTTTGAGCCAGCATAAGCATTTCGGAATTCATGGTTAGTCATGTCTGCAAACTTGTTCAGCTTCAATTTATAAGGTCTTTCCTTGTTGTTAGTGTTGTGCACATGCATAACATTTTGCTTGAACACATTGAACCGCTTGTGCTTCTCATCAAGACTCCTAGAAACCGTATGATAGCTTCTCCACCTCTCATACAAATCCCACAGACTCTCCTCGGACGCTAAATCCTTCTCATGGAAATCGAAACCCTCAGCTATTCCGAGAACCAGAGCCAGTGAGAGCACAACCAGAAACAAAACATTAACCACCCTCATTTTCAGTACTTGATATTAGAATTCAACACAAAACAAATTATGGGAATTCAGAGACCTTGACAATTGGTTTATATAGAGGAATGGAAGAAGAATAATTGAGTAGAAGATAGAGATGAAACTAGAACAAAACAAAAGGATAATAAATGAAGAAGTTACAGGTTCCTTATGAGCATCAACAATCTGTGTATAATTGAGGAAAACAGATATGGAGATGAGGTTTTGAGAATAATGGAGAACAAGAACGTTAAGTTTATGCATGAACAGTTCTACCAAAACAAGCAAAAATGAGTCAAAAGCAAAAGGAAAAAAGGGTATCCAATGAAGCAGTTAACATAGAAAAACTTGTGGGCAACTGTGCATTAAGATTCTAAGATGGTGAAGTTTACATGCCGAACACGTTAACATAAACGCGAGAGAGAAAGATGGGGAAAAAAAAGGAGGTGACGAGAGATATGGTTACGTCTATAGTGGCTTTCAGCCACGATATCTTTGCGAGTTGGAAAATAATTAAAGCCTTTGTAACTGCTTTGTCTTTAAGCCTTTAACTGAGACCTTAGCTCAAAATTTTGCTTTGGAATAGGAATAAGCTGACAAGAAAAGAGATGGAGTTGAATCGAATTGTGTAATCAATTCTATTTCAAGCCTTCATGGCGAGTGCATTACGAGTTTCATTTTGTTGCGTGACGAAAAACTTCCGTCACACTGTAACTATATTGTACGATCAAACTTTTAAAGATTTTGTGAATAAAATATCGTATCATATATAACAATAATGAGATGAGAGTTCTTTAGCAAGGTTCTTAAATAAATTTATATCTACGTTAAACTTTAATTAATTAAGCAGATTGCGGGTTGGTGAAGAAATTGAAAGAAATACTACATTTCATCAAACTTCTTTTCTTTGTAAAAAGCTAAATTGAAAAGCTGATTGTAACATTAAACTGTTGCTTTTGTTGTTTTGATACATTCCATAATCGTTGCTTCGTCTATTGATTCCTCGTTTTAGAAGGTTGAAATCCTTAAGTTACTTATGCAACTCACAATAGTGTAACTCAACTTAATAAAATTAGTTACAAAGCTTAAATTAAATATAAAAACTTTAAAACATTTGATTCAATGGTTGATGTTCGAGAGAATTTGAATGTTATTTGAAGAACATAAAATGATTCCATGAATGGGTTTACAGAAATTGGTTTTTAGTTAATGAAATTATGTGTCAATTACAAATTGAATCAAAAGTAAAAAGGCACAAACTCCTGATGGTCCAAGCAATTTGACTAGGTGGTCAAAACAATGCTTGCAGGAGTAGTAGCGTGATGTGCTGGGCATCGATCACTTCTACCTTAGAATACATATGAAGGTAGCTGTATTCGCAACAAATATTCTCATTTTCAAAGGATAATTAATAAATTATTCACATTAATTAGTGTGTCGATTTCACTAATTATTATATTCTTTTGTTGAAAAAGTATGTAAGTAAATTTATTCCTTAATTAGGTCTAATCAAATTCAATTCGTCATTCAAAAGTCCGTCTTAATTCGTTATATCTTTGAATTTTTAAATAATTATAAAAATATTATTAATTTAAATATATTTTAAATTAAATTTAAATTAAAAAAACTTTATTATTAAAATAAAATTTTAAACCGGATCGAATCCAACTCTTAAACTCATTTCAAAGACCTACTAGTTTTCTTGATCACATATATTCATCCAAACGACACCTCAATGCCAGCAAACGACATGCAGCCAAACCAAAAACTCATTGATTTTCAATGTTTGTAAGCTGTTAGTTGCAATGTTTGTCAGCCTCTTTAGGCCAACCCATATCCCTATTTACCTGGAAATAACCCAACTGAAGATATCTATACATGTTTTTATTTAATTAACATTAGTTTAAGAAAATTTGATAATTTGTGTGTTTGTATCATAATTATTTTATGTTTAATACATATAGAATATTAAAATTATTATATTAAATTTATATTGATACGTAAGATATAAAACATAATTTTTTATTTTTATTAAATTCATATATAATTTTTACTTAATTTTAATTTTTTTCTTAAATTTTTGTATCATATTTAAAATTACTAATTGATCGGAACCTTTAAAAAACCATTGCCTTAAGGCATACGTTATTTCACATGAATGTTAATAACTATTTCAAATGAAAATTAAAAAATTTTTATTAATGTTGAACTTTCTCCAATAATATCTTAAAACATTAAGAATTTAATTACGTTGAATTCCTTTTTAATCCCATAATTTTAATCTTACCTTAATCAAATTGCTAGACTTTCTCCTAACACCAAGTATTCAACAATTATTAACTACCCACTAAGCTAAATTTTCTTTAGCAAAATTCATGAAGCTTCCCTCTTTTGGACTAACAACAGCCCAATAGTATTTATGTTGCCCACAGTTTGGATTTAAGCTTAAGCCCATTCCTTCAATTAATCACTTAATTAATTAATTTCCCATCAAGTATCACAGCCTTTCAAAATTATAGAAAAAAATAAAGAAATTAAAGATTGAAAAAAAAATTATAAGTGTTAGAATTTTAATTTTACGAAAATTTACCTCCTAAAAAGGTTACAAGCTATTATGTAACAAACTCAACGAAACATTGGTTCTAATCATTTGATTAATTACTACCAAAGTCAAAAGAATCATAGGTATCGATCTTTGCAACACTTACAAAGAAATGGAGAAAGATGATTGCTTCATTGAATTACTGTGCAAGTTTGACTTTTTACCTATATATATATACATAATCCCCGACATTATTGATTAAAGGTAAGAAACATTACAACTCATTTTTCTAGTTAAAAAAAAAAAAAAAGGCAAGGCCGAGTGTTTCAAATTATATGAAAAAGGGTAACGTGACTGATACTACTACCCTGCCATATGGCTACCTATGATTATATGATCTTCTTTTACTTTTGTCTCCTTAATTAAGAAGCATAATCAAAACATAATGTACATTGCAATAATTTATAATTATCAATTAAAATAGGCTTGCTTGTACAATCTTAAACTTATTGATGGGTTGGATTGAGTTAGATTTGATTGATTTTTGAAAGTTTTTGTTCGAAATTCAACCCAATCAATCAGATTTAGACAAATTTGATTACTATTAAAAATATTAAAATATTAAATATTTATTGTATATTAACATTTTTTTATTTTCATAATTAAATTTAAATAAAAATATTTTTTCATTAAACAATAATTAAAATCGAACCAAGGTTCAAGTTCTAAAACTCATATTCAAAGCTTGGCCCGTAAATGAAACTAATATATATATATATATATATATATATATATATATGAGAAGGAATCAACTTACACAGTATAAAATTTAAAAAATTTTACATATTTTTTTAATTATTGATTTTAATATATCAAATTATGAAATTAAACTTTTTTTCTATTTTTTACTTATGTCTCTTTTTTTTTTTTTTTGCTAAGTTAAAATTTATTTTTTAAATTTATTGAAATCAATAATTAAAAAAACATGAATTTTTTTTTTTTAGGTTTACATTGTGTAAGTTGATATATACCTTCGCTCTCTATATGTAACCATTATTCGATCAAGTCTTTAATGTGTTAACTGCAATAAATGTTGAACATATAAAATCATATAAAACCTAAATACCTAATCCACATTGCGTAATTTTAACTAGCATTTGATTTGTTATGTAATCAACTTGCATTTGGTGGAAGCAAATTAAACTTAACTGTTACCAGTAGCTCTTAAGGTATGTTTCAAAGAAATTACAGCGCATGCGGACTCTTCATAATACGACATTAATACTCAGTCCACTTTAGTAAAACACATTAAAAAAAAAAAAAAGAATAACCAAGCATCATGAAGCTACCGACAATTTTATTTGATTTTGATCCTAAACGGAAGCTTTCTGGTGGCTCAATGGTACTTCTTATGATCAACACAATATTCTTGCTGACGGGTCCGACTCCAAAATATTTTAACATAAGATTTTGATCATAGCAGTGAATGATAGGTAATGCATAGCATGCATGTGATTTATGCTTTTCCTTTACGCAATGAAGTTGATAATGTAATAAATATATATATATATGTATATCTCATTCATAGTCAACAAAATTTTTAGATTCCACATTAATAAAATTATATATATTTCTTATCATATATTAAAAATAAAAAATATTTTTAAAATTAATTAAAAAAATGAAACATGTTACTCTTTTAACTTTGCATATAGAGTAAAAAAATGTTTACTATATATGTATTTAAAATGAATCATATATTTTTTATCCTATTGTTTGAACCCATCATGAATTACATCATTCGTTCACATAATAATAGTTTTCTAACCCACATGTTCATAATGAGCAAGCATATATATATATATATAAATAATATATAATATATATGTATAAATCACTTAAAAATTATTACCAGCTTCTATCATGTGACTCAAAATTATATATATAGATTATATTTGTTCATAAAATCAATTAATTAATGATGAATGTGGTATAGGGGCAAGGGATAATGGATACATATAGGATAGACCAGCCGACAGTAGTCCGAAGTTGGGGTTATATATATGTGGTTGAGAATCGATTTGCTGCATGCGGAGGAGGCAGGTGTGGCTAGCTCTTATGTGGTTAAGAAATGTAACCCCTTCGTCTGGGGCCTGCATCCAATAAGTGATGTTTGTTGAACCATCATTTTGATGATTGTTGGATACGTAGGGTCATCCTTCCACCGTCCTCACAGACAATCTTCCACCCCCTGCTTTGTCTGAAATCTCATTTCATGCACATTCATCATGCACGTTGGATGTTGCATAAGAAAAAGAGATCAAGAAAGGAAAAATCAATGAAGAAAGCACATACATAACATTGACAAATACATAACACCTTTCAAATTCAATATCATTGGATGGGTATTAATTTCTGTATATATCTTAAACTATAGTACGATTGAAAATATTGCATACATATATAACTACATTAATAAATGTAATTTCATCATGAAAAAAAAATAGTCTTGCACGTGATATGATATGCATTAAATCTATAGTTTAACCTAAACGGTTTACTCAACTCCCTTAAGGTGGTAGATTCCTACAAGTTTAAAATTCAATCTCCAACGTTTGTAATTATTCTTTCTTTTATATATTCCACTAGGTTTTGACCTTTTTCGTAAATATATATATATATATATAACCGCATTGATTATAGTTTAATTAGTTTTTTACTAATATTTAACATCTAAGCTAATTTTAAGCCTAATTTGGCTTAAGAGTCATGCTAGAAACTTTCATTTATTATTAATACTAGGGTTATTATTACCAACACCTGTTGGTCAAAATTACAAAGAATTCGATTTTATTTAAGATCTCAATTTTGAGTTTTATGAATGAAAAAAATAAACAT